GTTTTTCGCGATTATCTCGGAAACTATGAGAGATAGAGCCTTGAAACCTATTCCATTCGATTCCTGAGAAAATTTGGGTTCCGTATAGGCAGATGGACGGGTCAGAATTGCGTTTTTCCACTTCCCACACTCTATACAAGATGAATTAAATTAATTTTTTTTGGCATTTCCGTTTTTCGCGATTATCTCGGAAACTATGAGAGATAGAGCCTTAAAACCTAATCTGTCTCTAAAGATGATGTCTGTTTTCAATTGAAAAGCGCAATTGGGACAACATTGTCCAGTGGGGTCTAGGACTCTACCCTGGTACAAAACCATCTTGAGAGGTCCTAGTACGCCATTTCTCGACCCGCTCTTTCGTTTGAGCCCAAAAAAACATTCATATCTTGTCTGACATCTTTGCTACAATCTCGGGTCTTCAACTCGGGTTTTCACTTGAAGGCCCGAGTTTGTAACAGCGATGTCAGACAAGATATGAATGTTTTTTTGGGCTCAAATGAAAGAGCGGGTCGAGAAATGACGTGCTAGAGCCTCTAAACATGGCAAATGTCTCTAAAGATGATGTCTGTTTTCAATTGAACAGCAGGGTTGTGACATCATTGTCTAGGAGGACAATGGGGTCTAGGAGTATATATAGATTATTGGGGTCTAGGAGGCTCCCCTCGTTCAAAACCATCTTTAGAGGTCCTAGCACGCCATTTCTCGACCCGCTCTTTCGTTTGAGCTCAAAAAAACATTCATATCTTGTCTGACATCTTTGCTACAAGTCGGGTCTTCAACTGGGGTTTTCAATTGAAGGCCCGAGTTGTAGACACGAGTTTGTAGCAGCGATGTCAGGCAAGATATGAATGTTTTTTTGGGCTCAAGATATGAATGTTTTTTTTTGGGAAATGGCTTGCTAGGGCCTCTAAAGATGGTTTTGTACCAGGGTAGACTCCTAGACCCCACTGGACTATGTTGTCACAATTGCGCTTTTCAATTGAAAACAGACATCATCTTTAGAGACAATTGTCATCTTTAAAAACTTCTGCACACCATTTTTCGAGCCCCTCTTTCATTTGAGCCAAAAAAAACACACACACAGACAGGCGTATCAATATGCAACTGCGTGAAACACGCAGGTGTATAAAAATACAACTGCGTGAAACACAGCAGTATGAAAATTCGGCTGCGTGAAACACACAAACTTCACGGATGCGTGGAGTNAGACTCCTAGACCCCACTGGACAATGTTGTCACAATTGCGCTTTTCAATTGAAAACAGACATCATCTTTAGAGACAATTGTCATCTTTAAAAACTTCTGCACACCATTTTTCGAGCCCCTCTTTCATTTGAGCCAAAAAAAACACACACACAGACAGGCGTATCAATATGCAACTGCGTGAAACACGCAGGTGTATAAAAATACAACTGCGTGAAACACAGTAGTATGAAACTTCAACTGCGTGAAATACACAGCAGTATGAAAATTCGGCTGCGTGAAACACACAAACTTCACGGATGCGTGGAGTGTATGGAGTGTACGGGAGTGAATCACGCAATGGTGCGAATAGTCACGGCCTAAAAAAAACTTCAAGTTGTTCATCCAATTTTCGACAATCTAATTTTCCATTTTCCAGGAAAATTCTGTAGTTTTTCATACTGATGGGAGAAACCAACATTTCTAATGAAATAAACACACTTGTTTTTTTAAACACGAGTTCTTATTATCGAATTGCTGGATAACTGGATGACTCCAAACTTGAAAATAGAGAACCAATTCTGTACATACTATGTATTTCATTTCCGAATAATTAACTAGGGTTGGTGGGATTAAAATTCATGTGAACATGAAAAAAAAACTCATGAATTGCAAAAACGATAAAAAAGTTGTTGCGTTCTTGCGATTTCGAAATTTAATTATATTATTCTCAGACTGACACAGTAGCACCTGAAAAAGAAATAGGCAGCACAACGTCCGAATCGAGTTTGGAGTCAAGCAGTGGCTATAGTAGTCAATCAACACTGCCGACCTTTCAAGCAGTTCCAAGTCTTTGTGACACTCCTGTTGTGCCTGGTGGCTCTTGTACGATGCCGCGAAGAGGCTCCATTCAACAAACTAGACCTCCGCCACCAGCACGTAGAACTTCAACAATTATTAGTGGTAATTATTCGAGTACAACAGGATCCATGATTGGAGCAAGTGGCGGATTACTTGCTGCTACTGTTCTCGTTACTGGGGAACAGCGTGTAGAAACTACCACCACATCTGATGAGACTGAAAATCTTCCACCACCTCCTGCATTTCTTCTGGAAGCAAACTCACCCATTCCCAGTCCTACTCCACAGCGGTAAGCATAAAGAAATAATAGAGTAGCACATCTTCGATGTTCCAAATTCTGTGTAATTGGATATTTCTCATAGAGAAACGGAAGGTACTCCATCCTTGCCTTTATGCTAGGGATATTATTCGGATGAACTCTCATGGTTACACCTCTAACCATCACCCGACAATTCATCACACAAACAATCCATCACACGACAACCCAACACAGTCTCCAGCTTCCAATGGTTACAATGGGTCTCCACCCTTCCCATCAAGTTGGGACCAGGTTGCCAGTTTGTGAATTTAAACTTTTTGGTACAACGCAATATAATAATATGGTTGACCAGGTAGATGATCGGGACCTCCCTTTTTCTGCACCTTCCTTCTAAAGGCAATGAATTATTAAAATTAATTTAAATATAGGGGAGGCTCATCTCTTTCTTAGGCATCTTTAAGGCCTTTGATACATGAAACATCTTATAATATATCAGTACCACTTTTTTGTCCATAAATATTTACCTTTGCACCATTACACATCCATAGATAAACGTGCAAATAGCACTTGATAATAAAAAATCGTCATCTATTTCCAGATCGATATCTGTGTCGGAAACGGTACGAACACTAACAGAGCTTCGTCATACTCCAGCAAGTCCTTCATTCCTTCGAAAGACTACCAATCAACCGCCAACACAGCCCCAAGGAGCATTCAACCAAATAACACATTCTACATTTGTCGAACGTTCGAGTTCATGTCGAAGAGTATCGACAACCAGTGTGGAATCATCATCATCATCGATATCGTCTGCACAGTATCAAGGACCAGGTGGAGTAGGCCAAGGTTTCATGGCAGTACTCAGTTCAAAATTAATAAATACAAATATGAATGTCAATTCAAACAGCAGTCCTAAATCAGCCCGAAAACATATCAACTTAGAAACTACCCAGAGTCCAAGGACACCAGTTGGATTTTTAGAGACTTTAAATGCAAAATTAGCAGCCCAACAGCAACAGGCGCAGCAAACCCAACAGCACCCGCCTCAAATACTACAGATACAGCAAGGGAGATCAAATACTACAAATAGATCAGCAAGTGTTAGACGAATAATGGCCAACAGAGTACCGATAATCGATCCCCATCAAGTACGCAGTTCACTAATGGATCAAATAAGACGAGGCACTTCATTACGCACCAGTGGCCCTATAAACGATCGCTCAGCACCACAAATCTATTAAAAAATTAGTTTAAAAGCTCTGTAGAGTCCCTCATCAACAAAAGCTAAATCTAGTTTCTATGTATAGAGATCGATCCAATTTAAAACATCAATTTTTTTTAACTAGTTCCATTGACGACCTTCATCTTTCAATTTCATTCCGCTTTGATGTAATCATTATATTCCGCTCTGAAACTGCCAGATCTTACCTTCCTTTATTTTCATAGGTACAGGTTTTTTTTCCATTGCATTTAAGTTATTGAATTATCGTTTTATCAACTTTGGATGTATGTGAAAGTAATTCGGAACCCAACAATCCCCAGTGAAAAGCCAAGTGAAATCCTTACGAGATGCCGTATTCATTCAGAAAATCAACGAATCATTATGAAACATCTTGTAATATTGTAACGTTAAAAAAATATTATCGCAATTCATTTTTCTCCATCACGAAACATTGTCGCTGATTGAGTTGGAATAATCTTTATTTCCTTAAAAATACAGAAGCTTTTGCATCAACATAAGAGGATAATTGATAATATTAGAGGCGGAAATGGATGATTAATAATAATATCAATAACTCCAATGTCACTTTTACCATTTAAATGAATTGCCACCTCTCATACATCCATAAGCTTTTGTTGACTTGGAGATTTTCACATCGTATATTCAAAGTTAATTCATGAAGGGTGAAAAGCGTATAGATATTTGGTGTTGATTCAATTGATGTATTCAAAGAAAAAAATGGGAATAAAAATACTGATATATCTTTCTTTCTGCAATTTTATGGTAATAAAATCTAGCAAGCTGTTGCATTGGTCAACGGTAGCGATAATAAAGATAATAAAACAAATTGTGACAAAATAATAATTGACGAGCGAGTTGCAGTGATTAGTTGTTAGACGTTTATTCGCGTAGCAGTTATTGTCAAAAAATTGAATAAAATAAAAACCTATAAAAGGTAGATGTATGATTGTTCATAAATCACGAAAATAATAATAATAATAATAATAATAATAATAGTGATAGTAGTAGTGATAATTATAATATAACCATAATAATGAAGTTATTGGATTCCAATGGAGATAAATGGTGAAAGAAATTAATTTCTAACAGAAACGTCTCTTTGGTAATAATTGAGAATATTACAAAATGTTTAAACTTTAAAGTGTACAATCAGACTTTAGTCTTCACATCATGTATTTGGAGAAGTTGGACAGAATTCTCGCGCTTCAATAATTTGTGATGATGAATATCCAGTGTTTGGAAGTGTGTAAATCGACACCATACCATCAAGAGGTTTTTTAACATACTCCCCGATACCTCCAAGACGATTATGATCGTACGCAACTGAATCTGTAATTGGCGAAGTAGAGTTTCCAGTTGCAAATATCAAGGCAAGACTTCCAGGCTTGTCCAAAGCTGGACATGTGCAGTTTTCATTCATACTCAGTTCGATCATGAATCTCAAACGCTTGGGTTGAGGTTCAGAGCGCAAATCCAATAACAGTCTCGCCTTTCGAAGTCTTCTGATTGCTACTTTGACTGCTGCTGATGACTTGCAGTAAAGGTCTTTAATATCTAATGGCAATTTGTCACCACAGAGTGGACAACTGGTACTAACTACTGATTGATTCAGGGGTGAATTATTAAAATCTTCATTCAGGTTACCAGATCGATTATTTTCCGTTTCATTTTGGGGTGTGAAAAACTTGGGATGCTCTCTGTCTTCTTGATGTAACTGAAAATTGGAAGGTGGTTTCACGTAGACAGGTGGAGGTCCCTCAATACCGTCTGGGGTATTCAACTCGTGATCTATCACTACAAATGATGGATTATCGAAGAACTGCCCAGCCGATTGCTCAGGTTCTAAACCACTTCCAGGTTCGATGTGTTTTACTAAATCAACTTCATCAATGGATTCTATGGATTCAGTTGTGGTTGATGTTGCGAATGTCATAGGAATTCTCTCAACTGTCGAAGAGTTTAATGTCTGTGTTGTATTTTTTTGTAAAACTTCATGTAAGATTGTCATTAATTTTTTCACTGCTGGAGGAGGAAGAGATGGATAGCTAGTTTCGTTAGCAGTTTGTTTGGCCTTATCTCCTGCTTCATCTGCTGTTTGTGCTAAGATTGCATCTTGCGGGAGATCCTTGGCTGATCTTTGAAGAGATGTTATTTCTTTCTCTATCGGAACCTCGAGATTGAACAGTGGCGTTGGTTCCGGATCATTGGGTTGTGAATCTAATCCTTCAATGTCCACATCACGTATACCACATGTTTTTGCAAATGTATAACTTTTCACAAAAGTCAATTCTTGACGATAGTAATCATATAATTTGATAATTGCTGGTTCAGCCTTTTCAACTATGTTTTCGCGGGTAACTAAGAATGATATACAAGTTCTTTCGCCAGTCAACTTGTCGAAATACATTGTAACGGAATCTCGCTCTTCTTCAAATCGTTTGACTCTAGTAGAAGGCTCTTCGAGTAGCGCATGGAGAGTCCCTTTGTCTGGTATGAATCCACTGATCATTCCGATCTCCAACAGAGCCATATTACTCTCCTCATCAGCCATTTTGTATCTAACACAAACACTGATTTTCTGCATTGAACACTCATCCCCAGAAGCAACGGGCTCAGTATTAACAACCAAATCGAAAGCCTGTGACCCAGTGGCTCTGGCGACATTGTACTTCAAGTTAGTCTGAACGAGGACACATCCTTCGCCTTCCGCAAAGATTTCCACTAATGTTGGGAGTACTGGTAAGCGAACCTGAACGAGTACCATTCGATTATCTTCATGGATTCTGACAACTTTAGCGACATCTCCAGCAGTTACAAGTACAGACAAGTCGGTGTAGTTGCTGGACATAGCTGCTGCATACTTAGCAAGTGCCTCAAGACCAAGAACAGTGTCCTGGGTTGAGGTGAATCCACCTTCTGCATTTCTCTGCTTTGACATCCACCGGACTGCTTTTAGAGCCAATGCCATATTTGCTTCTCCACCGAGTTTTACTAATGAGAGTACAGCATAAGCTGTCATTTCAATACTCAAACCCATGGATGGTTTATTCTTGTCCTCCCACCACATGAGATCGTGAAGACGTGTTGATCTTGATAATAAAGACTTCATACTGGCATTAGCGTTGGGATGTTCCAAAAGTGTTAGAGCATAGGTTGCTAATGCTGCAGTGTAAGGATTACCGTCAGCTTCATCAGGCATTCCCTTCTCTAAGCAAAACAACGCATTGCTGATGATCGAAGGTGGAAGACTTTTTCCACTTTCCAGTAGTGATACCAAAACGTAGGCTGTCAACGCAGCTGGAAAGGATTGATTTTCATCCTGAAGACCTCCTTTCATATCTTTGTGGAAGACTCGACCAATCAGAGGAAAACAACCATTCTCCAACTGTTTCTTGATGATCCACTTTACAGATAACTTCAAATCCCTTTCGTCTATGTGAATGTAATTTCTCGCCTGAGCGAATGATTTGACAACAAACGCTGTGAGCCACATTGATCCGCCGCTCTCGGAGCTGTGAGGTCCGAATGCAGAATATGAACCATCTGGATGTCGGTAATTTAGTTCTCGTTGATAACCCTTTTCCATATTTCTGATTGCTTTTTTTCTCAACTCTGGACTTACTGAGCTCCTTCTTGTCGCGTCCAAATACGCAATTGCTTGGATATTTGGAGCAAATAGAATCAGATTCTGTTCACCACAACCAAAAGGTAATCTCACCAGATTATCCAAGTTTTCCAAAGCAGGGCCCAGGAGATCTCCAACGAGAGAAACATATGCTCTCACACTGTCTGCTACAAAGTCATCCGGCAGATCGAGATTCCAAGAAATACTTGAATCATCACTGAAGTCTTTAGGGCAAACGAATGCCGATTTTGTTGTTTCGATGGGAAATCCTTCCGGTAGAACTAAAATCGGTTTCACAATAGCATCTTGAGTGAAGACTACGGTGTTTGGACCACAAGGTTTGTCAAAGTCTGGATCAACTGCTGCGGAGACAGTAACATTGATTTCACCAATAACTCGAGGTCGGAGGACATATTCGTGTACTACACTTTTTCGTGCCTCCACGCAGTATTTCCCTGTAGAATTAGAGAGATGGAGGTCAAATCCAGGGGCATTCACCAATTGGATTTTCACAGGTAAATTATGTTGCATATAATTAAAGAGGGAAACTCTCATGCGGAGTAATTCTCCTCGTTTAACGCTATAAGGGATACTGTAGTCCAGAAAGAACGGTTGAAAAGCGTTGATTTGAACGGGTTGAGCGATTCCAAGGCCATAATTCGAGGAGATACAGATGGTATGACCAATCCAATTGGTGATAGTATGCGGGAGGTTTCGTTTAACGACAGCACGACCTTCCTTACCGGTTGCAACAAGGTCCCAAAGCCACGTCTCTGGGAAGTATGATCTTGGAGCTTTCAAAATATGATCCGGCAGTTGATCAGCATAGCCAAGATCTGGACCTGGAGCTGATGAATCCACTACCGCAAAATTCAACAAGGGGAAAGCTTGAGGCATCATTCGCACTGTTCCCCACATTCTATCTGGCTCATCCATTCTCGTTCGCATCATTTCGAAATCAATATTCTCCCTAGACCTAATCCACTGATTTTGGGGACATGGACGCGATTCAAGAATCAAATCACTCATTACAATTACCCCAAAATCATCGAAAGCCTGCATTGCGTCAACATAATTGACTCCACCATTATGGATGACACTGCGTTTTTGACGACCCTCTCTGTGAAGCTGGCGATTCCAAGGTTGTTTCGGAGCTGCTCGCAAGTCCCAAACTGGGGGGACTTCCACTGCAGGAGAAGGGAGCGGATCAATCTCCTCAATACTTGTTTCGGGTTGATTGGTTTCTGCGTATGAAAGAAGACAAAATATTTCATGTTTTTTTCTGGGAATTTGATGGTTTCCTCTTCGATTAAAAAATGCCAATTTCGATTAAAAATATAGCAATTTCCCTGCAAATAATTGATTGAAAATACATCACATGAAAATATATCATAGATAAACCTAGCATATTCGCTGGAAAATCCGATTCAATTTCTATTGAAAATTTTCCATAGGAATTTCTCCACACAAGTGCACAAGTTTTTCTGTGAAAATTTATTCATCTGTGGAGTCAGGAGAATTTCGTGACAGAAACACGTACGATTTTCTATGGAATATTTTAATGTGTCCTGTAATATTTGAAACAATCAATCCTTCTTTCAAAAATAAAAATAAAAAGATATTATATACACAAGAAGAAATGTAGATACTCCAAGTGTATTCAATTATTAGCCCGAAATTGTAAATATGAAAGTATTAAATACTCACTTTTACAGTGACTCCAAACACTTTGATATAAGATCGGTGTATCACGATTCAAATGAAATCTCTTGGCCTGTTCAAATGCTTCATCAGCATCAACGAGGCTCTTTTTAATATCCGACAAATAGCTTGTTGATTGGTCGACAACGGAAATTCCACACAGCGACCATGGTGCAGCTTCCACATGATATCGTGCCGCTTCTCCAGGCGACTGTGTATCCTCTTGCCAATGGGTTTTGACTCGATTTTCAAAACAATGACCAACTTCAATAGTATAGGTAGTAGCCACAGTTTCCCCATCGGGTCTCACATAATACAGAAGTAATTCGGAAATGGGTGCCATACTTGGAGTAACTTTGACACTCAACGGAAATCGATGAACAGTGTGAGCCATAGGTTCATTCCTAGTTACATTGGAGTGATGATGTGATTGATGGTAGTTACTGGAAGCTGGAGTTGTGGTGGTTTCGACGGCTCCAAGAACATTTTTGAAATCTGAATAATTTAAAACAGAATCTCGATGGGGTTTATGCCTAACATGCCCGAAAATCAATAGATCTCCCTTGGAATTGATCGAGTAGTGAAAAGCAACTGAGTCATTTCGAGAGCCGTTCATCTCATTTGGCATCGTGTACATAACGTTGAATGGATACTTTTCTCCACAAACGATCGGCTGATCACCACGTGCGACAGCCAGATAACTATCCGAAGGGGAGTACCAGGCACCAACGTCGATATATGCTGATGGTTGATCCATAAAAACCCTCCAACGTTTATCGGGAGAGTAGTATTTTGTTGAGTATTCTATTCCAGTAGCTACGAAGCTGAGGAGAACGATGTTTTTATGCTGAGAAGGTACAATAAAGTTTACAAAACCAAGAGGAGATGATGTGAAATTTCGACACTCGACGACGACTCTCACCCATTCGTCCTTGCCTCGAACTCTGAGGCAGAGTTGAATTTTTTCTCCAGGTGCTGGAGTTTCGTCTTGCTTCAGAACTCTCAATTTCCCGTGGTATGGAAGGCCTAGTTTGAAGTATTTAGGAGTATGGGGCAAGAATTCGAGTTTCAGAGCTTGGTGGACAACAACTGTACGACTTGTGGCTGTTTCCACAACTTCTGTACCATCTTCTGTTAGATTTGCAGTTAAAACAATACTATTGGGGGCCACTTCCCAATGTGGAAGACCCATTCCAGAACTTGTAATTGTGAAAGGCTCGGCGCATCCATCTGGAGACTCAATTCTAGTTTCATAATTGATAGCTGGAAAGTTGTGTTTTCTCCTCCAACTTGGAGTTTGAGGGCTAGATTTAAGCCTCAAAGATCCACGAACTGGTTCACCGTAGCTGTATCTAGCACAAATGCTCCACGTGGCATTGTCAGCATCTGCCAGTATATAACTTGGGCCCTTTATAGTTACTTGGAAACGGGGAAGAACATACTTGCGTACCTCGAAGGTCGAGGTGTGGGTCAGCTGGGGATGAGATTTTTTCTTTTCTACTTTAATTCTCCAAGTACCCGGACTCGGTTCTGGGGAGAGGGGGAACAGAAGTTGAACTATTCCGCGGTCTGTACTGAGGTTTGTCCATTGTGCAACTCGCACTTCCGAAGGATTTTCGATCCAAACTTTGGGAATCTGAAAAGAATTATGGATGAAACATTTTAATGTGATATCTATGGCATTATTTTTTTTTTCAAAACAAGGTGTAAACGTACCACAAGAGAAGCCAAACCATGAAGAAAAGTGTGATGTATACCCCGTATAAATTTAGAGCAAAATGTTATTGGCCCCCATCGAATTCCATTTTTAATTATTCAATAATTTTATGCCATAAAAAAATTTTTGATAAAATATTTGACAATATTTTGACAAATATTTTAGAATAAGGAATTTCCAATATTTACTGACGGAACGAAAGAGTCTAGAAATTATTTCCCCTACAATTCCCTTATGTCGGGATGAAAATAGTATATTGTGCACTAAGGGCGGAAAGTCATATTTTCCCCGCGCGAGGTGCGAATGCTATTTTTTTACATCTCTGCACGGAAAGTTCGTACTTTGCTCCCTGGTACGTGAGTACTTTCCGCCCTGGGGTGGAAAGTTGTTTTCTCAGGCGGAAAGTATTCACTTCCCTTCCGCTCATCAGAAAACAAAATACAAACTTTTCTTTGCAGACGTGTTAAAAAATAGCATGTGCATCTCGGGCGGGGAAACATGACTTTCCGCCCTTTGCTGCTTATCAAGCAGCAAAGTACAAACTTTCCATGCAGGGGCGTAAAAAATTAAATAACTAGTTCCATGGGCCATATATGACAAATATTTGCTTGTTTTCAATTATGCCCAAGAAGACATGAATTTTTGATGAATCATTATTCACTCACCTGACGCTTCCAAGGTTTCAAATCGTGCGTTAAAGCAAGAAGACGAATATTAACATCCTGTCCAGGCTTGTAAACCGGCTTATCCGTTTCAGCAAACATTATAACCGAGTCATACTCAATATAAACTTCCTTTTCTGTATTGACGTGATATTCTGGATACTTATCGAACCTGATCTTTAATCTCAACCTTGCCATCGTATATGTCATCTGCACACGATCTGGTACAGCCAATTCCAAACATGTCTCGACACCTAATGGTGAACATTTGCAAGAATGGTAAGACTAGTTGGACGCGTTCGAGCCTGAGAAATCTTGTCATTTCATATTAGTAACAAAATTTATATGAAAATTTCTGCTCATTCATCATTTGACGGATTTTCTGACAAGGTTTATGTTTTTAATTTTCGATCTCGGTCATGTCCATAATTCCAGTTTTCATTTTTATACTGAAATAATTGGCTTTCCTACATTATACTTCATGGTATTTTTTCCCGTCGTTTTCAATCCGAAATATTTGCGTGGAATGCACTGTTTTCCATGACGCAGTCAGAATTTGTGTCCCCTTCACGCATTACAAGCTATTAAATTGTCATTGGCTTGACGCTCACCCTTTTCATTGTATCACAGGAAGTGACAATTTCAATTTATGATTTGTGACAAGTAGGGATGACCCGATAGTAAACGATTACAAATTTATTCATGTAAGGGTATCAAAAATAGTGAATCAGGAAAATAATTGACTGATAAGAGCACATTTTATGACATGTGGCGGAAAAAAAGCGGCGACAAAAAATTAATACATCTTGTACTGTACCAATTTTTCAGCACTGCTTAGAGAACACGAAAAATTTTCTTTCTATCGAAATCATTATCTTCAGAATTAATCAGCTTTAAAAGAATCCCTTCTGAAGAATTTTGAAGCTAACAATTATTATTTAATCTTTCACATGAATAAAAACATTGGAAAATTCTTTCAGAAAATGAGAATATGAATGAATTGAATGGAATTTCTCCTGAAGTTCCAACATTCTGCGACTTATATATAAAAATATATCGATTTGCTTCTAAAGTATGACCAAATCATATTAATTTAACAGTGTCAACCATTTGTATCGAATCTTGTGAATTAAAACAGAAACTTCTCCATTCAATTTTCCTTTTCTGAGAAATTAAAATTCATGTTTCCATGACAAACTATAATGCATAGAATCAATTTTGTAATTTGAGATCAATCTTTAACAGGCCAAGTTCACCTGGGATGATTAAAGTATCCACCTTTTTTCTACAAAGCATGATATTATTCTCATTTTGATTAAGTAAATAAGTTATCAATTATTGTACAAAGCCCTCCACCCTTTCAGCAATTTCCCTGTGAATATACCTAGAAATATTTTATCTTCTCTGCTAAGGTCAAAGATCTTACTACTATCACCCAAGTGTTGTGAGTGTGAGTGTGTATTATACTCTGAGAATCGCGAACAAAACCCAAACATCGACTTACCAGAATCAAGGAGCGTGCTCGTAGAGGCCAAAACCTCTTCATCATTGACTGATGCCGGCGATAATAGCTCTAATAACACGTGAGCCGGTGGTTCCAAGTTATGGAGTGATAAACAGCCGCTCTCTGTCTCGCCAGCAAGGAATTTCTTGGGCGCTGTGAAGATATATCCCCTAAAAATTTGATGAAATTCACGAATGATGATAAAAGCAATGAGATGAAATTTCAAAGTTGATAATTATGATAATGACCTGTCAACTGCACCAATTTCACTCCCACTAAAGACTAGAAGCATTGCTAAGAGGCATAGGTACTGACTGAAGCCCCTAGGTATCATGATGAGATTAAAAACTATTCAACCACGAGTTCAAACACTCACAGCCATTCAATTTAACAGAAAAAGTCTTGAAAAAAATCAAGTTACACTCATTGAATCAAGACACTAATTTTCTTATTTATTTTTCGATGAAGATATACACTTTGAACCAGCACATTCCAACTACGAATCTCAATACGTACTAGCCGCACAGTGTCGATCAGTCCACGCTATTATCCCCCTCTTCAGTGCCTCATTATTGTCTTTTAACCGTTGCAGCTCATTATTTACTTGTCTCGTACCAATTATTGACTCGTATTTCATTGGAAAACGTTGAAAGAGAATTTTCCATGCACGAAGTAATTCTTCAATTTTGTCTTTTGATTTTTAAATGATTTTCTTGTTCAAGTCTTACATGTTTTTAGGTCTAATTTTAAGCTGTGACCTTTGATCTTGACTATCGTAAAATTGAATTTATGATTGAGATAAGTTTTGTTTATGTAGGAGATGAAGGGAAAAGGAGGAGAGACGATCGCATTTGGAATGTTGACTGTATTATTCAAAAATTCTTTCCAAAAATTGATCAGTAACAGACGTATTTCCCACAGTACGTTACTAGATATCTTTGATCTTATTTTTTTCTTATCAATTATATTATCATTATTATATAAATGGTAATGTAAATCAGTGATTTTTTCATTAAAATGTCAATCTGTACACAATAACACCAGCGATTGCAGCAATGGTACCACCGATGAGACTCCAAGCGAGTCTTCCCGTACTGTTTGATGCGGAAACAGTTTTCTTGGAAGATTGCATGGATTCTTTGGGGTTTCCCAACATTTTACGATAGAGATTTTTCTCGTGTAAAGTATCTCTCGCACTCTTATCCTTTAGTATGGATAATTCACGAATAATTTCTTTGGAATCCGGGTCAAGCTTCGCTGCACTCTGAAGGACGGATATTGCGTTCGCGTGCTCACCTTTTTTATGAAGAATTCGTCCTACCAAAATAAGTGGAAGTTGATCAATAAAGATATTATAAACTTTATCATTATTTATTATGGAATTTTCAACAATTAACCTTGAATTTTCTTCGACTACATTACCTTTTCTGAACAATGCCTTCACATTCTTCGGATTAGCTCTCAAAACATTGTCGACACTTTCAAGTGCGGCTTCGTAAGCTTCGGTCTTTATTTGTGCGGCTGCAAGATTATTGTAGACTTTCGTTCTCTCTTCAAGAAGAATTTGTAATTCAGAATCAGTTATAACATCTTCGGGTTTCTTTTTATGGTCGTCTCCTGAGGGTTGGAGAAAATCTAATGCCCTTCGGTAACACTGAATCGCCAAAGTAGGCTCGTCCCTGGCAAACCACCAGTTACCACGTTCACGTTTTCTGTTGCTGAAATCAGAACACCGCTTGATAATTAATTGAGGATGAATTTTCATTTTATAATACTAGTGTGGCCCGCCTCACGGCAATTCAATTTTTTGCATGTTACCCGTAAACTTTGAAATCAATCGCCAAGTTCTTCGAAATTTCCTAAATTCTTTGACATATGCTGATGGGAAAAAAATCATCAAATCTTGTAAAATTCCTGGAACCTTCTCCGGAAAATGAATATTTATTATAATTATACAGATGATGCATGAATTTGATGGGAAATTCTTTAACGATCTAGACCGTTCTATAACTTTCTAGGATATTTTATGATTTTTCGAAGAAACGAACATTTTAAATTATATAAAGTATGATAATAAAATGTAAGCTACCCAAACTCTTTTCTCTGTGTGAAGCCCATCTCTTCGATTTCAGGTTCCATTTTTACGGCTTTTAGATTAACATTGTAATATAGTGTGGCTCCAGGAGGGATGTCCGGCTCTTTCCCAATGTCCCCATAGGCAAATCTTGGGGCTATTACAATTTCTGCTGCCTCTCCAACGTCCATCAGTGCTATAGCCAAATCTAGACCCTAGAAATGCATTAACTACTTTGAAGAAACTATTATTTTCTCAAATATTTAGAATTGATTTTTAGAATAGATATTTATTCGAGAATTTTGATACCATTAACAATCTTTGATGCAATGAAAATTTAATCTCTTCGGTCTTCCCATAGCTAAACATCCAATTTTTCAATGAAAGCAGGTGTATTAAGAAGTATATAGGATAATCAGTTTCAAAAAGTATATGTCAATGTATGAAAAAATTTTATGGAAAACCCTTGGACTGCACCTGCATTTTCTTCAGACATTCCTTTACATTTTTTATCTTTCTTTTGCTCGCTCGAATTTGCATTGTTTTTGCGTACATTGTTAAATAATAAAAAAAAGTCCCCTTTTTTTTCATATAACTTGTTGACAATGCAGTATTTCTAGGAGCCCCGCAACTCAGAGACCCCCGAAAATTGCACTGCCAAAATCTTGCAAGTGCAATAAAAAATTTTAAAAATAAAGAAATTTTTTTTTCCACTTTCAGTATCTTTTTTGAACTCTTTGTAAAAAAATTGGGATTTTTAAATTAGTTCTACGAGTGAAAAAACATTTTTGCAACTAAAATTGAACTTTCAGACTCAAAGTGAAATGAGGCATTTTTATTGCCGATTTTCTAGCGTTTCTCTCATTTAAACTATTGAAGATTGAGAAGTGCGCTCACTGACTTGTTTGTTGAAAATTTTGTGCTCTATAATTTAAGTATTATGCATTTTATTCGTATCTATGATCATTTCGGCAACGTTTACGAAAAACGGTGACACGGTACGATTTTTTTGGAATTTTTTTACAGTTTTGCATTTTTTATTGTTTTTTAACAATTTCGAGAACGAGTACAACTTAAGGGCTTGTTGAGGGGTCATTCGTCGAATTATTCAGTTCACATCGACCGTCGAATTTTTGCAATGGCAGGCTATAATATCCGATTGTTTAACTGGCCTATTCGAAAAATAACACGGCAAGAGCTTTTATGGCACTCGTGATGGTGCGGCCATGAGCATGGCCATGAAATTCTGAACGCAATTTGGAGGTCCATGGTCACCAATTTCATGGCCCTAAATCTTAGGTGTTCCATGGCCTTGTTGCTGGGCCAACATTTATTCAGGAGGATGGGGTGATTACAAGGGTCCGACGAAAGAGGTAAATGTAGTTATCGCAAGGGTCTAATGAGAGCGATGAATAGAGTAATCGGAAGGATCAGACGTGAGGAATAAACCATGATTACCGCAAGGGTCTAATGAGAGCGAAGAATAGAGTAATCCCACGGGTAAAACGAGCGAGGCAAACGTAGTTATCGCAAAGGTCTAATGAGAGCGATCAATAGAATATTCGCAGGGACAAACCGAAGCATTGAGATGAGTAATGTCAAGGGTCTATTGGGAGCAATGAATAGAGTAATTCCCATTAGACCCGTGAGATTACTCATCTGAACTCTCCCGTTTGACCCTTGCGATTACTCTATTTATCGCTCTCATTAGACCCTTGCGCCAATCACGTTTGTCTCTTCCGTTTGACTCTCTATTTTCATTCTTTTTTTTTGTTTTTCAGTAAGTGAATTATCAATTTGAAAATAAATCCCATGGGAGCCCACGTATGAGAAAAAATTTGTCCATTTAATTGCATGTCGTCAACGTTACTGCAACTAATTTTTCTCAATTATTAGGAAAATTTCGATTTTCTGAAAATGAATAAACATCCATAAATTCTTTCATACGTGTCAACGTGCGAAAAATGTAGCGATAGGTCAGAAAACGTCCAATAGAAAATTCTGATAACAAAATTATATGTAAAAAGACTGCTTAACATGCATAATGTACAAACAGTAAATATGTTGGAAAAATGTGCAAAAGAGATGATTTTTTACCTGGATCAACTCAACATCTCCTAACTGTATCGCAACATCGATGAAACATTCAACTTCCTTGCCATTCTCTAATTTTCCAACAATATTAATAGTACAAATATCATTTCGCTGCGGACGTGTGTTCTTCTTTCCTTTGATAAGAGTTTTTTTCTTTAACTGGCCATTTCCAAGTATGTCCATCCACTCATCTTCAATAGGATCACTGAGTGCTGCCTTGGTAAGTGGATCTTCAGGATCAACATCACTAAAATTTAGATCTTTAACGAAATCTTCTTGGGTACGTTCTCGATTCATTGTCTCCTCCATACTTGACATTTTTATTCTGGCTTCACAAACGTTGCAGTGTAAATCGCTGCGTCACCCCTCAAAGACTATTGGAATGCATACAAAATGAAATGATGCAGTAAGTGCGAGGGAAAGGGTCAATCAAACTGAACTTACTTATAAACTACTGATAAACACTTCATAATATAGCAAATCTTCAAAATGTCATTTCAAAATACCTTTTATAAATTTAATTGCAAAAATATTCATTTACGATTATAATTTTATGAAATGATAATTACCTTCAGTCTAACCCATGAACCGGCATGTTCTCTTTTTTTATCCAATACAATTATTTTCTCTTAGAAAATGTTTTTTTTCTCGTAAAATGAGAGAAACTATACGTTCTGATAATGGCAGATGGCGTTATACATACAAGAAGCGAACGATTTTACCAACTGATTTATGTAGATGTGTTGGGAATTGAATGTGTGGGTAGAGAATGGTTTCAGTGTGTTTTAAAATGGCCGATGCAAACGAGAAGTTGTTGGCAGAACTACTAAAAAAGCCTGGAAATAACGAGTGTGCTGATTGTGGAGCTAAAAGTTTGTTTTCTAATTGATCATTATTTCATTGTGCATATTATTCAATTGACTTTTTTTTCATTGCCTCTTGTTGAGAAAATTGACAATGAAAATTCATCGTGCGTAGTACGGGGGGAGTAATGTACTCAGGCATTCTTACTCACTCCACGTTATTCCACTCTTGTCATAATTCAGAATCAGCTTTTCAAAGCTGTCATTTGTTGTGGGCGTCTAACGATCATTCTCAAAATCTGCTTGTAAGATTGCGTGGTGTCAAAATACGACTTTCTTCCATTCATTGTTTCACTTACATATACTACTTTTCGAGGATTGACATCATGAGAATGTGATTGAGAATTGTAAAATTCAGGGTCGAAATCTTTCGTTCATCTGTTAGAGTTGTTTTTTATCCCTGTGAAATGGAATGAAGTATTGTATCATATATAATGATTGCAGATCCAGAATGGGCATCGTACAATATTGGAGTATTTTTGTGTACGCGGTGTGCTGGTGTTCATCGTTCCATGGGTGCGCACATATCAAAAGTGAAGCACTTAAAATTGGACAGGTGGGAGGACTCACAAGTGACAAGGGTCAGGGAAGTAGGCAATAATGCTGCAAAACTCTATTATGAAGAAAGAGTACCACCTTGTTATCGCAGACCAAATCAGGACGCACCACAGTAAGAAAAATCAGTACAAAATTTTACCGTTTCCTTGTGGAAAAGGTTCTATTATTTCTAAAAGATTTTTCAAACTATTATTTAACGCTAATCAACGTTCATATTTTACAGTAGTAGATGATTTTCTTTTATTTATTCCTGTAAAATAGTAAAATTATTTATTCCTGTAAAATAGTAAAATGGGAAGCTATAATTTGAGTGACAATCTATTGGCTTTCTGGGCTCATACAAGTTGCGCCTTCATCGCGAAATCTGCGTAACGCTGAACTCTGATAGAGCTTGATATCAATATATCACCATGTATTCATGAATTTAATTTTAATACCTCGATTTAACGTACTTCCGCATTAAGCTCAAAAAACATAGGAGTGGGAAGAAAGATTGTGCACTCTAACCTCGTTTTTACGTCCTATCCTCCAATGTATAACCCCCAAAAACATAATGATTTTGACGCACATTTTGAATGACAACTCATGATTCCTGTGGTCATGAATAATGAAATTGCAGGAAAGTATTTTGGAAACATGTACGATGCGATAAATCAAGTATTTGGATTCTTAGCATTATTGTCCATGGTCGTCATTCCCCATTGAAATGTGTCTCATAAAGCTCTGTACAAATGACAATTTTAATTTTTTTCTCTACAAAAATCAATGTGGTAAATCGTGTTGGAACTTTCGGGACAACTTTCTAATTTATTGAAAGAATATATTCTCAAAATTTCAACCCTGTAACACATTTCCTTCTATTCCCATATGACTACTGCGGAAGTATCTTAATAGTTGAAGAAAAATTACAACTCATAAAGGGGGTACTGGTTTGAAAGCCATGTTCATGAACGTGAGCGTACATAATATTATATGACGTTGAGGGGTTAAAAGGGGTTTTAATTCACTAATAGCAACGTGGTTCCAATAATGATGAATTTAGAAAAACGATAGTACCGAATAAGTCTGTAAAGTATGTAAATACTCCCATTTTCCGCATATTTCTCAGTTCCTTTCTGCCCTGCTTTCCCTTACATTGAAAAACTTTGAAAGTCATTCGGAAACTCACTGCCAACGGAATTTGTAGAAATAATAATTAAGAGACAACTAGTATTAGATGTTTCCTGAATGCCTTATCATTTTTTTCAGCTCTTTCTCTACCGATTCCGTGGGCAGTAAGCTTCCGTCATTTTTCGTGCTATCGAGGTAATTTTAACCTTAAAATGTGCGGAATGTTATCAATATTATCAGAGTATTCATAACTCCATATCGACAAATTGGGCCCTTTTCGTGCCGACGCCCACAAATTATGGATGCTCGTTGTAAATAATTAAGATATTCAAATTAAATTCAAAAGCTCACGGTAAGGCAATTTATATCGAACCAGTTAATTTGTTATGTGTATGATCATAACTGAATGGCAACTAGTTATGAACATACACACCTAATCATATGCAGACTCGTACATACATGTAGGCATTTTATAAAAATATAATTTCTTCAAGCTTCATAGCATTCTTTATCCTCTGACACGAGATTTACATTAAGAAACAAAGAGGACATAGATATACTAGATGTACAAATCTTTCCATAATTTCTATTTTTCGTTATTTTGTAACACCACAGTTTTGTACTGAACTCATCTCGATACATTAAAAAATGTTAAAGGGTTCTTGTCGAGCAATGGATTCGAGCGAAATACCAACGGGAAGAGTTTTGCCACCCTGAAAAACAGAACCAATACGTTTCAGGATTTATGGAAGGTTTCTTGATGAAACGTGGCAAAGAGGATGCGCGTTATCATCCTCGGAAATTTGTTCTCTCTGAAGCAGATGATACCTTGAAATATCACGTTAAAGAAAATAAAGATCCAAAGGCTGTATTGAGGATATCGGAGTTGAATGTAGCATTTGCACCACCAAAAACCGGCCACCAAAACAGTCTCCAAATATCATTTATGAAAGATGGTTCGACTAGGCATATCTACGTTTATCACGAAGAACCAGAAGTAATAACGAATTGGTATCTCGCAATAAGATGTGCTAAACTTCACAGACTTCAAGTGGCTTATCCAGGTGCATCGGAAAATGAACTACTGTCACAATTGACTCGAGATTTTCCTAAGGAAGGATTTTTGTGGAAAACTGGCCCGAGACATTCAGATGGTTATAAAAAAAGATGGTTTACGTTAGATGGGAGAAAACTTATGTATCACGATGATGCTATGGTAAATTTCTTTAACCGGAAATAAGAGGTCACTCATTTCTGTCACTAGTGTGTCTCATTTTCTGACATTGTTTCAGGATGCACATCCAAAAGGGGAAATTTTTATTGGTCACAATTCTGAAGGTTTCGCACTCAAAATAGGAGTTCCACCAGGTGCTAAAGATCAAGGCTTTTCTTTCACTCTAGAAACTCCAGACAGAAGTTTCCTATTATCAGCTCAGAGTGAGGATGATCGAACTCAATGGATGAACGTAATACAAAAAGTCATTGATAAGCCTTTAACGCCTCAAGACGCAACCGGTATGTTCTGCTCAAATGTTCTATTTATCCATGATGTTTGAAGTGTTGATTTTTTGTTTAGAGTTCCCCAACGGTCTGGAAATTACCACAATATTTACGATTTCTCTATTTAGTTAATTAGATGGCGTTGCCATGTGATTTCTTTATATCCTTCATTCTATCCGTTTACGAGTGTTTACTAATTTTCATAGAATAATTTGGAAGAGAATATCATCCCCTCAAACAAGTTTGCATAAACTTAGTTCAGATACTTTGACCAATCAATAATCAGAGGAAAATCTGACAATGTTCTCATTATTTCAGTGGCGGCAAGATTAGTCAGAAAACGCACAGCTAGTGGAACAATGAACATATTCTCAACGAGATAGGGCTGGATAACTCTTAGGAGATTATCATGATTTTTCCACTAAAAGAATGGATCATCTGATAGGTGAAAAAGAAATTTAGGTGAATTGTAAATTAACATGGAGATATCAATGACGTGAAACGTTAGGGGATAAAAGTTAGTGAGTGTAATCGCGCACAAACACCGTCGAGTGGTTATAATATCGCACGCAGTTCATTTTGTATACGTGAATTTTCTTCACGTAAAAAAAGAAATGAAATTATTCAAGACTGGGAATAACATTTGACGAACGACTGACTCAGTTATTTTTTTTATCGGTTATTTCTTCATAGATCTATCGATCATACGTCGTTTGCCAAGAACTACTCTACTATTAAATAATCAAATTATTTTTTCGGAAGAAAAATTGCTTTGACACGAATGAATGATAATACTGAACCAATTTATATACGCTGTTTTTATTTAAAAAAACATGCGATATTGGACATCACTCTTAGGTTAGACTGAATAAATTAAATTAATCAATCACAACGATTGGAATTGTGACTAATGGAGCTCTCAATATGATATTGAACGTATCATTTGTTTTAAGTCTTGAAGCAAAGGAACTTATTTTCAAAAGTGGTACACGTCCGCATTGCAAACACAATTGTCTTTCACACTTCGGTAGAGAGTCGATCCTTGTATGACCACTATTTGAGTCCTTAAACCGTTTTTTACAAACTAAGAAGTTGAATGGTTTCATCATAAAAAATGATGAAAAAAATTTGATAATTTTGGGAGAAAACCGATTCAAGAATAAATGAAACACATGAAGATTAATTTTTAAAATAGCACAGTTGAATTTCCAAATAGGAAGAATTTACTTATTTAAAAGTTGAAAAAATAAAAGAACCAATCGAGCTTTATCGACTGATAACAATTGCTATGAGTCTACGCATGAGGCCCTATTGTGAAATGCAAAGAGATAATTGAAAAATGGAGGGATTGCCATCATTTCAGTTTGGATAATGTGTAAACATAGGATCAACTGTCCCGTCTCCACATTAAATTACATTTTTAAGAAAGTATATGTATATTTTTGAATCCACAGAAAGTCATAAAGATTTTAACTGCTTAACGAAAATACGATGAAATGAAAAAGAAAAAAATTATGAATGATTGGTGAATTAATTTTTTTACATCTTGACAAAACATATGACAATTGAGCATGAGTCAACTAATTTTAAAATAATTATCAGTTATTAAAAAAATCATCTTTTGAGAACTTTTCCATGAAATTTTCTTGTTTATTTAGAACGACTTGATCCTCACAAACAGTATTTAAAACGTAGGTGATGTACCACGTATACCAAATATCAATCATCACATGGATTTGATGAAATTAATGAATGCATAAGAATCCAAAAATGGAATAAAACAAGTGAATGTCATTATTAATAAAGAAAACTGTTTTGTCATTAAAAGAAGAATGTGATTTTATTTCTTTGCATTGCATGATTTTTCGTTATCTCTGTATTGGAAGCAAGCATCTTAATTTCAAAACCCAACGATGAGGAAAAAATTACATTGTTCAATAACACGTCGTAAAGGGTACTTGATCGATTGTCAAATAATTCATCGAAACCAGCAGAAATGGAAGAAAAAATATTTTTATTATAATCTTTCGTAGTTGGAGAAATTTATTTCACAGAAATCCCTTGGAGTATTATTGTTCATTGCTGGAGACAGGCGTTCTCTTGAGATGGCATAATATGTTTACCCAGAGAAAGGCGGCAATACTGACGAAGACAACGCGAAATTTCGCAGGAACCATTAGGAAATTAACAAATTGCATTGGCAACCAGTAAAGGCAAGAAGTCTATGAAGAAAGTAACAATATCTATTAATTTATCAATTTTTGATTCATTTCATTTTTTAGTAGAGGTGCTCTCTTCGTTACCTGGAATGTTTTTAAGAATTTTGCTCTACACTCTTCAAGGATATCCTCTTTCCCCTCCATTAAGCTCATACCTAACATTGAAACAAGAAATTCAATTGAATTTAATATCAGAACAAATGCCGATACCTTTATTATGCCATGTAAAACAAAGAAAAACATCATACTACTGAAAAATAGCACAAGTAAAGGTGGAGTGAGAAGGAACTGATCGCAGAATAATTTCTTCATTAAAGTTGTACCAGCTATTCCAACGTAAAAACTGTCCAGCCACAAGTACCTGTAGAAAAGAGTAAAATGACTTCTCTCTTTAGAAAATGATTTACAAATTAATTGGACTCAGCAGAAATACGTTTCACAATTCAATCAATACCATATCGATGGACGAGATATGATTACTTTGATTACAATATCATGAAATGAACATGGAGATCAGATGCAGGAAACTCAAATTGGATCTCAGGACGTTTGAAATTTTCTCAGGGTTGCTGATTCTAATCGATTATAAACTCATGAAAACTATCATTATCAGTTTTTGTTGATGTAAGGACTAAGACAAAAACCTCAGGTGCATCAAACAAAGCCGGCGCAGTGAACAGAGACGATAGAATTTGGGATTTTGATTTTATTTGTGATCGGAGTCAGCTCACCAATGACATCGGATGATTTAAGGAACAGCGTGCCCATAATCGCTTTATCTGGTAAATGTCATCCTCTTGTATGAGTTCAATTAAATCCAACACTGATCACTAAAATGAGATAAGGTTGCATTTCGATAGGAATGCTCTTATTTTGTGCTTAATTTCAAGAGTGAGTGGAGTTAGTAGTGAATGAATAGTGACACCAAGCAGCAAAACATTAGGCAACGTGCGGCAATAATCATTCATTTAAATTCATTTTACCATTTATGGAGTATTGGACCTGCCAAAAAAAACCCATAGACAACGTATCTTTGCAGAACAGACCAGTTATAGCCATCTTTATCTATCGTTTTATGTATTCCTTTTCCTCTTTCATTCGAAGCCACTCTCGAATTACTTTGCGATCCGATGACAACCAGTGGAACCGTGCTCTCAGTGACAGTCAATGCTCTGGCCGTTGATGACTAATTGATTTGCAGAAAAAATTGGTTCAATTTGAAGTTGCACGGGATTTTTTGCCTTAAATTAAGTCAGGGGGCAAGAGGGTTCAGGGGGATATTATAAAGGACTGCCATATATTACGTAAGATGTCGATTTTTACCTCTTTTGTACCTTCACTATGTACGATATATAGTAAGATTTTGTGGCCCCCTCTCCCTCCGCGATCTTATCTAAGATGAGAAATTTATGACCTTACAATGGCCGTAACTCGCGAAAGTCATGTCGCAAGAGTCATACCTCACGAGGATTGTATCTTTCAAGGGTCATATCTCATCATACTCAGGTTGCCCGCAGCACCCCACGCTTTCGAGATGGCATCACCTTTTCCATCATTTAAAGAATACGTAAAAAATAAAAGAGAAAAATAGCTGTTTTTTTTTTCTAACCCTCCGGGCTCGCCCGATTATCCTTCAATACTGGAAATAAAGAAAAATGTCGAAAAAGTAATTTTATGACAAATTTATTGACAAATATTTTTAATTTTTCTTAAGTAAACATTTTGTCCTATTTCAATCGGGTTCGTGGCTATAAACACTCTGGAGTACAATAAGAGTTACCACGCCGGCTGTTTCGTTCCAACCCTCCAATTTTTTTAAATCTACGATAGCGAAACGAAAAAATCACATAACAAAAACTGTTATATGTTATATGAATAACTGTGTTCATTATCAGGAAAGATATATTTTTTGTTGAAAATTGTTTTCGATAGTTTAAACAAATTACGCGGTATGGCAATTAAACCAATTAAATTGATAATAACAATGGTTTTGCCCAACTGGATGCAAAAATAGCCAACATATTTGTGTTCTACACCCTCGAATTGATAAATATCGATTATATTTCGCAGGGACGTAATATTGGGGATCATACCTCAATTGAGGCTATTTCATCCCTATGATAGACACCTGCATGTAAATCAAGGGGCTTTGGGTTCTACTCTGAGGGAAAGAAAAAACCTATTCTCGAACAAGTTCTGCTTAAACTAAAGAATAGCGCAAATATTACTAAGAATAAAAAATCTCGTGCTCAATATTTAAAGTGTATTCTGAGATGAAAATTTTTGTCGAAAACAGATTTAGTTGTTATTCTACACTACTCTGTGCCCAATGTATCTTGTTCTTGGAAAATATTCGTTTTATCCGACACGCATTTTGTGTGGCGAAAAATATGAATGAGCGAAAAGGAAGACTATTTATTTCTCTTGGAAGGAAATCACGTAAGTTTATTGATTTAAAAAGAGAAAATAATTTTTAAAAAATCACAACTCCCGTAATTATCGATATTTTCCAATGGATTTTTTTTTTAATGTTCGCATTGAGACCCACTTTAAGGAAAAAAATCGGCGAGAAAATCCGTGAGATCGACTTTTTTGGCCTTGCGTTTTGACGTGGCTCTTATGGAAAAATTGATCAAATCGTCCAGGGGAAACAAATGGCAATTTCCCACAGTTCGAGAAAAAATTAAATACGTACTTTATAATTTAACTTACGGTTTCTTTTTTTCGCTCTTGTAGTTTATACGTCTGTTGAAGGAATTCAGCACTTGTATAAAAGGATCCATAGATGAGAGAGTTGAAAATCAATGGTTTCTTCACAAAATTGAGAATGTTTTTGGATAACGACATTCCGAATGGTGATAACCATCCCAGATGGTACAACATGAATTGATTATTTCTCACCTCACTACTTTGCCTACGAATAGCAACAGAAAATGTTATTAATTTGTCAAATATATATATGTATATATGAGGTATTCCATGCCAAATGAGTCAACGGCTGACCCTCACCCTCTTGAAAATTGATGGCGATTTTTTCTACGATTGGGGGGCTTGAAAAACTATCTCTCAAATTTTTAAAGATTTTTTGACAGCCCAGTTCGGAGATATTTTTTTTTCAAATTGTTTTAAGGTGTTTTCACCAAATTTTCACTATTTTAAACAGAAAATTTTTTTTTGTCAATTGATCCTGGATGGAACCCAACATGTATGACGGCTCAAAATTTTCGTTTGACGTAATTGGCAAAATTAAAGTTTTTCAACTTTTTTTCGAAAATTCGTTATTTTGAGCATCTAAAGATTGGAAAAAATTAAAAAAAAAACATTCTCATAGGTGCTGAAAAATGGAAGATTTTGCCCCCTAATAAATCGAAATCGGATGAGTAGAACTCGAGTTATTGTAAAAAAAACGGAACAATTTGAAAAAAATCATATTTCCGAACTGGGCTGTCAAAAAAATCTGAAAAAGTTTGAGATATTTTTTCAAGCCCCCTAATCGTAGAAAAAATCGCCATCAATTTTCAAGAGGGTGAGGGTTAGCCGTTGACTCATTTGGCATGGAATACCTCATATATATATATATATATATAAATAATGTATATACATACATATATATATAATTAATGAATATAAATAAAATTCTCTTATTAATCAATCATTCTCAGAGCCCAACAAACATTCTCATTTCATATTGAAGTGTCATTCATATCTCCGTACAAATTCGTCAATGTAACCATGAACGAATTTGTACGGAGATATGAATGACACTTCAATATGAAATGAGCATGTTTGTTGGGCTCGGAGAATGATTGATTAACAAGAGAATTTTATTTATGTCCTGGAATCTACATAATTCCTTTAGGAGAGGTTTAGAGGTTCAGACAAAAAATATAAAATGTTTAGGTTCAGCCCTCGAAGCACGGGCTTTTTTAGCAGCAATATGCGTTACCAATTCATTATCAACGAACGAATGATTGATTCTTTCACATTGAATACATGTTATGAATATCTTGTTGTCTTATCTGTTTGATTACGTTTCGAAGCATTTAATTTTTGCATTCTATTTTACATACATATTGTCAGTGGATCGATTCAACAGGTATTGAAAAGATAAGGGAGAGAAAGCTAATATCCGCCTTTCAACCGCATTGCGTCAATTCTACTGACAGCGTTGCACGGGAATGGAGAGAGATTCGTTATCAAATTTTTAATTAAAAAAAAACATCCATGATACTTTAGTCTAATATTTCATTAAGGTTCCGGTAGTTCAATCCACTATTATTGAAAATGACTGCGGGTACCAGCGGCCAACACTTAGCGGCAATCATGTTCAATAATATCCAATTTACTCTATATAATATGCCACAATGGATTTCAATAACCTTGAAGCTGATAAGAGGACGAGTGAAAATTTTTTTTCAATGGGCCCATTCCGTGATTCTTCTGAAGAAAAATTCAGTAGAGAGAAAACAATTATCTGACCTGTAGCGTGGTACATCTTTGTAATGTTGCGCCTCGAGCCTCGACGAAACAACTGATATGATATCGCAACGAGAGAACTGCGCTCTCGATGGCGGGAAGTGCAGGATTACGGAATTTCTCGAGCACTCCCGACAGCAACATTGGAGAGTTCGGGATCATTTCTAGCATTTCGGCATGATTTTATTATGAGAATTCGTTCTTCATTTTTTTAATTTGTATTAGATGCTAGTATTTCCAACAATTGAACAAATCAATAACATATTTCAGATGAATTACACCTGCGAGCCAAGGTCATTGGAATGAGCATAGTATTGTTTTGCACATTGGTGACGTTATTCTACAACTTGTGCGAACAGTATTGATCTTCCCTGCATGCACCGGAAGTTTCAAACACAAGCCATTCACTCCATTCTTCGTTTACTTTCCGTAAAAGTGTAATTTCTTGGAAAACTTCACTTCTACTGGCCTGAAACATTTGTTACCGTTAAATTGCAGATTTTTTTATCGAGCACAATTGTTATACACTAAGAAAAAAATTTCTAGTATCTAAAGCATATTTTACTCGAGACAAGTAATTTTTCTTCAATCGCTTAATTCTGCCAGACATCTGAACTTCCGTGGCCCGAGAAATTGCTCTCATGCTTTCAAATATTCTTCTACTCAAGTATGATTTTGTCGAAAATTTCTGGAATATCTACTCAAAAATCAATTAGTTTCTGCGCATTATAAAATCCTTTGGATAAAATTATCCTCGCAGCCTGCTGTTTACTTTTTTTTTACTACGTTATTTTTCCCTTTTTTTCCTTTGTAAATTACCAAATACCCTTAAATTACTTAAAGCCCTTCCAATGTTTCCAATGTCTAACGCAGAACAATAGAGATGAATGAGAATTTATTTGAGTGCCGGGAGTACGAAAACATTTTGAGATTTAAGACATTGAAATCCATGAAAATAATTTACTTCTCTCAAGTAAATATAGTCTACATATTAGGACATTTTTTCTCAATGTAATCACATCTTATGAAAATGTTCCAATTCACCTCCGTAAACTTAAGTTTCTGGAACATCCTGATGCTTTTTTCGTTATCCATTTTGATTTTCGCCGAATATTTGGATACTTTCAGAACTTCCACCCCTAATAAGAATAAGCAGGGACATCCTTGATTTATAAAAATAAAAAAGTTATCCTCGTGGGTGGGTGAGTGTGCTTGACAACCAGGCGAATATAAAGGTTCTTTACTCCACCTCCTATGGTTTTAACTACGTTCTATAAAATACGACTTTCACTGCGCGAAAGGTAAATTTAACCCTACTGTCGGATTCAGAATTGAAGGGTACGCACTTTGAATGGCGATAACTCGTTAAAAAAAATCTTCGAGAATGGAACCAAAAAGTTCTCAGAAGCATAACTGTCTAGAAATGATTCCAGAGGAAACAAAATTTTTTTCGATAAATTACTTTTCATAAACAGAACAAAAATGAGTGAAAAAGGGGGTAAAACTCGGTGGTAGATGGCACCGCAAAGTTTTACTTTTATCGTTTTGGGAAAATTACTGTAGATACTCTAATTTTTCCTGAAACGAATGATTTCAAGTTTTTGTTAATCCGACGATTTGTGCAGTACGATTTGTGCATCCGACGTGCAGTTCTTGCTCTTTTTAGTAGAAAAACTATGACTTTCTTTCTCAAGTGAAAATGATCATGAAGGGCAAACACGATAATTTTCTGGCACTGGCGAGGAGAGTATTTTGAATATATCAGCAAATCTGTGAATAAATTCTTAAATCATCCAGGGCGGAGAAAATATTCATATATCAGGGAGTAACTCTTGCATTTTCAAAGCATCATCATATTCCATAATGTAGAGTAGAAAATTAACGTCTGGAGTCCCATTTATGTATCAACCAATGTTGGAAAAATATGATGAAAGAGAATAATAATTATCCTTTTTTTACATTTCAATATACATATATATGTACGATTCGGCAAAATGAATATTTCCATCTTGTCTAAGCCTTCCAAAAAAATCTAAATTAGTTACCGTATCTCAACATCAAGATTATTGCCTCCCACCCCATTTTTCGACCTCTTGCTGTCTCCTCCGCTACCATTATCTCACATTCAGATGCATGAATATCATCGGGGTCATTGAAGTACAAATTAGTGTCACCGATCATTGAGACTATTTCGTCGTTGGTTTTGGAATAAATCTCAGCGTCGAGAACGATGAAAGTGCACTCTGAAAAAAGGAGAATTACCTACTCTTTGAAGAAATTAAAGTGTTTCCATTCTTACTATTTTCGTCTTCTCCCCACGATTTTTGCATCTCATATTCTTCTTCAAGCGTCAAAGGCTCTGACCCTGTTAGGTGTTGAAGTTCTGGAGATTTCATCCACTCATGGTATCTTAAATAAATTATCAAGTCAATATTTGTTTTAAGATTCCGAATGAAGCATCATTAGTATGTTCTCCTATAACTATGATTGTAATGTTAGGCATTGGCCTCTGCGAAAAATGTGATTTGGAAGAACTTCGAAACAGTTGATTGTGACGTGGGAAGACTCTCTTTGTTCCGTTGATTTTGGAAAACAACACGTATGAAATAATCGTAGAGAAATTTTGTATACAGATTGCGTATAGAAATTCTATAGACTTTCCGTATATGATATTCGGATATGTCTATACGAATATTTTCTATACGAATTATTTGTATACGTAAATTTTTACACAAATTTTTGTTTTCATACGAAAGCTGTCTAAACGCCCCAGAGAAAAACGTAGAGAAATGTCGCAACTTCATACGAAATATTTCTATGGAGTAGCAGTGGGTCGTATAGTATCAAACCTGTAGAAATCGTATAGAATTATTCACAAGAATATTTATTCACAAATCCGCCCAGACGCGCGCACTAATTAGCCGATATAGCGCAAACTACTGGGCCGATTTTGATAAATAAAAAGCCAGTCTATCCGTGAATATAAGACAAACAATTTTTATTTGAAAACGTTTTCCGAATTCTCTCACAGTTCTCATGAAAAATCATTTGTTCATTAAGAAGGTCCACTAATTAGCGGATAGCCCGCGAACCACTGGGCCGATTTCGATAAATCAAAAGCTGTTTTGTTCATATGAAAATGATGAACAACTTTTATTCGAAACTTTTTCCGATGTCTTATCATTTTCATAAAAAATCATTTGTTCATTAAGAACGCTCACTAATTAGCGGATAGCCCGCGAACCACTGAGCCGATTCCGATAAATCGAAAGCTGTTTTGTTTGCATTGAAAAGACGAACAATTTTCATTTAAAATATTTTCCGTATGTTTCATGGTTTGCATGAAAAATTATTTATTCATCAAAAATTGCGGTAAAATTGTTCATCAGTAACAATTGCCCACTGGGATCGCAAAAACACCGAGAAATTCGGATTCTCCACCCCCGAAAACATAAATTCCGATCATCAAACGAAATAGTGACGAAATATACTATTAACAAAGTGATTATTAAAACACGTTGGAAAAATTGCACAGAAGAAATCATAGAAATATTTCCGATTAGGTTTTTCTTGTTTCATTATTTTGTTTGTTATTGAGAACTGGATCGCAGTGGAAACAGTCGAAAATACTCGGACTATAATAAGACTTTTATCGATTAAACGTGTCTTTTCATCTTCTCTTCTTTTTTTCATGTAAAAATAATAAAAAATCGGAAAGAAAATCGAAATTAATATTATACATAAGAGAATAAACGTGCGAAGCGAAAAATTGGAGATGAAAACCTACTTTTCAACATGCTCTTCTCTGTAGGGAACAAGCACCACTCGAGCCCCAATGATTCGGGTGTTGGAATTTGTTTTCATTGTTGACCAATTACAAATAAAATCATAGAAAACTAACACAACTTGTTGAAACGCGTTAAAAATGGAAATTCAATGTATTGCAGTGAACTGAACGTCTGTACTGAACTTGAAAGGTGCCATCTTGGCCATTTTGCATCAGAGAAACGGCCGAGACGGCCCTGAGTTGTCTATCTTCAGTGGTTGAAAATTCTATCAGGGAAATTTTTTTGGTTGCTCATTACAAGGCTTGGGACTAAAGAATTAAATTTGCAGTGCATATTTAGAAAATGGCCTATAATTTCCCGGGAATGCCTGCTATGGCACCAATAGGTAAGCGAATCTTATTCTAACCTAAAAAAATTGCAGAAAAAAATAAAAATATTACCATGATTTCAATATTTAAACTTTGAGAATGATTAGTGTAATTGTTCTAAATATATATTCTATATTCCACGTTACTTCCTTCTAATGATGATAATTCGTCCAAGTTAGACTAAAGATTCTTGCGACAGAGAATTATGTTTGCAATTTTGGTTATTGTATTATATATTATTATTATTGCAAGATGATAAAACTTGAAAACAATGATCATTTACAGTTGAGCATACTCTAACATCGATAAGGCATTACTTCGATAAAATGAGCCATCACACACAACGGAGTATCATCGTTTTTTTGACACAAGTGGAGTTATTTATTGAATCCGTGTTTACAAAAATTGAAATTCCCACATATGTAGGAATATTCCAATTGCATGGAATACAAAGTTATTTCTACTGGATTGAATGTATCATTTCAATTACACATTGCCCAATTGAAACTGGTGAATGTTTAATTCTTGATGCGTAATTCGATGTGTATAATTCAATGAAGTATGTGGCATTCAAAAAAACACCAAAATCCATAAAACTCGAGTCCGGATTGATGAGTTTCGTTTTTCTTCAATATCATATGCTCAAAGTATTCGTTTCGACTTGCACCCAACAAATTGAACATTTACAAGTTGAATCATACAATGTAAATTTCAGATTGTACAGTGTGTAGTTGGGTCATTACATTTCAATTTAGTACAATTCATGACGTGTTTCATGTAATGAGAATGTGAGGAGTACAATACCTGTTGTAGAAAAGGTGTTAAATTTTTAGATGAATTGGCAGACTTGAACAGTCATAGAAACAAAAACACAAAAAGTTCAGCTAGGGTGAGACTAAGGCCGACGTTTTGATCCGTCTGTGTAGAGACATTCTCGGGGGCATTTATTACTACGACTAATGTACTGTCAATTTTACATTATAATAATAACTATTATATCACTCAGTCCGTGTTTGTGGGCAGGTATAACCTGCCACCACGATCACGTATACTTGACTAACAATAACTCAGGTCCCGAGGATCGGCCTGCACAAAAAGATCAAAACGTCGGACTTAATTTCAAGGCAGTTGGACATTTTCTGCTTTCATTTCTCTTACTTTTCGAGCCCGCTACTGAGTTCCAAGTCAACACTAAATTGTTCTTCCGCAGGTCTTAATGCAAAATATCGGATGTGTCTAAAAATTGAGTGACTACATTGTGTGTAATCGCTTATTTTGTCGAGAAAATGCGTGTCAGTGCTGAAGTATAGCTGCCATAGTGCTCTGAAAAAATGGAATATTATTGATTATTGAAAAATTTAAGGAATGGGTCCCATGGGTCCCCTCGGTCCCCTCGCCAGTCATCAAGGATTCATGGAACTGGCTAGCCAAGGTTTTCCTCCATTACCACCTCCGCTGCCGCTGCCTGGTATGAACGATTCTCCCCTTGAATTCAGTACGAATAAAAATCAGCCCCCCGCAGTTCGTGAAAGTACAGAAGAGCCAACGGATCGCAGGAGTGATAAAAATGATGTCAGAAGAGATCGTGAAACTCGTGACACCCGAGACTTGAGAGACACTCGAGACAATAGTAGAAGATCTAGGAGCGAAAGGATCGACCGAAGGGATAGAGAAAGAAAAGATGACAGAAACGATAGAGAAAGAAGAGGTGACGACAGAAGAGTCGAGGAAAAAGCGAGTTCAGCGAATAGTAATCACAATAATAATGATGTAACACCCATAACACCGACAGTTACCACTAGTACTGCCAACGTATCACAGATTGATCAAACTTCTGGTGTATGGGGTATGGGAGTGGATTACTCAATTATGGGAATGAGTCCGATGGGTGCTATGGGACCAATGCTTGGAGAAATGAGTCTACAGCATATGGGACATGGCTATGGACCAATGGGAATAGGGATGATGCCTCATGATGGTAGCATGCTCGGTCCACAAATTATTCCTCCTGATACTATCGTCACTGACATTGCTGCACAACTTATGGGTAGTGGAATACCACCACCACCTCCTTCTACTCCACAGACTACTAAAGAGATTGTTCATCTCAAAAGTTGTACGCTGATTCCTCCAAATCCTAATGCACCACCACCAACTACTAGAGAACGGCCGCCTGGATGTAGAACTATTTTTGTTGGAGGTATCTGAACTGTTTTACTTTTTTTTAGTCGTAATAATGGTCATCTCCATGATTTTTAAATTTAACGCCCGGGTGGATTATCTTTCGAACGTGATCTTGGTAATTTTTTTAATTTTGATAATCTGCAATGATCTGCAATTGCTACTCAGTTTTACATAGCCCTGGAGTCTCCAAAAATTATGATTGTACAATGAAAAAAAACGTTGAAAAAAAGCTGAATATTTTCAACGAGCATTTTTAATAAAGATTAAGAAATAAGTCCGATAGAGAGGACATGATGAATGAATAATTTATCATGGTAACTAACGATCTGACAGCTATTGACTACTGTGACAAATGACGATCTAACAGCCATTAGATACATCAAATTATTAATTGGCAATTTCCTCCCCATTGGGTTTATTTCCCAATATTATTCAAAATCGCGATTTGAAAATGTTCAGCTTTATTGACGTTTTTTTGATTGTACAATCATAATTTTTGGAGACTCCAGGGCTATGTAAATATGATTTCTTTCTCATCGTGCAGGAGCAGAGCTCAGCACTCTCACGGTGCTATCTGAGTCCAGCTTCTCGGGAAAGAAGCTGTTTGACTGTTCTAGTTGTGTGTCAATGATGACACTTAATTGTCTTAGTGTTTCGGGACCGTGAGACTGCTTGCTCTGCAATTTTAGGTCTTGAGCGTTTTACAAAGACTACAAGGGCAGAGTACGATCAGGAGTAGAGTCGAGCGGACCTCTAGCTCAGGCCTTCAGCCAAAATCGAGTCGAAGTCCCTAGTCGAGTCTCTTAATAACGCGTATACCAACCCATAATTAAAACAGTCGTGTATTTTAAACCATCAGTTAATATACCATACTTTCACCGATAAATACGCGAGCGTTTATTGAGAATATCACCAAGTAATATCCCTTCCTACCTTTCCTAACATCCCTACGAATGAGCGAATCCCCCATGAGCTCACCGCCGATGTTAGCTGAGGATTAAGTGACCATACAAAAGGATTACAGTGCAGGAATACGTGAAAAGGTGTAGTGAAAAGGAGATTCCTCTCACTGACGGTAATAGCCGAAGGAAAAGGACTGTACCATTCACTGAGTTTTACCTCCAGGTAAAACTCATAATGTCACACCCCTCTTCGCCAAAAAGTATCTTTCCACTTTTTCCATGCAGTGTTTATTTGCAGAGTTAATAATTTTTTGACGGAACCGCTGTGCAATAAAATCAGTATTCATGAAAAAAACACAGTTCTATAACTACGGGAAAAGTGCTTACGAACATGAAAATGAAAGTTACTGTATATACGTGCTATATCATGCATTTTTTTAGAAGTTTAGCATTGCGTATGATTGTCTTTTCCTTAAACCAAATAAAATTGTTTATAAAAAAAATGTGAAAAAATCCCTTTGTTTCACTAAATGTTTGTTATGTAATGTTTTTTCCCCACTATCCCTTTGAACATGTAGTTAATTTTTTTTTTATTTTCAAGAAGATCTTTGAGAAAAATCTTTTTTTCAATAGACCGAAAAAAATAGGTTTTTATGTTCAACTTGAAAGGCAACAACAATCTGTTTAATGAATCAAAATCATACAGATTGTAGGTATCCTCCTCATGTTTTTTTTTCTATTCAGGATTGCCTGAAAATATCAGCGAGGCAATGATCCAAGAGATATTCGAAAGATGCGGAGAGATCACAACTCTCCGTTTATCGAAGAAAAATTTCTGCCACATAAGATTTGCAGCTGAATCTAGTGTCGATTCAGCAATCTTCCTTTCGGGATATAGAGTCAGAATCGGATCAGGAGTCGAGACTGCTAATACCGGAAGACTTTACGTTGACTATGCACATATCTACGTGAGTAGTGCATGAATTTTGAAAAAATCGAATTTATGACTGGAACACATTTAAAATTGTATTCCTCTTGTTAAGGCGAGAGACGATCAGTATGAATGGGAGTGTAAACAACGGCAATTACAACGTATTCAGCGGCATAGAGAGCAAGTAGAAGAAGAAAGACAAAGAATGCAGTCTAGTCCACCACCAGTTGTCCATTACACTGATTACGAAGCTTCCAATATCTGCGAAAAAATTAAACAAGATGATACCTTTATGAAAGCTGTTCAGGTCAGTAAAACAAGTTGATACAATCACCGCAAGAGTTATCCATCATATTTCAATGCGAATGAAAAACTTTTTCATTCACAGAATTATTGACATTGTTGTTTTATATGTCACAATTTTTTAAGGATTGCTGACACTGCCTGGAATTGTCCTAAACTTTAGACATTCAATCACTGAAATTTAGGGTCCCATTTCCTAAGATTTAGAATTATGTGATGGAAAATTGGTGACAAAATCAATTGAGTTGAGCATTTCACGCTTGTTAAATTTTTTAATCCCATAGATATCTAGTATCATTAATACAACAACTAAAACTAAACAAAATTTTTTTTGCATTAAAAAAAATCTTGAATTGAATGATTTTGAATTTGTTTAGATTGTAGTGACATGGTTGGAACGTGGAGACTGTACAAAACGTAACGCCAATACATTTTATTCGATGATTCAGTCTACGAATTCTCACGTTCGGAGGCTATTAACAGAACGAGCATCATACGAGGAAGAACTCCAGAGAGCAAAAGAACTCATGAAAGGTCGCATACAAGGACTTCTTATACAATGTAAGTAAAAAATCCAGCAATCTTATCATTAAATTTCTTTCTCAACGCCTCTTCTTCCGGATAATCAGTAAATCAGTACCAAAAGTTGCCGCGTACAATTTATTGCTGGTAAGTTGCTCAATCATTCCCAATTCGTGGGATCAACATGTGGGGCTTACAGACTGTCTGGTTCACGCGAGTTTTCCTCGGAGACTATGTATATGTTTTTCATTAAAAAATTCTTTGAGGGTGTAGACCTGAGGAAATCGCATGTTTGGCAATGCTAAGGATCTGAAGGTGTTGGGCCATTTCTTATGCATTTGGTAATGATGATTATGAATGCCGAGTGTCATGGGCTCTCACAGTGAAAAGGAATCGAAAATATTTATCACTTTTTTCAGTCAAGTTATCATTATAGTTTTTCACTCAAATTCTCGAAAGGAGAAATACACCCTTAATACTCGTAATTCATAATCATGATGGGTAAACTTAATCCTAAGGAATGTAACAGAAAAGCAGAGACGATAAAACCAATTGACAGGACGATGTGGGCACCAAAAAAGTATAAAAAATTTATTTCAAGAATTATTCATTAGTTAAAACCAGAGAGAAAACCGAGATAGCAATGCAGACCGGTCACAACCACCAAAAAGTATGAAAATAGGGAATGGCAAAGAAAAGAGTTGAAAAAAAAATTGATTGAGGAGTAAATGAGTGGAAGTAAAGAAAGCAATGTTGTGGAGAGTGGGAAGTACAACATAGGATTTGTGTTTCATTTGTGTTTTGTATGCAACATGCAACATCCGCGTCAACTTCAACAGTCAGTCAGATCGAACGTGTATTCACGGCGGCCAGTCACAAGAAGGTTTGGGATCATTTCACCAAGGCACAGAGGAAAAACATCGAGATGTGGAAGAAACAGTCTTCGGTATGTATTTTTAACGCCACCTGTCGAAAAACAAAAACGACCAAAAGAGAACATTGCCAAAAAAACGAAAGGCCAGCGTTGTTTTTCAAGAGCTTTTTTTTATTCATTTGATTATACTCAGACAACCGTGAGACAGAAAATGAAGCTTTTAATAGTCCTGAGGGCAGGTAAGTCTAGAGTGAAATTGTTGGCATACATTTTTACTCGAAAAGGAAGATAATTAATGATGCATAAACGGAACATACAATCGTCACCATTGTGGGAATATGGTGTGTAGTCGCATGAACAAAAGCACCAATCAAAACTAGCGTTCAGAATGCTTTCTTCACATACCAAACGAGCTACGGTGATGGGGGCAAAGATTCAGTTTATTTGAATTTTGTAACTAAAATTCCGTTCAATAATGATCATTTGCATGGAAAATTTCGAGATTTGAATGAACCATTTGCGAAATTCATTTGATTTCTCAGTTGAAAGACTGATTGTTTGGGAGTTAATAAGAAAACACATAACAGGAGATCAAGACTGTTCAGCTGGAAGAGGTGCTAATGGAGGGTGAAGGAGAAATGGAGGTTTCCGATTGCGAAGATGAGCCATTGAGGAAAAGAACGAGAACACAGCCAGACTCAGATGACACTGCCAAGGTTCACGCATTGAAAGAGGAAGCTGACAGTTTGAAATGTCAATTGGAGGCATATAAAAATGAGGTACATAACACTACCGAACGTTTATTTAACATTGAGATTAAATACCACAAAACTATTTAACCTCTCAAGGACGGAGCCCTTTTAACACTAATCTCGCTGTGCATTAAGTAACAACATTATATAAATTCAGTAACTTCGAATAGCCCAAAAATCACACAAAGAAGAAATAATCAAAGTCGCGCGATTAGTATTAACAACAGTGCTTGTAAAAATTAAAAAAAAGGAGCTGTATATTTTCTGAAATATTCAACTTTGAAAGGAGACATGCATTCGTGTGAACGTCGGTTATAGGTGGTATAGACACCGGGCTTCAGAAGTTATTAATTGAAACAAGCTCGAGGATGGCCCTCTGCCTTGGTCTTCATGAGCCTAGGGGTGGAGAACTTTCCAATTTTACTAATGCATCCCCTAAAAAAATCATGTTCAAAGCACAGCAAATCTGTTAAACTTTTGATTTCGTCACATTACTCATTGAACGGGATGCATTTACATCGAAAATTGAATTTCCTTGCGTCTTACTAATCATTATTTTTTCTGAGAAATTTTCTGAAAGAATTTTTTGTAAAAGAAATTTTAACTCTGAAACATTTTGGAAGAGGAATTTTACACAAGAAATTTTTTCAGGAGAAATTTAACCCTGATACGTATTTCATTTGAGAACCTTCACTATCTTCATTGCGCGGAGTACCTAGCTATTACATTAACAAAAGCTGTCATTTTTTGAGAGGCATACTTTAACACCGCATTTTATTGACAGAATTACCTAATTAAATTCAAGAAGTCGCTTGTACGACAAATAAAACCATGTGAATTTACTTTTCAAATGGTGAATGTCAGGTGCAGAACCAAGTTTCATGTTTGAATTATAATTTGCCTCATTTTTTCACTGAGTAACGGATATGGATCTATCTCAGCTGCAGCCAGATCCAGTAACATACATTTCTAGCCAAATGAATATTATTCTTCGAGAGTTCAGTAACTAAAGAGTGAGAATTTCTAAAAAAATCATGACCCTGAAGTTTACAGACAAAAATCTTCAACCGAGCATATCTGATGAAGAAATTGAACAATGAGAAAATTTCAAATTTCAATTTGTCGGGTGTGACGAAATATAATCGTGATGGTGGCTGAATATGTAAATAAATAAATGAGGGGTTGATTTCTTCAAAATTTAACAATGGAAAACCATTGACACGGCATATCTCACTCCGAACATTGCATATATCATTAATGAAACATTTATTACAAAAAACAAGAAACATCACGACAAGATTTATAATTTTTTCAAACGTGATGCTTTTTCTTTTTCGATTGGATCATTTAGATGAATAATGAAGCCAAAAATTTAGTGTTCTACGCCGGATTTAACGTTGACCGATAAGACTAGAAAAAAAGGACAAAAATCACGTCGAAATTTCGTAGAATGAAAATCGTGACCATGTTTTTTTTCCAATAAAATAACTACACGGTGAGATATGCCGTGTCAATGGTTTTTCATAGTTAAATTTCAAAGAAATCAACCCGTAATTTATTTATTCACATATTTAGCCACCATCACGATTAGATTTTGTCACGCCCGACAAATTGAAACTTGAAATTTTCTAATTATTCAATTTCCCCACCAGATATTCTCTGTTGAAGATTTTTGTCTGCAAACTTCAGGGACATGAAAAATCTTCACTATTATCGATATATATTGTAAGCTTCGAGTGACGTTAATGTCAAATCTATCGTCTTTTCCATAATGTGTAGGTGGATTTATTGAAGTCTGAAACGAAACTTGAAGTGGATGCTAAAGACAAACAAATGAAGATGCTGCAACAGACTTTGAAGGGTATGCAAGAGCAGTTGGTGCAGTCAAGGAAACAACATGCTCAGGATGACCAAAAAATCAGAGAATTGATGGCCAAGTTAAATTCTACAAAGAGCAAGAGCAAGGGATCATCCGAAAGTGAAGTCATAATGCTAGATAAAGATGATGATGTTAATGAGGAGCCAAGAACTCCCAAGCCTATCGCAGCTGTGCCAGGATATGTTCAAGTCACTCAAAAGGATGCAAAACTAATAGGTTTTTTTCTCATTAATAATTAATGTCTAGCACGATTCAGGGCATAAAAATGGCAGTGTAGGGGAGATTAAAACTATTTTTGAAGAACTATTGGATTATTGAAAGACGGAGCTCTGAATATCTTGTTTTGTTAAGGTCTGTGGTAAATAATTCCTCGCCATATGTTTTAATCTCCCAAGTGCATACATATATTTATTGATATTATTCCCACCGTTTGAATAAAACATAAAATTCCATCGAAAAACTTGGCAATTTTTCTACATATTTCAAAAGAATTTCTCTTAGGGCTCCATAAGAAATCCACACGAGTTCTTAGAGAATTCTGTGGAAATTCGATTGACGAATCTTGTTTCTTTTTGTGCTGATCCTATTCGAAATTATGCAGCCTTGCCGTCTGATTGTTTAATAGATATTTTATAGAAAAAGGTTATGATTTTTCTGTACGAAAAAAACAGCGCCTTTATCACAATTTTGCCATCTGAAGAAAATAATTCATTTCGAAAAATCCAAATGTTTTGACTTTTTTAAATTAAATATCTATATTAAAAAACGCACGGAAAGGTTTCATAAGAAAGGAGTTCCAATAGAATTAACGCAAGAAAACTCCATTGGATTTTAGTTCTAATAGTGGTTTCTATTGGAATTCTAATAGAAATTGACAAGAATTTCGTAGAGAATACGTAACGTTTTTCTATTTTCGTAAATTTTTTCACACATTTAGTAATGTCCTGGGCGAAATTCGCCTCTTAATATTTGCGTATTGACATGCGCAATTTCACAATTGGGAAAGGTTTATATTTCCTTCATTTTTGAACTAACAATGTAATTTCTCTCCAGGTTTGATAGCCACATTTCTACATATCCATCCTTTTGGAGCTTCTGTCGATTACGTATGGTCGTATTTACAAAAAATGGAACCTGGTATAAGACCAAATGAGGTTGAAGCCTTGATGCAACGTTTCCCTCAAGTATTCAAGCAAGAATTGTCAGGGATCGGAGCAAACATGGAAAGACGTTGGCAATTCTCTGGCTTTAACATTCGTCAGCTTCACTGACCACCTATTGCGAGGCCGGCCTCGCGCAGAATCTCAAATGATCAGAGAATCATCAAGAATAACCCACCGGATCGAGATCAACACGATGATTTCGAGAGTTTCTGTGATGCTGCTGATCCATAGGAAGAATTCTCAATTATATCTGATGTTTAGGAAAAAACAAAAAGCGCTTTTATCAGTTTTGCCATATTAGTGTGTAATATTCTTTGATTGTTATCACTCGATTATTCGATTCATATTTGATACACAGAGTGCAATATTTATGTGGATTTGATAATTCATACGTTCAGGACATATTGTGGAAAACTGGGCTCTTCATGAATTAAAAAATTATGTAGTAAAAAAGTAATGGATTGAGTAATATTGAAAAGAAAAACAAGAGGGGGCGTATTAAAACACCAACACAGCATTTTATAATCTCTACATTTTAATGACGCGATTTACGTATTGAATTCTACTAAATTGAAATTTACTCACATTGTAAAATTCAAACGTGTAAAGGTTTAATCCACTGCGAGCAATTCGACATATATAGTACAAGTATGTGCAATTTTAAGAAAAAAAAAAACAATTTATAACAGTCTCAGATTGGTGGATTTTTTTTTCCTGAATTCCACATGCTAAATATGAAATCTATCGAATTGCACACAACACCTTGAACATTTACAAGTTTGAATTGTACAATGGATAACTGGATTTGTACATTTCAATTTATCAGAATTAAATATTATATCGTGTACTTACAATATGAGCATTACAATTTCTGTAGACAAGGTCTACAAAAACAATAAATTAATAAATAAAACTAAAGCAAAACATAAAATATGTCAAATAATGTCCATTCTTTACGATAGCGCATTTTATGGAGAAAATGATGTGTCGGTATTTGAGTACGTTCATGAGGATCTTTACATGGGAAAAAGTCATATAGAGTTCTATAGGACGTTCTTATAAGGCGATTCTACAGGTTTATCGTATGTGACGTCCGGATAATTTCTACATACAATTTATCTGTAGAAATTTCTGTAAGATTCCTGTACGAATTTTCACATAACAAATTTTTATCATTTCATAATAATAATAATAATAATAATAATAATAATAATAATAATAATAATAATAATAATAATAATGTTCGAGCGATGGCCAGTCGCAAGCCCCTTGCGGTAAATGACGTTAAAAATAAAATTAAAAAAAAAAATAATAATAATAATACACAAAAATTTCAGACTCATGAAATTGTGAAAATTTTCTGAGTTTGAATTCTTATCAAAGTCTTACAGAAATTTCCACAGACAAACTGTGTATTGAAAGTATCCGAGTATCATATACCACAAATCTGGAGAATTTGATCTAGATTCACCTTATAAGAATGTCATACGGCATATTCCTATACGATTTTTCATACATGTTATTACAGGTATAAACTGAATTGGAAAAATGGAATAGGAGTGAATTTTTCATTGAGAATTTGCTTCATAAACATTGTTTGCATTCAGCTTCTGCACTCTCAATTTTAATATAAGAGTATACAAACATCTAACAGAGGTAATCAATAATACCTGGAAAGGAGAAATATTCTTAGAGATTATCAATGCAAATAGATAAACAACTTTAATTCAATTTGAATGTAGCAAATTATGGAAATAAATATTGCCTAATGTCAAAAGCTGGTTTTGACTATTTCATCCTGCTGATCCCAAACAAAAAAAAACTGCAAAATAAAAATAGTAAATTTGAACTTTCCCGGGTATCGGCGTATATCACCGCCATTGGCGTATTCTAAAAATCTACCTAAAATCCCGTCTAAACCGCGCCGGATGGACCCCACAATCTATAACAACGGTGTAAAAAAAAATCAGTGGCAGAAATAAAACGGGAACAAGTGCCTGAAAGTGGTTGGAAAGGGTATTGTAATCTAAAAAGCGGGATTTTTTTTATTTCATCTCGATACGTGTTTTGTCACTACTTGATTCTGGCCTCAAGGTACAAGAGCCATCTTCGCCATGCGATAGCAATAATAATCACGATTCATATATGAATTTTATAGAGACACTCTGAAAAGAAAAAAAAATCGATTGCTACTATTTTGGATTTGCGATTAAAATCTTTGAAGACTAGACACGAAGAGATATTACCACGAATTTCATTTTCACCTTGATCGAAGTATTCCAAGTTGTCGGCCATACTCAAACAACCGCCGAGCGATGATAAACTCCAAACTGATCGAAACGTCTTTTAACAAAAATGTTTGAATCCTGAATATAATAAAAATAAAAAAAATCCATTGAAATAAAAAAGTTCTTCAGATTATTAAAACAGTATTGAAGTGCAGCATTAAAAAAAATCTTGATTTTGTTGATAATCAATCGTGTCTCGAGGGTGAACACGTAACGGTTTAAAGCGGTCACCGGACACGCAAAAATAATATGAGCACCAAAGCATCGGTAAATCGCCGTGTTTTGGCGATTCAGGCCAAGAAAAAACGTTATAAGCAAACAACTAAAAGAAAAGGAAAAAATCATACTCAGGGTGATAGTGAGAACAGTGGTGCAACATGTTCAAAAACTGCAACACGTCATTCCACACTCGGTGAGGGTGCACAGGAGGGTGATGGACAAAGAACGTTTACCACTGACAATGGAAATAGGTAATTCATCTATTTATAGCGTTAAATAAAATAGCAGTCTTCTCGTTTGATCGCATTTTCGGGAAGAATTTATGTGAAAGATTTTTTTCCTCGTGATTTCAAGAAATTTTCTACAAAATTTTAGGTTGGAACCGAGCCACAGCTCGAGCAATGAGACCATCGAGGATGACGACGAGGTATACACCAGTGAAGAGGAGGAACAAGAAGACAGTAGTGATTACTGCAAAGGGGGATATCACCCTGTTAAAATCGGTGATCTCTTCCTGAACCGTTATCATGTAGCAAGGAAATTGGGCTGGGGTCATTTTTCAACGGTGTGGCTATGTTGGGACCTTCAGGTAATTATTAAAAGAAACATTATTTTCCCTAAATTCATTTATTCATTTTCTTTCTTCATTCTTCAATTTTCTTTTACTGAGAGGAAAATTATCATATTAATGTGCGTCTTATCCTTATCAAAATTAGGATAAACGGTTCGTGGCATTAAAGGTTGTGAAATCAGCATCGCACTTCACAGAGACTGCACTTGATGAAATCAAATTATTGAAAGATGTACGTGATACAGATCCGAATGATCCAAAACGCAACAAAACAGTACAACTTCTGAACGATTTCAAAATAAGTGGTATCAATGGTCTTCACGTCTGTATGGTATTCGAAGTACTTGGACACAATTTGCTTAAATTAATAATAAAATCAAATTACCGTGGTATTCCACGTAATAATGTCAAGAGAATCATAAGACAGGTCCTAGAGGGTTTGGACTATCTCCACAATAAATGTAAAATCATTCACACGGACATTAAACCAGAGAATGTGTTGATTTGCGTTGATGAGGCATATATAAAGAAATTGGCATTCGTTGCAACAGAACTGCATTCACTTGGTCTTAAGCTTCCAGTTTCCCTGATATCAACAGCACCAAAAGAATTTCAAGAGCCAACGCCGAATGCAAAGATGTCCAAAAATAAGAAGAAAAGAATGAAGAAGAAACATAAGAGGCAAAACGAGCTTTTGAAAAAACAGATGGAGCAGATACAGGAAATAGAGGAACAGGCAAAACATGTTCCTAATTCAAATGAAAATGGTGGAGTGAGTGAGACAAATAGTCCTGACCAGGATCCCAATACTGAAAGTATCGAGGAGAACACTGACTCCAAAGAATCACCGGATATTTCAGATCCTGCACCGCCACACGTTAATGGAGTTGATTCACTAGCTGGTAGTGATAAAATGGATAATCAGTCGGCTGAAGATGAGACAAAGAATGAAGATGTCACTCCCTGTGAAGTGGACAAAGCCTCTAGTGAGGGAGTCGCTCTATCTGACCCGGAAATTCATGAAGGATCGAATGAAGAACTGCACTTGGATATACCGGATATGAAACCATCGAAGAAGCCCTCTGTTGCTCCTCTTGATCCTGCACTTGTCGATTGTGAAGTTGAAGTTAAAATTGCTGATCTTGGGAATGCCTGTTGGGTTCATAAAAAATTCACCGAGGATATTCAGACAAGGCAGTACAGATCGCTCGAGGTTTTACTTGGTGCTGGATATAATACATCTGCTGATATCTGGTCGACAGCGTGTATGGCCTTCGAGTTAGCTACTGGAGATTATCTTTTTGAGCCTCATAGCGGTGCTGATTATTCGAGGTACATAATAATTAATTAACTAATAATAATATTCATTCATTTATCTTTTCGTCTTCGAAATTATAGAAAGTTTACTTTTTGTATAAAACAGAATTAGCATAAAAATACTTTTAGACCATTAATGCTAGAAAATTTTCGAATATTTTTAGATATTGTCAAATCCTCTAGAGGGTACATCTGTTATGAAAGGATCCCGTAAGCTCGGGAACTGATGGAGCAGTTTTTAGAAATTGCATACATTGAGAAAAAAGAAAATTCGAATATCTGAAACATATTTACTTGAGACAAGTAATTTTTCTTCAATCGCTCAATTCTTCCACCCACGTGGCCCGAGAAAGGTCTCATGCTTTAAACTATTCTTATACTCAAGTATGATTTTGTCGCAAATGAACTCACTGAAATCGCGTACAAGGATTATCAATCTTTAAGTATTTATTGTTTTCATTATTTTTTATATGCACTTCCAATTTTTCGATATATAATGTATTCATGATGTAACGCGCAACGATAGTGATAAATTCTCATTTATCAAACATTCTGAGATTTAAGCCATTGAAAATAATTTATTTCTCTCAAGTAAATATGATTTACATGTTAGAAAATTTTTCTCAGTGTAGAGAATTGAAGAATCTTTTGGAATATGTTAAAATGAGATATTAAAGTTTGGAAAAGGGTCTGCGACCTTTTACAATTTTCGAGAGCACCCCATGATTTTCCGTAAAAATGGATATCTCAAATTATATAAAGTATGATTCAATAAAAATATTCTTTTCAGGGACGAAGATCATTTGGCTCATATAATTGAACTACTCGGTGAAATTCCTCGTAGAATCGCGCTATCCGGCAAGTATTCGAAGGCATTTTTTACTAAAAAGGGGGAACTCAAACACATCACGGGTTTGAAGCCATGGGGCCTGTACGAAGTACTTACTGAGAAATATGAGTGGTCACCGAGTGAAGCCCGAGAATTTGCCGAGTTTCTAACTCCAATGCTTGAGTTTGATCCAACTACGCGTGCTACTGCTGCCGAGTGCCTCAAGCATCCATGGTTACAGATCAAGTGAATTTCACATGCACCCGTCATCTCCTCCCCACCCTCTTTTTTTATTCCATGTTCTAATTGACACATCATAAACTAAAATCCTTAATTTTCATTGAATCTACATCGACGCTCCTGCAGTGCCCGCCGATATACTCGCGCAATTAATAGCGAGTGTTAAGGAATTACAAGGTTTGGTATCATCAATATAATAAAGAGAAATCACCATCAAATGAATTATCAGAACAAACAATCTGGTATTTGAAAATATTTGGGAAGCGCTCTTATGATTTATGTATGTTTAACATAACTATCATTTGACGGATCTTTAGCACAATTTTAATTTCAATTTAAAGATCAAGTCCTGAAAGGATATAAAACAAACTTGACACTCCAAATAATTTTTTCCTCACACTCGCGCCCCGTCTCATTGTTAATTCGTGTAATTTATTGTAACTTTATTTTTCCCATTTTTTGTTGAACCGTACTGTTATTGATTTCTCCATTCACCATTCTCTTTCCTTGTATGATTGCAGATGACAACTTAAATTAAATTGAAGAGAAGCGTTATCGAGAAGCCAAAAGTTTTTTGAAAAATTTGTCGCGAGAATCGTCCTTTTTGTACGTAAAAAGAAGTCTCATATGAGATCTCAACGAGGAAATCTTTTTTATTAATACTCAGATTAAATGATTAGAATTGGGCCATGCTGCGCGTGCCCACGGAAGATCTGAATAAGATTTCGTTGTAAAATCAAATCTATTTCATTGACACAGTAAAATCATAATTTTGGCGAGTCCTTGAGAAGTTATTTTCTCCCCCAGTGAATCGTTTCGAAGATTTTTTTATAATGCCTCATTCCTTTTCATGTTATAAGTAACAGCTAGAATAAACTTCTCAATTTATTGTACATAAAGTATGAGATCAGAGAAATTCATGCGATTGAGCATTTAATTTCCAGTGATCAGTTGGTTGTTTTCAATACATCATTATACTCTCGCATGGATCTCAATTGATCAAGGACTTATTTGTAGTTTACAAACGATCATTGCAGATCAGAAGTGAATATAATTGTACAATTAATCAAGGAACCGAAAAACTAACCGAATGAAAAAGATTGAAATAATGTTATTACGTAAAAATGTTAATGACACGCTGCGAATTAGTTTAATTAAGTGATTAGGATGAGTAAAAAATTGTAGCTCAATGTCCAGAACGTAATTTTTGTCTCATATCGTATGGAATAGCCATCTAAAAAATCCAATAATACGTGCAAGACATGAAGTAACCCTTTTTTAGCCCAAAAAATGAATTATAGTTGGGGAGAAGGAGATTTGTCACCGATTTTTCAGGCCGAGACAATATGGCTAGAGTGAACTGCAAATGTGTCCAGAATATAAAACAAGTCAATCAATGTTGACATTGCGTGTCTCCACCAAGCTTTTTTTGATGTCATTGACTCGGTAAAAGGAAACAATGCGACCGGTAGGAGTAGTTTTTATTATTGTTAGTTCTAGAATGTGAAGGAAACCTTGGTATTGATTCAATTTCAGAATCACGCAAGGTAGATAAGAGTCGACCAGAAATATTCGGAGACCTGGAGTGCGTGTAAATCAACCAATTGACAGAATTGAATATTGTAGACGAAAAAAAGATATAAAAAATAATACAATAGAATTGGTATTAATCTGCATGCTTAGCTGAAAGCTCATTTTTTCGGCAATTAGTAGCGATATGCCGCAATAACGAAGATAAATGATGGGAAATTATCAAGAAAGAATGAAGCCTCTATTATTATTCCCTCAAGTGAGAAACTCGGTAAAACAGTGAAGAATTAAAGTGATCTCCTCATGGTTTTTTTTTGCCGAATGAAATGAGCGAAAGCACTATGTGAATGGACTACAAAAATATTTACTTGAATGGACTGGAGCATCGGAAAATTGTGAAGATTTATACACGCAGACATGCCCAGACAATATTCAAATAAAAACCAAAACGAAGGAAGCGAAAATTCTAACAAAAAAAAAACATTAATCATTTACTACCAATGTGTATATCTTTTCAGTCTTTCCACATTTTGCAATTGATAACGTTTGCTAAACAACCAATACCGAAGAGTGTTCACTTTTTCTAGGCAATTCAAATACTAACGAATTATCCTGGTTAAAATGTGAAAATCCAGGGAAGTGGGGAAATAAAAATGAAAGGATACAAATTTTTTCGAGCATTATCCAATGCCGAAAAAAACCGTGTGCTCCAGTCACTCAATGTGTGAGGCGATTGTGGAGTAAAAGTGAAGAGCAAAGGTAAACAAAATTTGAAATCTGAAAAATTGTGTAATAAACAAAATGATAAATGCTAGTTGCGAATGAATATGCTGTCTCCTTGTGCGCCCACCCATCTACTATCGGATTTGTGTACCCAGCAATAGGAAAAAAAAGAAAAATAAATAACAACAGATACAAAATCTTCAACAATTTATAAGGGAATAAATTGACAAGATTTCTCAAAACTCAAGGGAAGTTTCGTAACAGTAACTCGAGGGGAGAGGAGTATTGGAACCAAAAGTGCTAACGAAATCGTAGACTCAGAACATCCTTAATCCATTGCAGCACTGCGATCACGAGAGGTATTGGTGTGACGAAAGTGGAGGATCCGTCTGTAATTAGTGCGCCATAAGAGAAGCATGATAGCGCTCTCATACTACTACAAAAAGGGGAAAAGTGGGGAACAGCGACGTGCCACACAATGGGTTAAAGAGCTATTAATCCGTCAGTAGGCGCGCTCGTTCTATTATTATATCTTAAGGTATGATAGAAGCCTCACTCGCACTGCAGAGACGGCTTAGAAGTTGACTAGCGTTGCATGAGAGAAAATCTCATGCGCGCCTAACGACGGCTTAATCAGAAATTAGTTGCAAATGATCGCCTCCTCAAAAATTCACATCTCGCCCCTGATAAAATGTAAAGTCATGAAAATAATGGCATTCGATTGACATAGCATTTAGCACAATGCAGGGGAGAGTGGCACAAAATGAAACAGCGGAGCATAAGGAAATTGGGGCAAAATGAAATTGTCGAAAATACGACTGTTTGACACAATTCAAGCAAAAAAAATTTTTTTTGTCCACTATTTTTTTTATATATTGTTGTTTATTAACTTTTTTTTATTGGGAGTATTGACTATAATAATAATTTTCTATTCAGTAGAATGGAAAATAATTGAAATGTTTTGACGGAAGATTTTGTCAATGGATTAATTGAAAAGAAAATGAAGCAACAAAATCCAAAGTCCAGAGGAAAGCACAGGGGGAGATCCAGATTGGGAAAAAGGAAAATGTGATACTGAATTCCAATCGAATGAAAAAAAAACGTAATCTGCCTAATCTAATCAATTGAATTATAAGACGAATAAAACATTATTATTCTCATCAGTGCTCGCAATAATAAAAAAAGTTAGTAAAGAAAAAAATTGTAGTTACTTGCATTGCGTCAGATATCCGTGTTACGGCTGTTTCATTTAGCCCCAGCCTCCCCTATCTGAAGAAATTTTGTTCCTGTACCACTATTGTGGAGTAAGGAAAACCGGAGATTCCACCATGGCGTAAGGCCTACATCGCTTCGAAAAGCGATGTAAGTGGATGTGAGTCTGAAAATCAGAACAAACACGTGATGAATTCATATTTCCGCTTCTATGTGACATTTAAGGATAAAATTGACCGGAATCGATTGGACAGACAATTACTTCATCTCTTCGTCTTCTCGATTGGCTGTGCTTTATTAATTGATAACTCAAACAAGGCGTCAAAAACGAAAAATTTCCTTGGACATTTGATCTCCAAACAACACCCTCGAGTTACCCTTACATTTCGCATGAGTTTGACCCTGTAGAAGATTCTCATAGAAGATTGAAAAAATCTGAAACTGAAAATGAATTATCAGAAACTTTCACTGTTTTCCTGCATCCTCACGTCATCTCGGGAATTCTTTGTTTTCAAATAGACTATCCGATTAAATCTATTGGTTCATCGGGAAAGTTGGTTGTTCAGTTCTCAACATCCAGTGATAATATACATGAAATAAATAACATTAGTTCATTTGTACAAACTATCCAACTTTATTGTCCACATACATTATATTTTTTCCATTAGGATGGCTCCTATGTAGGATGAATAAAATATTTCAAGTTTTGAATAAGAAATGAACAAAATCGACTCGATCATTTTCTAGTAATACTTCTGTGTAGTGATACCAAATGACGATCTTTCTCAGATAGGCAGGTCACTGATGAGAAAGGGACATTGATCAATTTTGGCGAATTGACGTCGATGACAATCATCCAGAACCAACATTAGAAACACAACTAAATGACTTGTAATCGTCTAATTAGATGCTAAATGACGGTCAATCATTGCTCGGTTGCTTTTAGGGCCATTAAAATTTTTTTTTTCAGTTTTATTTCTATTTCAAAGATACACGAAAAGAGAATGACCCTACTGCATGTTACCACTGGGAACTTATAAACTTTTCTATTACATCATAGAGGGATATTTCAAGTGAAAAAAAAGCCAAAGGCCCGGTGGCTTGGCGCAGTGGGTAAGTTCGTTGCCTCGGCCGAGTAGAATGGTGAGATCTGACCATTTAAAGTCTTGATCATCATCGTAGCATACCCTAACCGGGTCGAAGCGATGTAAAATAACGATTAAAAAAAGCCACGAACCACTGAGGGATACCCTGGTAAAACAGTCCGATTATTTCCGACTGGGTGATAAAAAATGAATCGGCGTTAATGATGTTTCTGTCTTTGCCCGTTAAATTCCGATTGGCTGGTAAATAGAGTTTGGAGTATGAGAAAATTATGGGAATTAATAGGATCAAGGGTATGTGGCCGTTATCGTCCGATTACTTTCCAAAAAAGTGGTTGATAGATCCCATATTGCTCATATAAATATTTAATATTTATTGCTCATTTAAATATTTATATGCGTAATATGCGATCTATCAAACACTTTTTTGGAAAGTAATCAGACAATAGCGGTCACATATCCGTGATCCTATTAATTCTCATAATTTTCTCAAACTCCAAACTCTATCTAGCAGCCAATCGGAATTTAACGGGCAAAGACAGAAACATTCATTTCTTATCATCCAGTCGGAAATAATCGGACTGTTTTACCAGGGTAAAAATGAAGAGAAATTCAATGTGATTATTCGTCATTGCTTAAATTGACGCAAATTGGGAATTTTGGCATCACTACTTTTGAGATATCTGAGGCACAAGTTCCCATTGGGACACTCACTTTTGATTTATTAGACATCATTAGACAGAATTGTTATGATACTACATCCTTCTGTCGCTCTCACACATAAATACATACATCAAGTATGGTTGAAAAACAACTGAAGAAATTATTCTACATAATCGTTCAAATATAAATCTTGGACGGAATAATAGTATATTAACGTATGAATTGAGAAAGGACATGTTTGACAAATATGAGATTTACAGGGCTTGCCTTCGTATCACATCTGTCAAAATGGCATTTACCAACGAATGAATATTATTACATGTTGCTGGGCCCGAAAACGGCATTCCAATTAAGCGGGGTGATTTAACAGGCACAGCGACAGGAACAATATTTTTCTCTCCGGAAAAAAAATGTTTTCGTAAACGAAAATTTTTTCACTATAAATGACTAACTAATACCCTCCGGCCAGCCGTTTGGTACAAAAACCCTGCTAATTTGGCATTAAATTTTCTATTTTTAACATATGAAATATTTTCTACTATAAAATAATGAAATAGCGGAAATAATCATTTTCAGCCTCTCTCCAATAATCCTCCTGCAGTGAGTCGATCTCTAAATCAACTATCAATCGGACAAATCCTCGAAAAGTCTGCAAAATGAATATTCGAGAAAGTTAAATTCAATTAACGATTTCTAACGTAACACTTTTTTTTAGATCCAGTTCACTTAGCATAATCAAGTAGTCACTTTTCACACTCCGTTTGTCGCGCTATGAATGCACAGTTTTTTTTTAATTTGTTGAATAAAATTCATTCACGGAAGTTAAATGTTTAATATTTCATGTTGAAACTTTGTGGTTCTACCGTGTTATGAACTAGAGTAGATCGGGTACTCTTGAGTATTTGAAAACCCGTGTAGAGAACATTGGGGTAAATTGGAAATTGTGGTCTTTTTTAAATGTCAATGTCAGAAATTATTTTAAGGCTCTGGTGAATTATCTTTCGATCATTATCTCGATTGTTTTTTCATCTCCATAATGTACAATATATCACAATTTCCAGTGGATTTTACATCACGCTGGAGTCCCTAAAAATTACGATTGTACAACCAAAAAAAGTAGAAAAAAAAAACATTTTCAAAGAAGTGCGTTTTTAATAAAGATTAAGAAATAAGTCCAATAGAGAGGAAATAGTGAATGGATAATTTATCATTGTTACTAACGATCTGACAGCCATTGATTACTGTGACAAATGATGACCTAACAATCATAATTTTTGGAAATTTCAGGGCTATGTAAAACTGAATAGCAATTGTAGATTATTTCAGATTATCAAAATAAAATAAACAACCAAGATCACGTTTGAAAGATAACCCACGCGTGCCTTAAACAAACAATTATTGATATGGTTTACAACGTTTAACATTTTTATTTTGTTTTTCTTACGTGATTCTCTCACCCGTTGAAAGATTTGAAAAATTCAGTTTAAATATTTTTAAATGTGCGAAAAATCCATTTTTTCAAGTTTTGAGTTTTTGCGAAAATTTTTCGTTTTCAAAGAGATGAGGAAAACAATATTTTTAGTCTCCAATAGATATTTCCGATGGAAATACTTGCTGGAGACTCCCATTTTGAAAACTCAAATTTGTTTTTCCATTTCTTCCGGAAAACACAATTTCGTCAAAATCTTCAAAATCTAAAAGTGGCATTTTGTATGCAATAAAATTGAAAAAAAAATCAACCACAAAATTTCAAGTCGTTTAAATGTTGATTGAACCGTGTGATACCTCAACAAAATAAAAATTCTATTAATTCCAAGTGATATTGAACGTCCATAGGACTTGCTAATAGCTTTGAGCGCGACCAACCGAGTGTTAACAATTGCAAAAGCAAACATCTGCCACCATAGTTAGATTTTGTCACACTGACGACGTATGGGAGATTTTATCTTGTGTAAACTTACACAAACTTCGATTTATTTGGGAAATAAAAATGCGATGAGATGACGAACGTTAGGTTGTCCATGTTCCAATTATCGTCTAGTCCTATTTAATCGATAGATTGACATAACTGGATTGAAAACAATAATTTTACAGTTCCCCGCTAGTTTTGAATAATAAATTGCTTCAATACATCATCTAAGTGACCCTAATTGAAGATAGGAACATAGACAGCCGCAAGTTCACAGACTCCAAAGAAAAGATAATTATTTACCACCACGAAGAAAGTAAAAATAAATAAATAATTCGAAAAAAGCAGGATTTGGGAATGAATCTGCAATGATGATAATCAAGTAAATATTGGTTTTCTCATAGGAAAACATGATGACTAGATAATGATAATTCTGGAATGATGATTTAGCAACATCAGGTAGCAGCACAGTCCTGTTCATTTATAACCAGGAAGCGGAGTTTCAAATTTATAGCAAACACACGATAGACACCCTGAAACACGCAATTAAATACTCAATATAGACCCATGACTTGGACGTCCTTTTTTCTCGGAACTATGGCCACTCTCACTCCTAGTCTCCATTGGTGTACCGACAGCAGTCAAATGCGTTGTTGATGCCGTTGTCGTTTCCTCGTCAGATTCCATCGGGCTTATTCTAATAGCTTGATACCATTGATTCGTTAAATCTGTCATCTGAGATTTGCAGTCTTTCAATTCTTGTTGTGTAAACCGACGAGTGAAGAAAGGAATAAAGAACTTGAGATCCCACCGAGCAAATCCACGAATTCTTGATTGCATGAAGGATACCTCCATTTCTTCTTCAGTGAATTCTGATAAATGTTCGGAATCGATCGTTTGTCCCTAGAATTAATAAAATAACGTTTATCAATGGAGTGTTTAGCATCTAATTCGTCATTAGATGCATCCTGTTTTTGTTTCAGAACTTCAGTAAACGACTGTAGACGCAAAATTTTATTGATCTTTCTGTGATAACATGCTCTACGTGCGCAAAACCCTACTTCACACACATTGCCATAAAAATAGCGTCTGACACTTATGAAAAGAGTGTTTTTTAACCTGCGAGAGGTCAAAGTAGCACTTGCCTTTGGCAAGCGTTGCTACACATCCACGGCCGGTCAAAAAAACACTTTTTCCCACACGCATCGAAATTATTATCTTCCTTCTTCTTAATGAGAATCATAAAAAATAAGATTCTCCTTCTGATGAGTATCATGCGTGAACTGTTAGACGTAAGAACCAGGAATAGACTTACCCATTCCCGAGTTTTACTCAGAGAAATTTCCTTGTCTCTCCGCTTCCTCCTACTGTTCTTCTGCTTCTTTTCCGCCCTTAAAAACTTCAAGAGCGGCATGGTCGATCCTCCAAACACCAAAGTTGTAAACAAAACAATGATGAGTGTTGTAGTAATGATGACATGTCTAGTTTCATCACTGAAATTCAAATGTAGTGATAGTGCATAAGAAATAGCTCCTCTCAGGCCACTAAACCACATAATAAACATCATCTTCTTGGTAATCCGATGTTCCCTGAAGCGATTGACAAGCAGGGCCAGTGGAAAAATGTTGGCTGCTCTACCAATGAGACATAAAATTAGCGACCAGACGACTAGAGCCGGTTCAAATCGATGTCTGAAGCTAAATAATGCCAATCCCAGATATGCGAAAACACAAGTTTCGGCAATAAATGCCAGTGTCCTCATGGTCTGCTGCATCGTAATCTGTGTAACTGTGGATAGATTAAAATGCGTATAATGTGACATGACAATTCCATTGAACAAAATCGCCATAATTCCGGATAAATGTATTCCTTCCGCAAGTGCATAAGGTGCGTAAGTAAATACCAACATTATTCCAAACTCCAACGAAGGATTTTTTCTCAAGTCTACATGTTTCAGTAATAACGCACTTATTAGCGCAAACACAACGCCAATCCCCGCTGAAGCGAAGAACATTAAACAAAATCTATTCAAACCAAGAACAATGGCTTCACCAGTAGTAGCTCCATTATTCGATTCGAGAACAGATGTTGTTAGAACAATAGCAATAGCGTCGTTGAGAATTGATTCTCCAAATACCAGCATGTTCAACACAGGATCAACATCTAAAGCATGGAATATAGCGACTGTTGCTACTGGGTCAACTGCAGAAATTAATGATCCAAATGCGAAACTCTCGACGAAACTCAGTTTATAGGCAACTTGTGCCAGTCCGAGTAGATAAATTCCAGCTCCTACGACGAAGGCTGATATTGCAGTGCCGAAAATAGCAAATACCAGTATACTTCCGATGTTTTGAAAGAAATTACCCTTATGAAGATTATATCCAGATTCAAAGATAATTGGTGGTAATAAAACGAGGAAGAAAGCTGTTGGTGAAAGAACCTCTTCCTTCTTCCAATTTGCAATGTTTTTGTGGGACATCATGTTGATTATCATACCAATCGCCCCACCGAGAAACACAATCACCACAGATTCTGGGAGGTACTGGAAATTTGTTTGTAACATCAGATGAATGAGGAGGATACCCAGAGCGAGGATGCAAAGGACGAAGAAGATGGACATGGAACTGTTGTGCTCCTCCTCTGCTGATCCTTTATCCGGTAATACTGGTTCCACAGGTGTTGCAGTGGTTGTACTGATGTTTGTGCTGTTGGTAGCTTCTGCTGATGGCATGGAAATCGATTCGCTTGGCTTACCTTTTACACTTCTCTCTGTTGTGATGTGAGGAGGCTTTTCTCCTGGCTCGACGTCCGGAGTCGGTTTCGTTTCATTTTCAGATTTTTTTCTAGTTTGAGTCGAGTTTGACGGAGTTTCAGTAACATGCGGACTATTTGATGTCGAGGTTTTTTCTTCCCTTTGGTTGACTGTTTCATTTTTTAAAGTGATTGGACGCACTGACGGTAGTAATGAGACTGTACTACTTAGTATTTTTGTGTTTTGAGTTCCAGATGTTACATTTTGTTCTGCCAATGACACATGGAAAACTGAACTGATCGAGATGAGAAGTAAGAATTTAATAACCCAGGAAAATATTCTGGGCTTTAATAATCGTATTAGTTTTATCTCCATGATGCTTTGACGCACATGTTATCCTATAATTGAGAGCCTAATTTTGACGTGCCTCTATTGTTGATATTAATTTCTTAACCTTCTCCGAACTCTGATTCAGTCGTTGATCACTTTTTTTAATATTATATGTTACGTACTGTCAGATCTCACATTTAATGTGGTGCTTCACTTACTTTCGATGACAAATATGTTCCAGTTTTAATCCGTTCATTGAGTGATTGCGTCATCTTGGTGAAAAAATTGTGATTATGGAGTTGATAACAATTATAGCGAAACAAACACTTGGTTTTACTTATTATGTATGTATCTATATATACGGGAGAGTTATTACACACGATCTCCGTTCCACGAGCCGACCACCAAAACCAGGCAACCAGACGCCATATTTACTCAGCTGATTTCAATCGCATTATGTGAATCCGCCAAATAACCGTCATTCTAACCTGCTCCTTTCCATCACATGTGTGCAAATCAAATCAAATGGTGAAAATTGCAAACATATCTATAAAATATTGCAAAAAATCTTTTACCGTATTTAAATCAGAAAGTCAAGATACAAATTAATAAAATCATATTCAAATATGGAGGAAAGCATGGAAGAACCTGTTGAAGAGCACTCAATAACAGATACCAGCGACGATGGTGAAGAGAGAACTGCCGGTGAAATCCTAATTGACATGGAAAATGCCTGGATGAACGAGAAATTTTCTCCTGAAATTCTTCCACACAAGTCAAACCACGTTGACTGCCTCCTCCACCACATTGCCTACATGGATGAAAATCTGAAGAAGCTGCCGAAAGGTGATTTGAGACTAACAATTCACAAAATGGAGATTGACAGAATTAGATATTTGATTTCTAGTTACTTGAGAATTCGATTGGAGAAAATTGAACGTAACGTCATCGAGATTTTGAAGAGTGATGGACAAAGAGGCGAGTCAATTCGTTATTTAACCGATGGTGAGCTTAAATATGCCAATGAATATGCTGTCAATATGGAGACACTATTCAAGAGTTTGGTCCTTCAGCATGTACCACAGAACTTCCAAGAATTGGAGGTTGATAAATTGTCAATTAAACCCAATATGAATACTCATGTATTTCTTCGGGCGAATAAGACAATTGAAGGTATTATTATTCCTGGAGCTGTCGACGAAGAGGTGGACTTTGTCGAGGGATCTCAACACATCATTCAATACGCTGCTGTTGCTGATTTGGTCAAAGATTGCTCGGTGCAACTAATATAATTACTGTAAAAAGTTTTGAACTAATTATTATCATTATCTTTTCCCTTTTAATCCACAATTTATATTATAAAAAAATATATTTTTTACACAAAATTTTTAGTTTATCTTGAGGACGAGTATCTCAGGTGTCTATTACTAGCAACTTATTTGTTGAGTTAATACCCTGGTAAAACAGTCCGATTATTTCCGACTGGGTGATAAAAAATGAATCGGCGTTAATGATGTTTCTGTCTTTGCCCGTTAAATTCCGATTGGCTGGTAGATAGAGTTTGGAGTTTGAGAAAATTATGAGAATTAATAGGATTAAGGGTATGTGGCCCCTATCGTCCGATTACTTTCCAAAAAAAGTGGTTGATAGATCTCATATTGCTCAAATAAATATTTATATGCGTAATATGAGATCTATCAACCACTTTTTTTGGAAAGTAATCGGACGACAACAGCCACATACCCTTGATCCTATTAATTCTCAAAATTTTCTCAAACTTCAAACTCTACCTACCAGCCAATGGGAATTTAACGGGCAAAGACAGAAACATCATTAACGCCGATTCATTTTTTATCACCCAGTCGGAAATAATCGGACTGTTTTACCAGGGTAGAAATATACTGCTATTTAATTACGACAAATATTGTTTAAATCATTGAGTCCCCTAAAAGTTTAAGCTTAAGTACGGAACGATTCAATTCATGGTATATATAATGCATATTCCTTTCATTGTATTTGAATAAAATAATAATAGTGATGCCTTCGTGTTATTGTCTTTTTAGAGTAATTGCTTAAGTAGTCCAGCCACAAATGTCATGGTTGTGTAGCAAATCAAAAAATTCTTATGAATATGCTTCCCTTTCATTGGATATTCAGTACTTTCCAGAATCATTAAAATTAAGTTTTACAGACACCATTGGGTTGATTCTGCGAAGCATCCTCATCATTAAGTTTAGAATGCTTTTGATTATAAGTTTTTTCAGCTATTCTCTTCAGATTATTACTCATTGAGGCACCAGTCTCATTAGCCATTTTTGTTAAGTATCCATCGTTCTTTTGTAACAATATATGAGGCCTATCAAATTCCACAGCTTGGCCGTGTTCCATTACGAGAATTTTATCACTGTCCATAACGGTATTCAGTCTATGTGCAATTGTTAAAACTGTGCAGTCTCTGAATTTTTCGCGAATTGTTCGCTGGATGAGGGTATCAGTGGCTGGATCAACATTGGCTGTTGCCTCGTCTAGCACGAGAATTTTATTATTTCTGGCAATGGCTCGGGCTAGGCAGAGCAGTTGGCGTTGACCAGCACTGAAATTGGTCCCTCCTTGAGTAACTACATCATCCAGGGATTGACAGCTACTCTTCAGCTCCACTTCTTCCAATGCAGCCCAGAGCGCATCGTCCTTGAACTGGTGGAAGGGATCAAGATTGTCACGGAGTGTAGCTGAAAATAGCATTGGTTCCTGAGGTATGATAGAGATAATACTCCTTAAGTCATGTAGGCCGATGCTTTTGGTATCGATTCTGTCGATGTAAATGATCCCTTCGAGTTTTGCTAGGTTGAAGAGCGCAGAGATGAGCGAAGATTTTCCTGCTCCAGTGCGACCTACAATTCCCACCTAAAATGATAACATCTTTTATTATGAGATGCAATATTACTTCTCCAAACAAATGTTTCTTATTTAGGGGAATTTGTCATATTCATGGAATTCCCAATTTTTGGGAAAGTATATCTTATGTTTTTGTACCTTATATTAATATAAGATACAAAAAAATTTCATTCTTATATAACGAAGAAATTAAAAGATATATTTTCCCACAAATTGAACCCCATCAAATAACGTTTTAATTGAGAGAAATAAATAAAATTGACAAATACTCATCAAGTTTCTTGAATATTTGTGAGAAGGATATGGTTTTAGCTTCATTATTCGTTATGATTCGTGAAATTTACTCATACTAATGATTGATTGTTTTAATAAAATGAATTCAATAATCGCATGGATTTTTCATTGAATCCTCATTTGCCAATCAGCATTTTGAATAAATTTATAGGGTTTTCTACAAGTTTGATTGACAGATGAGGTGAAAATGTGTATGTTTAGGAACATCCAAAAGTTTTGCTACTGAATTGAAAATTTGTAAGAATTGGATTTTTAATTCACAATACTATGTTCGGAAATTTTTCATCTGTGGACTTATTGTCAAAATCGGAATAATGTATGCTCTTTGAAAATGTTCAGCTCTTTTTCAACGTTTTTTTGATTGTACAATCATAATTTTTGGAGACTCCAGGCCATAGCCATGTAAAATTGAATAGCAATTGGACATCATTTCAGATTATCAAAATAAAAAAAAAACAAGACCACGTTCAAAAGATAATCCACCCGGGTCTTAAAGAGACTAAAATTAGTGATCTGATTCTAAAATTAGATAGGTCACCGTTTTTAACCACTTTTGTTATCGAATAAAAATTTGAAAGTTTATATCCACGTCATGCCTTCACGAATGCCAAACATTTAAATTACCTTCATGCCAGGCTCAATAACGATATTCAAATCCTTAAGAACAGGTGGGTCTTGCTCTGAATATCTCAAGTAAACGTGATCAAATTTAATGTGTCCTTGAGTCGGCCAATTTGAGGAAGGTTTTGAATTAATTTCACTCTCAAATGGACCTTCCTTATCCAGCTGGGTGAATTGTAGTACTCGCTCAACTGACGTCATCTGTGCAACCATTTCTGCGGTCTGACGCATTCCATGTTGAAGCATGCCACAAAGAATCAAAATTTGTGATATAGCCAGACCAACATTTCCAGCAAATGTTCCTTCTAAATATGCAATATTTATATTATGATTTATCGCTCTTATATGAGTATGCTGAGTAAAGAAAAATGTAGAGATTCTGATGGAAATAGGAAGAGAGAAGAGTTAACGAAATATTACCGTTCTTTAGAACAATGAAGCTGTAAGTAATAAACGCAACGAAAGCGACGGTGACTGCATCTAGCCAAAGTCCAAAAGCCGTACTTGTTGAGATCAGCAGTGAGTTAGCAGCGGTATGAACGTCCTGATGACAATCGAATTCCTTTTTCAACATTTCCTGTCCCTTAGCGGATCGAATTGTCGCCAGTCCCGCCAATGATGCATTAACGTGCGAATACACCGGACTCTTTGCTAAAATAATCAGACATTATACATTTCACTTATCGTTCAAGGCAACTATGAAATAGGATGGGTGGCATACCATTAAGTTATCCCACGTAAAGCACGAGTAACATAAAAGTTTTGCTTGAAGAGAGTGATTTCTTACTGATGCCTTCCAATCGTTTTATATCCTGCGCAGTTGCCAAGTATAGCGTTCTTATTTTCCAGTAGAAGAAGCCCATTATTATCATTGGAAATATTGTCCACCAATTGATGATGAGAACTTGAGCTAAGATTCCAACCATTACAGCGAATATCTGGATTGCGTCTATTAGGGCCATTGGGAGAAGCTCATCAACACAGCCAATGTCTTTAGCAAATCGGTTGAGAATACGACCTGAGAAATGAAAAATGAATGAGTCGAAGGATTATTTCCAGATTATTCTATGCAATATTTTGTAGAATAGGAAGAGGAAGTAAACTTCTGTATGAAAAAATTTAATAACAAATCGTAGTGCTTTTAAAAAAAAACTCTATTTGATTTCCCTTAGAGTTGTATACAAATTCTACACAAGTTCTATTGATATTCTTTTTTAAATAGTTATATAATAGAAAAAAGTCGATAGATTTTCATTTTTTGGCAGGAATTATTTCGGTAAGATTTTTTCTAAAGAACAATTTGGTTTTTAATTTTGCTCCTTTTTACAAAATCCAAGAAAATAAAGACAAAAAATTCATGTCCAAGAATTCTTGTAGAAAAACGGTTTCAAGAGAATAATTTATCATATTGAAAAACCAAAATCAAAAAATTATTCTTTGTCTATCGGATAAATGATACATAATTTCCAATAAATGCAGCGCAAAAACTAATGGAATTTTTAAATAGAAAGATTTCCAATAGAAATCTTCAGTAGAATCTTTATAAAACTCCAATAGAAATTCCGTAGTATGTCTCAGAGAAAGCTCTAGGTTTTTCAATTAAATTTTTCAACTCGTCTATTGAACATTTGCAATCATCTCCTCTCAACATTTTCCTATGGTATTACAGAGAGGAAAACAATATTTGGGAGACATATAATCATAAAAGGTTGAAAATATTTACCTGAGGGATTAGTATTGAAGAATCTCATTGGAGCCTTGAGCAAGCACGAGAACATAAGGTTGTGGAGGTTTTTACTCGCATTCATACAAATTTTGTAGAACATTACGTTTCTCGCTGTGGTAAAGATGACACATCCAGCTATGAAGACCCCATAGATCCAAAGCGCTGTATCTCTGTCATAATAATGCTCGGGGTATTCAGGAAATGTTGAGTTTGCTATTACATCGGATGGAATTTCCCAATTACTCATATTATACCTTGCACCTAGTGTACCATTAACCATACTAAATCCATCTTTTCCATCAATCTTTGAGGAATAATTCATCAAAGTACTTTTCAATTCCTCCTGATTGGTCCAATAAGCGACCCAGTAATCAGAGCCGCTGCTTCCTAACTGCCCCAAAATCATGAGCAAAAAGAAGACACAGAGAACAAAATAACTGCCACCAGCTCTGAAATACTGCCAGAACAATGAAGACGATACCTCCCCGTTAGCCATCAACTCTTCAGTCTCCTCAGGCTCCTTTTCAGGTTCATCGTTTCCACCTGAGAAGTAAGACAGTTCCGACACTGGACTCAACTCTCCATCGCCCACTTGTTTTTCCTCTTCTTCATTGGATTCAGGATCATCCAACAGTTTGAAGTCATTTTGTTGAAAATCTTGGTAACTCCCCTGTTTTTCAATTACTCCATTGTTCAGCAGAATAATAGCATCAACATCCTTGAGAAACTGCACCTGATGAGTAACTAAAATTCTTGTTTTATTGGCTAAATATTCCTTGAAGCATCCCTCGAACAAACTTCTACCCACATGTGTATCAACAGCTGACAAGGGATCATCAAAAAGATAGATATCAGCCTTTCGATAAACCGCTCGAGCGAGATTGATTCGTGCACGTTGTCCACCACTGAGGGATGTACCACGCTCTCCAACAAGCGTTTTATCACCTTGCGGTAATTGGACAAAGTCCTTAAGCAAGGAGCAAGCACGCACCACTTGACGATATCTCAATTCATCATAGGGCTGGCCAAAGACTATATTATTTCTCACACTTCCGGCAAATAACCAGGGCTCCTGACTGGCATAGGACACTGATCCCCCGACTGAAACATGGCCATGACTCGCATGTAGTTCGCCGAGAATTAATTGCAATAAAGAACTTTTGCCGGAGCCAACTGGGCCGACTACTGCAGTCAGTGTCCCGCACGTCACTGTTACATTTATATTGTGGAGTGTGTTAACAATTGAATCTTCGTTCCAAGAGGCGGTGACCTCTTTCATCTTTATTGACGTTGTTTCAATTGGTGATGTTTCGATTGCAAGTGGATGATTCTCTTCGAGTAGTAAGAAATTTTGAAGACGTTTAATCGTAACAGCAGCCTCAGATGCAAATGTTATAGCTAATGGGAAGTAAATTGCCATTGTACACTGCAAGCGGTTGTAATACTGCGCCATTGAGAAGACTTTATCAGCTGATATTGTGTTTCCGAGAAGGACGTATGCCATCACTGTGAAGTAGAGGGTCGTACGCTCAGTGAAAACAAATGTTGCTCGGTTGAAGCCTCGTAGATAAGATATCACAGTCAGAACGTCAATTTCTTTTTTTCTAGCAAATGACACGAGTTCTTGAAAAGGTTTCTCCCATGTGTACATTTTTATCACTTGGATACCAGTGATTATTTCACTCATTAAGCGCACGCGTTCGTCAGTGCGGACTGCTATCTTTCCCCGCAGTTTCAGTGTTAATCTGCTCAAATAGCCTTGAAGGGGTATTGTTTGGATGGTAATGAGGAAAATACCAGCTAAAGTCGCTATTTGAACATTTTGCCAGATCAAATATGCTATTGCTGCCCCTTGAATTGGCATTATCCAGATGTAATGGAGGAATGCGAATACTGAGTCAAATCTCCCCACGTCGTTTGACAGAAGATTAATTATTTGACCTCCAGCTGTTTTATTTGCTGAGTATCGGGAGAGTCTAAGAATCTGAAAAAATAGGGCATGATAATTTTTCTACTTAATTTCTAAAAAAAATTTCATTGATACGGTGATGGAGATGAAAACGTCACAAACGATTCTGCACTCAAGTGTTGAAATGATGAAAGTCAAATGATATGCAAATTATTTTAGGAATATCTCAGAAACCAGGAGGTTTATCGAGATTTTTTTCTTTTTAGAAAATTTAATTGACTCTGAAAAACACAGAGTCATTTTTCTCCACATAGAAGGTAAAAAATTTCTAGATAACTGAATTTCAGAACTCTGTCGTACTGAAATCTAGAGAGCAAAAAATCCCTTTAAGGGGCTTTAAGGGAATTTTTCACTTATTTTAAGAGAAGTTCCCCTGAAATCTAGTATATAATTGGACTTGAGTTGTGGCACATTTCTTCTTATTCCAAGAAAATCCTGGTGTTGGAATTCAGAAAATTTAGATATTTAGAATAAGATCCTTGACATTCTTCATCCAATGATTTTTCCTGTTTTACTGAATAAATTAATCCCCTTATATTCGAACTATTTTTTCAAATATGGACCTTAGCTTAACAAATTGATGTTAAATTAACGTCCAAATATTTCAGAATTTTATGCGGTTTGAATGTTCTTAATTTAAAAACTTTCCTCACTTGAAATGAGTAGATTTTTTATAGTGAATTTTACAGCTACTCCTATGTATATTCCTATGACAATTAAGTGACTAGTCTTATTCTCAATATTATTATGCTTCCGAAAACGAAATTTGTTATTTTCTCTACGTAAAACTTACTAGTTTCAGCGCAATAATCTGTAACATTATTTACCTAATAATAGATTTATGTTTTTTGTCAACTTATTGGTGAATATTTTAATAGATGAGATGATTTTTCGAATACACCTATTTCAATTGCCCTGTAGCAATTCAAAGCTAGAATTAATGTTCTTCGTTTTGCAACGACTTTGGACCATTTAAGTAGTATTGACTTTTCGTTAGAATTTAGTTATTTAGCCTATACAGCTGGTGTATACTGGAGTCAATTATCATTTTTAAGATAAAATAATTTGTCAGTTAAACTCTCAAGGAATTCTCATATTCCAATCTAATCTCGATGTATTTCCATTTTTTTCTACCGGGCTCAGCACTTACTGTAATTTGTCTGTTAGTTAGTTTGTACCGTGTCCCTCATTTCCGTCGTTACTTCAATCGTTGTCATATGCCCTTTTGTTATATCTAATTTCTAAACTAAATACATTTGAATTAATTTTAGAATACCTTTCTGTAAACTAACGACGAAGCTGCAATTCGTAGTCGCATTCCCATTTCCAATTGTCCCATGTTCACGTGATGATCAATAAGTGCGATTAGAATAGCCATTATTATGACACCTGAGGCATACATGTATGCCTCGGTTGTTGTGATGGGTGAAAACCGAGCGAAGTGGCTGATAAGGAGACCAAGTACGTAAGGTTGTAAGACCCTGATCATAAAACAGTAAAACGACATTCAGTCTCATCTTTAATCAGTTGTCGGGGTATTATTTGCATGCGGCGCATGTTTTACCTCAAAGAAGTACATAAAAATGTCCATGCACCATAATAGATATACGACCACAAAAACGTTTTCCTTATGGCGGTGAATAACTTCGGATTTCTCTCTTCTTTACGCGCGCGGTCTAACTCTTTTTTCCAGTTCTTCTCTAAAGCATCACCGAGGGGCTCACTGAGATCGGGTTGTAGAATATTATGTAAATCTTTTACCTTCAGATTGTTATTTTTTCCATACGTAAATAATGGCTTCAGCCACCTGAAAAAATTGAAGTATCTTTTGCATTCGTAATCTAAGGTGTAGTATATAGGGGAGGTAGGGGCAAAGCGGACCCTCTAAGCGAATCGTTTAGTTTTTTAAATTCTAATGAGTCAATGCACTTCACGTGGAGATCATAATCTCATTAGAATTGCAATTAAGATCTGTCATTAAATTAAAAAAAAAATTAATGTTGGGGCAAAGTGGACCCTCTGTTTTTTAAAAATTATTTTAATTTTCCGTTTGTCAGGAGTCATTGTCATGTTGTTCTACCGATTGGATAGAATGTAATCGCTGTTGATCCAAAACTCACATTTCTTGTTCACAATTAGATCCGCAGGAGCTCACACAAATTTATACTTGTCCTCATTGCATATTTTTTTAGTCAAGGTAGTAAATTTGCAGTCTTCGAGGTATTGAATTTTTTATCATAAGACCTAAAATCCTATCAAGTTTAGAGTTTCGATCTCAAATATTCTTTTAATCATTGTGTAACAACCATTTAATAAAACAACAATCAGGGGTCAGCGTGCCTGTGAGAATAAGCATGTCATTGAATCATGTGTTAATGTTTGTTTCGTCATCAATACATTGATAGCGGGTTTGTAAATGGTTTCAGCAGGATATAATTTTTGTTCTCCCATATATGCTCTCCCATTGCTACCATTTGTTAACTTCTCACCCTCTTTCAAATCCTGTCCAAAAATCTAAATGAGGGAAAAACCTGATGACAATAATGATGCATAAAGAAAAATTCGAAATATACTACGCACCTGGTCTCTGTCACAGACATATAACCACGGCCATCTTCTATGATGGTAGCAAAAAAGAAATGTTTTCCAATGTTACATGACCTTTCATGTCATCCTCATATGAGAATTCGTGATGAAATAACGTTACATCCAGTAAGAAAAAAGAAATTTGATAAATTGTTCGATTGTTGTTTTTACGATTTGTTCCCTTCCCACCCCCCAACCCCCTGTATTGCATTCACCGAGGGCCAAAAAAAATCTCACTTGAGGCAAAAAGCTTGAACAGGTGCAGTCGTATCTTGCGAGAGTCCCGCTCGGACAATGAATCTGCGAGAATTGGAGATTCCCCCACCGGGAATCGAACCCGAATCGTCCGCGTGCCAACCCCGCACTCTAACCACACAGCCATCCCGTCGGTTCATTTTTTTGCAAGTATTATGTTTTCATATTTTTCAAGGGTTTTGTTTCAAATATGAGCAGATCCACGCCAAATCAGCAAGCCAAAAAGGTCGATGCTGGGGATTTTTGTCTTAAATTTTTTCTGAAAAAATGACGATTAGACAAAAATTGGGAAAGAAAAAAAATTGAAAAATATTGATAATTGATGGAGTTATAATTTTTTGAAAATTGAGGCGATTATCGCCCCAGCATCGACTTTTTTGGCCTATTGATTTGGCGTGGATCTGCCGATATACTGCTAAGTCAATTGATTTTTAGAATAAATAAACACTATTTTATATAATTCGCCATAAAGTGACGTGATTGGTGAGACTGAGATTGGCAGACCTTACCAGACACACTCATTAAAAACTCCGTTTTTCAACTAATTGCATGAAGTATTCGCGAAAAGGTAGATAAATGGTGTAATTCTTTTTTGCCAATGAAAATTATCTATGAAAGACAACACGCAGGAAAGATGTGGAATGGCTTAAATAAAACAATGAAAAAAATACAAGATTCGTCAAAAATTCTCATAACATTTCAATCAATAACAGTACTATATACTTTAACAAGAAAAACGAAAAAAAGTAGTAGAGAATCCATTCAGAAGCATATTTTCAAATTATTAGCAATAATAACAATATTCGTTGTGTTATCTATTAGGAATATAATATTTGGTCTGATTTATCCTCTTCTGTTCCAAATAAGAATACGTTAAGTGTAACCATGCTTATAATAAAAACACTTGAATTATTCAAGGCTTGATAATTCGAGGCACATATTGAAACATTGTACGAGTTTTAGATAGTAAAAAATTATCATCGACAATTTTTTCCATTAATTTTTTTTAGCATCCCTACATTGAATTTTTTTTTCAGCATTTAGTCATGAATACTTCTATAAGAAAATACAGTAATTCAATACAAAATAAATGAGAAGAGATTTTTAAAAATTTGTTTAGTAATTGAAAAATATTCATTATGTGAAATAAAATGATACCTCCAACAGAATAAGAATAATAAAAATTATGAAACGTTTATGAATTGATTGATTTGAAATCGCAATATAACTGAGACACTTAACAAGTTGATGACCAAGCCATTTCATCATGTGTATCACTTGTGGCGATTTTTGGATCATATTTTTAATTGTGCTGACACTGTTTTCTGGCGTCAATTGCCCTATCAATTGGAATGGATTGATTGAAATGAAACGAGTCATGACTGGTATACATCCAAAGAATAACAAAGAAAATCCACCTGACATTGAATAGTAATGATACCCTGCATTTTCAGTAAATCATATCCTTGGTTACAATAGCGAAAACTGTTCCAGGAACAGCTGGTTATAACTATATCCTCTTTCAATGTTACGAGCGCCGCAATGGTTATGAAGATGAGTCCGAGATATTTCATTCGGCTGATGTATATTTAAAGCATAAACTTACCAAAAAACTAATTTGCTGAGGGGATTTGCCGTTTTTCGTGGATTTGGATTATCATATTTTGTACTGTTGTCCATTTTGATATTTCACACAGCGAAACAGAATAACCAAAATTGTAGTAGTTGAGAGGACGACAAGAAATGACGTCCAGTCCCGAAGGGATAACAGCAGCCCACGATGGCGCGCGCCACACTGACCACAGAGGCCAAGAGAGCATTGCTCAATAGTATAGTCTACTATGCGGAAGTGTGAATCAGTGTAAATATCGCGCTTTGACAGAAGTCGTGTTGTTTCTTATCATTTGTAAAGTATTATGAAATTCGGAGCTAATTAAAGGTCAACAAGCAATATTCATTACTATTTCCTGCTTAACGGCTCCTCCTGTTTTGGACGAGGGTCCACAGCAGTCCACATTCTTACGGGATTGGTCTGACAAACAATCATTCATAATATAAAAATCTTACACGAGCAAGAAAACGCTCACTTGTGAGTCTTCACGTGTCTTCGGATTTAAGGAGACTATGATTTTGAAATTTTCATCACTGCACTTCACTTATGTGTTCACAACGGTTTTCTTCGCGTGGTCTTTTTCTAACTTATCCAAGTGTATTTCTTTCCAAGGATTTTCTGTTTTAACTTTCGACATGTTATTACCGGTAAGTCGGTTCAATTCTATCCGATAAACGGCATATGACCGTTACTTTCTGCGCTGTGTTTTTTTTGCTTCCGAATGGAAGCCTTGTATTTTTGATGGTTTTCATAAAGAAAACAAAAAAAAAAAAGTTTAAAATGTTGAAAATGTTTATAGGGTCATGTCTGTATATGTATGTATGTGACAACTTGGGTTTTTGGTGATTAATTTTTAGAAAACATACAGGGGTTCGAGCATATCCGGCAGAAGGCATGTGACCGGTCCTTTTTGCGTTATTAATTTTTTTGCTTCCGAATGGAAGCTATGTAATTGGGATTTTTTTTCAATTTCCTAATTTTGGGTGGAAATGCCTAGAGATGTCATGAAGCATCAAGAAATTGTGTTTAAAAAATCTCTGTATGTATGTGTGTGCACATTTGTGTTCGTTTGCCCAGAACTGGCCCCATAATTCGAGACTACTATGAGTTTTAAAAGTCATGGGATATTGGAGTGAGGTTTCTCATGCATTGAAGATCGATTATAATGTCTAAAAACGAATAATTAGTGCAAAAAAATTGATTGTTCAATTGTTTATTTGCTCCGCAGACGCTTATAATTTTGTATAAGTCTATTTCATTAAAAGGTTGAATATCTTCCTGTAGACACCGTATAACATGTGGTTACGGTTGTATGTCTTTCATAAGAATAGCGAATTGTTACGATGAATCCATTCAGAAACTTACTACCAATGGAGTTGGTAGAAAAGAAAAAGACTAATAACACAAAAATAAAGGTCATATCCCTTCTGACGGATAGGCACGAACCCCTGCTTGTTTTACGTTGATATAATTTCTATTTACCACTTTCTACTGAAAAAAAGCGTGAAATCTGCGAACAACTAATAGAATTTCCAAGCGAATGTGCTATTTCTTTCTCTACAAAATTTTATCGTGCGTCTATTGAAGTGGCTATTGAAGGGAAGTCCAATATTGAAAAAAAATATGGGTCAAGTTCATTTCCATGTATTACTTTATTTCGAGTGTTATTGCTAAACTTTCCTCGGCACTTCACACAGTTGATGACGGAGTGGATTTGCTATTTTTCTTCGATTGAGTTACCTACTTCAAGATACCTTTTGGACGGACATTAGTCAGCTTTTTTGGTATCAGATATCTTTCGCAAGGTTTGCTACTTGGGATGGTGATTTCCTCTGTGAGTAGAAAAGTAGTCATCTTACAAATTTCACAAATGGACAAAAGGTCAGATGTGTAGGGCATGCAATTGATAATTGAAAAAGAATTAATAATTTCAAAGTTATTTCAAAGAGTAAAACAGGAAATTCAAAGCTACTTTATATTTCAAACTTCAATGTAAAATTTAATAGAGTCGAAGTTTGTTTGTTAATATCTTTCCCAACTCTAATTTTTCTTTATAAAACGATACCGATACGATTCTGTTGGAAAATGTCTTTTAAAAATTTTCTTTATTTTTGGATAGAACCAAATTTTTCGGATATCCATTTTAGCCCACTCTTGAATAATTTCTCAGTTGTAGACTTTGCCAAGAAGCAATTTTTAAAAATCAATTATTGAAAATGTTTTGAGTGTTCATTTTAGTCCCGCCCACACAGATTTATCAGGTGTCCATAATGCCTAATGAAACGATTTTCAAAGATTTGAATTTTGAAAAAAAAAAATTCGCAAATTATTTTTGAGTGTCCATTTTACCCTGAATGTCCATATTACCCCACCCCCCTCTAATTTTGTCAAAAATCAAAGAATTTTACTAGAATTTTCTCGAAAATCTAAGAATGATCTAGAACTGTCTCGAAAATCCAAGCTTTTTTTGGAATTTTCTAGAAAACTGGAGAATTTCTTTGAATTTTCCAGAGAATAGGAAAATTTTCTCGAACGTGCTGGGACACCGTAGAATTTCCTCGAATTTGGTTTGAAAACTCTAAATGTCCATATAATTTTTTCAAAAACTGGAGAATTTTCCAGAATTTTCTCAAAAACCGGAGAATTCTCTCGAAAATCGGAAATTTTTCTCGAAAACTTCATGGGAAACATGAGAACATCTACCGGAAAAAATAAACACGAAGAGAATAAGAAACAAAAATTGCGGGGCCCTTTCCAAGCCCCACTTTTATATGTCACCCTGGTTTCCTGCCATTCCGTAGTTACCGACATAGCTATGGTTCGGATAAAGCTTCTTGCTTTGACCGCATAGTGGGGGGGGTGGGGCGTAAAATCGCCACTCGAGAAAAAACCTCCATGCGGGCCTTGTTTAATATTGACTAGTAATTTTCCGTTAGGATGGCCCTACCCAAGCCGGATACTCCTACTTCACGTAATTCTCACAAACAAAACAAGCGGAGGTTTTACATAGAAAGAGTGGATTGAATCAAGTTTCTTGCATTTTTCTCCTCTAAATTTTCAAATCGAATCAATTTAATTATCATTATTATTATTGCAACAGTTTACAGCATAAATGCGATTGAAAGAGGAGCAGAAAGTAGCAGAAATCATAATTTCCAATGAAAAAAATGGTTGGTTATGGTGAACAATTCTTCAAATAAATTTTTGAAATTAATAGAATTATCACAGTACTGAACAATTTTAAGTGGAATTATCAAAACACCTTTTTCAAAGCTACAGAAAAAGTTTCTTCACATTATTTATATGCAAATTTCCTTTCTTGAGATAATAATGGTTTTTCTAAATTTAAATTGACTTGTTTCGTGGCTTACTTTTGAAATAATGTCCGTATAATGTTTCCTGATTCGTATTTTCTTGTTTTTCTTTTCATCCTAAAGAAGAGTCATAGTGGGTGGGCCGAGCTGAACCTCGACTTCCAGCCATCGAAAAAGAAGTTAGCCCCGATAAAATCCGACAAAACTTCAAATAATGAAATTATTGAAACTTTTGCTCATGATTTTGAACACTTCGATTACAAATCCATCAAAAGGAAAAGTTTATTTGGAATATTAGAAGCCTGTCAGCCGAAAAAAGCTTCAGAATTATCTGTGAGCAAGCAGAAGCAGAATGAGATCATTGAGTGGCTAAGTTCTGAAACCGTAACAGGGAAGCCGAGGATTTTGCTGCTTTCTGGTGCTTCTGGTTGTGGAAAAACGGTCACTCTTAAAGTATTGGCTGAGGAGAATGATTTTGACGTAATTGAGTGGATCTCTCCAATGGATTCTACGTATTCTAATGATTTTAAATACTTGAATCAAGGTGATAAATTCATGGAGTTTTTGGTGAGAGTTACGAGGTATAATTCAGTGTTTAACAGGTGTAAAAAACGCCTTCTACTGGTTAAAGATATTCCCAACATCTATTTTATGGATACGGATGGTTTCCACGAAGTCCTGAGGTATTTTACACGTGATAAAACCAATTTAAAATATATCGAATCTGTTACGACATAACGGAAAATAAAAAAATTGTAATAATAGAAACTGAATTATTTCTCCTCCTCCAGGCCATCATTTCATGTAAAGATCCTTGAATTATGCGATGTCTTAATTTGGCAACACTGATGGTAAATATTGAAATAGACATTTATGGTATGTTTTGTATGTTTTTTTTTCAAGTAGGTGAGAATAAATGAATCGCCCTGATGAGGAGTGAGATTGGCCACTCCAAACGTTAGTAAAAGTAGATGGATTTTTTGTGTTGATTAATAGTGAGCGTTAAAATAGCCGAGAACCGCAAAATGGCCTGGAGAAGGAGCAGAAATGTTCAGTCATAATAGTAATAGTTCATAGCATAATAGTTCATATCCTAAGGCATTCCATGTCATATCAGTACACTAAGAGAAAAACGAACGAAAAACGGAATGAAAGTTCTCAAACAAGTCTTGTTTAAGTCAACAAAATCGTTAGTTGAAAATTACCAAAAAAATAATTGTTTGGGTTGAATTTGAAAGTCTCAAACATGAAAAATTGCTCTGCTTTCAATAACAACGAAATATTTGGCTCAAGAGGCGGATCATTCATACAAGGTGGTGCCGTCTCAGGATAAAAATATCTTTTATAGAGGGAAGCTTATCAAGAAATATCTTGTCTCTAAGTTATAAGATTGCTGTCATATCATTATTATTATTTCATTTAAGAATTCATTTTTTGTCTGTGATTATTGAATAGCCGAAACAACAAATTACTACCAAACGAGCATTTGCCGGAAGCAAAATACGTATGGGAGCATCGAATAACGATGCACTAGTGCTAGAAATTACATTTCTTGCTTGCACAGAGAATAAATTTTTTTTTGAAAAGATTAAATCTATTTTTGCAATAAAAATTTTTAATCTCAGTGCACGCTTCGCATGTTTGGCACAAAAAATCCTTTTTTGATCATTTTTAACAAACAATTTTCTTGGTACCAGTAAGACTTATTTGAGAACTGCTTTTTTCTCTCAGTATAATAAACCTGTGATCATCTTTCTTTCGACAATCACCCGGAGCTTCAAAAACAATCTCCTAATTTTTTTCACATATTTTCTAGAGCTCGGATGGAATACCCTTTTTTGAGATTTTGTTTTTTTTTATAATTTGCCTTTTAATAAACCAAAGCTTATTTAGTTATGTCTATATACATATCATGTATATGTGTACCAAAATTGAGGCGATCGGTTGAGAACTGCGTCATAAGGACATTGTTGCAGATTCTATTCCTCTAAAGTCTCTTTCTGATCAATGAATAAAATAAAAACCTAATTTTTTCATGACTTTGAAGTTTGCAGAAAATAATGTTCAACTGCGGATAGCTCGTGAGAGAATTTGATGGTATTATCGATAATATTAACATGCCGAACTATAAATATCATAATTCATTGTCTAGGGAAAATAGTACTAACAACTCAACCACTGTCTCTCTCCATCATTAAATAATTGAGAATCGTAGATATTGCTAATTTGAATCTATCGTCGAGCGTTCACTAATTGAGATCACGTCTCAATGAAAAAATTCATACAGACATCGCAACTATAGTCTAAATTCGCGTTACTCATTTCTTCCCCATTTATCTTGAGGTGGCATAGGCAAGGTGGCTCGATCACAGTTTATAATATCTGACGTAAATCAGTCTCTTCAATATTATTTATTACATTCGACAGCATCAAAAGTATTTCGCAAAGATAATTACGACACAGTGGGGGAAAAAGAGAGGTGATAGATCCCTTTGTTTTTCGAAATCCTACCTGTGTGTATTTCTAATGTAATTAGGCAGTAATAAGGGAAGTATTTTAAAATTGAGAACAATAAATATTCCTTCTACTTGTTTGTTATGAATTGATTGGATTATTTTTACACTTAAAACTTTAATTCAATAAGCAATTCTTAGGAATATAATCTAAGAACTTTCTGAAGATTCCCAAGAAAATAGGGAAATTTTGAAGACAAAAATTAAAAATACAATAGAACTTTTCATAATTATTGCGTGTAAGATGCATATTTTCATTGCGAAAATCTATTTTTAAAAGACTAAAAATGGAAAAAAATGACATATTGGGCGAAATTGAAGTTTTTCCAAAATTTTTAGTGCGATTGGTTATTTTATTTTAAACCTCGAAAAAATATCTCCCATCAGAGCAATAGGAAAATTCTGAAACTGAATTGAATTCAAATTGGATGATTGATGATAACGCTACAGATAATCTTCTCTTTATTCATGCTCTATCACTTTATTTGTGGAATCATTCTCTCTGCAGACAATATATGGAATTGGGGAAACAACCACTGGTATTTCTATGTCCTGACTCGGAAAGCAGTAGAATGATATATACACTGTTCCCAACAGAGATTATCGAAAAATTTCAAATTGATAGAATTAATATTCTCCCCACTACACCTACTGCCATGAGAAATATGTTGAAACGTGTTGCCAATATCTTAAATGCAAGATTTGGGGATATGATTGATGTGACACAGACTGTGATTGATGAAGTGCTGTCTAATAGCATTGGAGATGTTAGGAGTACGATTTTGAATACCATTTTTGCATCATTAAAAGGTAATATTTTTCTTTATCAATGTTTTTGCTAGTACCTAGGAGAACGACATTTTATACTCCCATTGAATTATGAATTTTTCATTGTTTCACTTTCCTGATTGAATTATTGGCTTCAGATATTTGTTTCTGTATCGAAACTTAGCAGTGAAATTTTCCGAATCAAATACGAAATCTTGATGGATTGCGTCAATCCTCCAATTATCAGACTGCTATGATACATTCAAAATTTTAATTTTGTTGAAGCTTTTTATACGATTTCAGAAGAGGTAAAGAACCATTTTTAACTTCTCAATATTTACGATAGCGATTTCAAGAACTAAAGAATGGAAAAAGTCGATTTTTGCACGTAATAAAATTTGAAAAAAAAAATGAAATTTTGTTTTCATCTTGTGAACGTTGCAAATACCATCTAAGAAGCTTCACCAAAATCTAAATTGTAAAGGTATAAAATTTAACCAATAATTTTGACAAAACAGAAAGCGATTAGTGCAATCACTCTCCATTCTAGTGGAATGTCAAGTGACTTTCTTGCAAAATTCATTGTTGATTATTTTTTTAGTACCAAATGATCATTCGAAAAATGATTGTGGGACTCGGGCAGAGAGTTTGGGGCTTCTGCATGGTATTGGACGTGTCATTAATCCCAAACGAATAGTTAATGGAGACAAATGGAAATTCACGCATGATCCGGATGATATTGCTGCTTATTTCAGATCGCAGTCGAAGATATTCTTTCATTTTTTGCAAGAGAATTATCTGAATACAATGGGAAATATTGACCAGGTGGAGAGGTGTTCTGAGATCATGAGTCTGGCAGACACAATCAGTATCGAATATCGAGTAAGTTTACGTTTCATATTTCATTGAATATTTAATCATCGCGATAGTGATCAGTTTATAAGAAGATATTAACGACCATTTGTGTAGACAATTTTATGGACAACCTAAAAAGTCATCCGAAATTCTCTTCGAAATCTAAGTTTTGATAATATTTGTTTCTTGAATTTCTGTTATCTAGCTCATTGTTGAATCATAAATGGATGATGAATTGTAACTGTTCAAAGGAGATCTTTTTGTAGGGATTGAGGTATACGTGTTCGGGAAGGAATCAATTCACTATGCGAAGCAAGAGTTGCAAACTAGTAATTAGTTTATTGTCGATATATAATTATGTGCAACTGAGTCGGTATGAATGTATACTATATACGATGAGGTGATGTTCACCGAGTGGCAAGATCCACATGATTGCTGATAAACGGGACTGATTACGATATCTGAGGTGTGCATGTAATCCGCAGATGCGAGTGTATGAGTGATGTACTACGCGTCTCTCAGTAAATGTAACCAGACGCTACATTTTGACACATTTTTGTTGTTCTGTTAGAAATATGTACATGAGTTCAATCACTGAATAATTAGAACACTCGTTGACTCACCCTATCTTTGTTGCAAATTCATGATAGATAAAAATGTCACATTCGATTCATTATAGTTTCTCACTTCGAAGGATTTCATTCAAATTTATAATTTCAGGAGGCGAATTTGATAAACGTGAATTTGTCGCTATGCATTAGAGGAGTAATGGTAAATAATGAGACTCCTTTGATGAGATGGAATCCAGTGAGAAAACCGAAAAAGGCAGATCCAAAAATGTAAGAATGAAGAAATTGCATAGAAAAATGTAGTGCATTTGATAGAAACCCTGTCGTATTTCTGTTGACAATTCCGTTAGTTTTTCATCAATTTCATGGAAAAACTTCGTATTCTTTCTGCGCTTCTTTGTTGTTTTTAAGGGATGTCTGATAGAAAATATTATATACAAAAATTAATCCATTTTGATCTTAGTATAAAACTTACTCTGATGAAATAGTTTCTATAGGAAACCATGCAGAGATGTAGAAAAAAAATACAGAACGAGAAAAAGGTATAGAAACCTGCGGAGTTATGCCAAAGAATAAACAGCAAACTCATAGAATATTCAATAGAAGTCTAGTAAAAATCCAATAGAATTATGTAGCGATGCGCTAGGTTATTTTATGAAAATTTTTCGGGAGATGTTGAGCAATTTATGGAGATCTTCATTATGATTTTCTTTATTTTTGCAGACAAAGAGACTCGGGAGTAGCAGAGGAACGGTTTTATAAACAATTGATCAACCCAAAAATGTCGGAGAGTACTCTGGGTGTAGATTATAACATTGAGAACTGAAAAATGATAATTATTCCTCAGTTGTAAATGTTCTTGAATTAAATTATTTTGTTTTTTCCCTATTAGATCCATTGATTCTGGAATCAGGCTATTCTTTTACCTTGATGAAAGTAATGAGTCAAACTCGAAAAAACTTCGAAACTCTTACGTTTAAAAAGGGATATCAAAATTTGTGTATTTCTTTCACTCGGAGATTTCAACCAATATCTCTCATTGGGAAAGATAATTCGACTAGATCTTCGTATAATTATCTCACAAACTGTCAATATTATGGAATGATGTCAATAGATCTATTAGGCACCAAAAGAAGGCCCTTGATTGATTCGTCTGACAATGACCGTTGTTTCCCAAAGATATTCACCAAATAATCAACACATTGACTGGAGATTCTTGAGCGATAGTCAGTTGCAAGATCTTAGATAAATTTGCAAAAAATTTCGCTGACAATAAATGAATAGATAATAATCAACACATCAATTTTGTAATACTTTTGTCATCGTCTGGATTTAGGGAAAAAACGGTGAATAAGCTCAATACAACGTAAATCCTACAAAAAGTGATTTAAGTATACATTTATTTTCGTAATCTAAATCAAACATTGATGTTGATAATTGTATGATTGAATCGTCCATATTTTTTAATAATTTTTGTTTTCAATCACACTATTAAATGTATTTAAAATGTAATCTTAGACGCATCTGTTTTTCATTAACTATTCAATTCTTAAGTTTTAGATCAACTTAGTTCATGTTATGCTTCAATGAATTAATCTTTGAAGGCGTTGTGGATGCCGGTAATGCCCGAACCATCGCAACGGAGTCAATTGTTGATCCATCGAGTCAGAGCCCGGCGAATCATTGCCCTCATCTCAGGCTAAATCGTCATCGGGGTCACTACTGACTGCAGTCCTATACAGACGTTTTCCGTATATTGGAACGTGCTGAGTTTCGTACATCTTACGATTTTCGAGATAACGTTTATAATTGTTCTCTCGTTTCCGCCGCTGCTCCTCAGCCTGTTGCCTCAATTTTTCTGGGTTCATGTGGGAAGTCACCATGTGTCTTGTCAGGGAACTCATAAATTTGTAAGTGATTCCACATACGTCACAGGATAATATCTCCTGGTTTTGTCCTTGCTGAAATTGGAGGAAAAAGTTGAATTGGATTAATTTAAAGTGTAGTAAAGTGGTGAAAGATAACAAAATAATCGTCAATTCGTTATATTTAGTTAAATATGACGTTATTTCGTTCATGAAGGATTATAGAAAGGTATATTAGAGATTTTCTACTGGAAATTTTACACAAACTGTCCCTTCTATAGTCTTTCATAGAATCAACTTGTTCATTGTTTACGATTTCATGTGTGTGATTCACTCGAGTTTGATAGTGATTAAGGATGTGATAGAACCAGAATAGATTCACGAAAAGAATAAAAACTATTAAAAATATTTTGAATCAATGGAAAGAACATTTTTTTTTCTTTACGGAAAACATTATTATCTACAGTAAGGGACTAAAAAGGAACGAATTTAAAAATCCAATGTAACATTAGGTTGTAAATATTGCATTATCAGGAATGAGTGAATTTAAGGGAGTTTGTCAACCGATTTTTTTGTAAGAAAATCTCTATATCTGCTTTAGTCAGACGAAGAAATGAATACTACTGGAATTTAAACAAGCAGTGCGACATGAGACATGCAATAGAGCCGATATGACAGATTACATGCGATTGTTATTCTACGCATTATTTTATTTCCCAAGATAGTTTTAACCCTCGGTTGGTCACCTCATGAGGATGATGCCAGCCGACCTATAGGCGACCTATAGAGCGAGTGAGATACTAGAGGTGGGGTGACCAACCGAGGGTTAAATGCTGTGGAGAATATGTTTGTTGATATACTTGATCAAATGAATCAAATTATATGGTTTCTCTGTCAGAATTTTTCCATGTTTCATCTAATTTTGAGTGACTTCCATCCAAAAATAGAGAATCGAAAAAAATCACGTTTTCAAAGTGTCCATGCAGAAGCAAGAAATTATCTCCATGACGTCGCTGTAGCATAACCACCTCAAGAATTCTAATTGACCCATTAAAGATGATATGGTGTGGCGAAAATTAAAAAAACGAAAATGATATCTGCAATGGGGCCTTATGAATCATCCGGTCGGAATACGGATTCTTAGATTTATTTCTATTAGCCAAGACATTCGAAGTGTCGGTCGGTATTTTTCAAGAGGTTACACCACTTAGAAAGATCTCATGCACGCCATCCTCCAATTGAAGATTTTTCCAATTCCAGTAGGAGCTCCCGTCAATCCACTCATTTCCTATTACCACTTTACTACAAATTTTCTTGAAAGAAAATTTTTTTTGTAGGTATTTGAAAATTGGTTTTATTCTTAGAAATTAATTTATTAATAAATTGAGAGTCCACCTGATTTTTTTCGAATGATTCTCCTCTTGATGACTATGGAAAAACAAAAATGGTAAATAAAGAATTAAAATCATTTTCCTATAATAAATCGATACCTTAATAACAGAGAAGCGTAATTTTAGAGTTGCCCCACACGTATACACTTCTCCATTACTAAGATGTTGGATTGAATACAAAAAAATCTTGTCAAATATTATATTTTTCAATACACTGATAAAACCGTGAGGATGTCGTTCTCTGAATATATATATATATATATATATATATATGTCAACATATATAAATATGTTGACATATTTATTCATTTTTCATTTTCTTATTCAGCAACCATTGGGGGCTGTAGATGTTACTGCGTGACCTCGGATAATGTAATATTATTGGTTGACGTGAGAATGGAAAAAAAATAATGTACAAGAACTATTCACGTAACTATTTACGTTCTTCTCAAAAACAAAATTATTTTGAGACTATTCTCTTTTATTTTCCCATTGATTCGTGAAGGTCATGGGTCACAAAAAGATTTTCTTGCAATTTTATTCGAACTTTTTTCCATCACATATTGCCAACAAAAAATCGACCAAACCGATTCAAAATTTTCTCCGTTCACTTGAGGACAGACTCTTTTATTGAAAAAAATGTAATTAGTTATTCGACACTCCCTATCACATCCTCAAATAATTAAGTATTTATGAGAATCAATTAAAACCCTAGGGACCCACTGAATGAAGAAATACAATTGAACTTACCGCAGCTTTATCACGTACCTGTTGATGTACGAGCATGTGCCGTTGCAAATTATTAAGGCGATTAAATTCCCGCCCACAGACTTCACAATCAAACTTTTTATCAGGATCATGATTCTTCTTGTGCATAGACAGATCAGTGGCGCTGATAAACGGCTTGTGGCAGATGTCACAGGTATGTGTACGTTGTTCTGCAGCAAGATGAGACTGTTCATGTTTTTGGAGTGTTGGTTTATCGATGAATCTCCGTCCACAGTAGATGCATGGCAGAGGTTTCGAGTCAGGATTGTGTTGGTTCATATGACGACGAAGGGAATTGGCAGTTGGAAATTGCTCGTGACACTCGAGACACTGGAATGGACGGTCCCCAGTATGTGTTTTCCTGTGCTTAGCTAATGAATTCTGATCTGGAAAACGTTTGGGACACAAATCGCAGGGGAAGTTTCGCACTGTAATATCTTCTTCACGTGCATGCTTCAGTCTGTTGTGTCGCAACAATTGGAATTGAGTCTTGAAACTCTTTTGACAAATTTCACATTTTAGTGCATCTGTTGTCGGAATTATTACTTGAGTCCTCTTTAGTCCATTTTCGTCTTCTGAGATGATTAGGGAAATCGTTACTGTGTTGTCTTCGTTCTCCGGGTCATTGTTCGTTGGAGTTGGAGACGGGGACTGCTGGAAGAAAACAGAATAAAGATTTTAAGAAGTTTGACATAGTAATATTGAAGGGAACTTGCATGAAGATTAGTGCTTTCTAAACGCCTCTATGCACACCTTCGTCATGACGTAAGAATAACTTAATAAATGGCAAAAATTGCGGAGACATGTTGCCTAGATGTTTCATGATAGTCAGTCGTTTTTTAAACCAATTTTTCGGTCCTGACGTCACGCAGACGGTTAGGTTATTTCAAAGAATTTGAAATTTTCAACTTTCAACAATGAAATATTAATTAATGAGGAATATTTTCAACATTTTTGAATGAAAACTCCTTTAAAAGTTTCAAGATGTGTTTCGAGAAAAGTCAAATGGTGAAAGATATCATGAAAAAATTATATTTGTTCACCTGTCTATTGGAAAGAGTCTCCAAGTCTTCAACGTTCTCATGAGTCTTCTTATTTCTTTCCTCTTGATTTTCTTGCTCGTCACTGCTGTTACTTGCAATGGCGTAATTCCCATCCTCAGTCAAGTATACTGGCTGCATCTGTCCATTCTCATCCTTGAAGAATAATTGGCCATCCTCATCCTCATGTAGGAATATTTGGTCCTGTAGAATTGAATACCGAAGAGAATGTTAAGGGTTTAAATTCAAATTGACACGAAGACGAAAATGCTCCTGTTAATTAGCTCATTACACATACCTGCGCACTTTCCTCTTCTCCCTGTTCGGCCATGATGATCTCATTAGAGCCATCCCATTGCTCCGGCTGCTCCAACTGCTGCTCCTCCTGTTCGGCAGTGGGTTCACCTTCCAATTCATATTGTTCATTCTCGTTCATGGGGTGCGCAACATATAATGTTCCCATATCATCACCTTCATAATAAATTGTGCCTTCGACTGGAATTGTATTTTCTTCTAGTCTTTCCATCTGCCGAAATCAATAAGTTATTTATTAATTGAAGGAATAAAAAAATATAAGTAAAAATATGATTTTCAATAAAAGCCTGAAGTGGTCTTCATTTTCTCTTCCCAAACAAAAGTTCTTTAATCATTTATTTTTTGGTTAATTGAAGATTTCTATGATAAACCCGAAAGGGGTCTGTCATATTTTGTGATACATAGTCCAAGCTAAATACAAAATCAATGAAAAAATAATCAGAATATGATTTTCCAATATTTAATTTTCGAATAACATGCCTTTTAATGGAACAAAAAATTCTTCCATTAAAAGATACGAGATGAACAAAAAAATCAGAGATTATCCAAAAGATGATTTTGGAAGTAGTATGAAAACAAAATTATTGTTTAACCTATAAAACGAAAGGTCTACTGTTGGATTCCCCGCTCAACATGTGTCTTCTCAAAGTATGTGCTTATTCTATTTCGTGCCTACCAGCACTCGGAATTTACTCTTTAAAAAATTGATAGAGACAAGAATAACCAATTAAAGCACTGAAGCTTTCATCTTACCTTGATGTAACGAGCATTCGAGTTTTTTTCTTCCTGACTCTGCTTCTTGGACCCGAGAACAGTGTAAACCAAGTCATTTTCAGCATTTTTCACAATTTCATGAGGACTATCCTCATCATCGTGTCTCGGTATCTTCATTTCTCTCTCATACTCTCCAGAACATCTAGTTTTCGAAGTCTCGTGACTCTGGTCCTCCCCATTTCCATTCGAAACCACTTTATTTCCATTCACTGTTGATCTCTTCGATGTAGTATTGGATCTTTTGGATTTCGTGGCTTCCTTAGTCTCCAAAGGATCATTCTCCTCCTCCCAATCTTCCTTAGCATCGTAAGTTGTGATTCTCTGCGATTTGCGTTTCTCCCCTGATTTCTGGACCTGTATTTCTTCGTCTGGACTGTCTTCTTCTTGGGATACCATTGAGTCAGCTTCTGCTCCTTCGGTAACGCTTTCAAGCCTCGAGGACTCTTCCTCCTCATTCTCATCCCCATCCTCGCCCTCTACGACTACAATCTCTTCTATGATCTCAACAATCTCTTCCGCGTGCTCTTCAACACCCTGCTCGGTTTCCTCTTCTTCTGCGTAGATTATCTCTTCCTCCTGTTCCTCCATCATCCCATCCTTGGCCTCTAGAATCGCCTGCAGCTCCTCCACTTCCATCGTGAATCGCTGAAAAATCCTGGAGAATATTTAAAAAAAAATTCTTTTTTTGTAATGCAATTCGCTTTTTTTCACCGAGTTCGAAAATAATATTGTAGCAGAGGTGAAGAAAAAGGAGCTCGATATATTCTTTTGTAAATGGCATGGCAATCAGTGAATTTAGAGAATAAATGGCGAGATAACTTTTCCATTGATAACGACATTGCTCAAAAAAAAATTGTTTCCATAGGTATTTGTGAACAATAAATGTGTTCACTAATCTCAGACAAGTCAAATGTGGTTATGGAAATTGTTGAAACAGACTGCAACGACCAATAGGGCGCATGGAGAGCGTGTTAGCCTCCATTAAGATCCCCCCATTCCCCCGAGAGATCCGATAAAATGCCCTCAAATTCGTCAACCCCCTTAAATGTCCGATTGAAGCCCTACAAACTTTAAAAAATTAATGGAAATCAAATAAATGAAAATGTTTACATTGACAATTGAAATTGTTAGTGAGAAGGCGGCTAATCAGTCGGTACGGGATTGCCTTGCATTTATCAACGGACAGCAAAATGGCTACAAGGTACCGCAGTGCCCGGAGTTGAGGGAAAACGGGTTTTGTTGTGATCAGGGGATTAATCATAATGTCGAGACTTTTACTCACCTCTCAGATGTTTCTTTGATGATGCTCAAAGTCAATCAACGATGATCTACGAGATTTTAAGAGAAACTATTTACTCGGTCGATATGCAGCCAGCGTACCATTCAACGAAATGACGCCACCATAATTCGAGAAATGTTTATCGATGAAAGGTTTCAGCTCCCTCTGAAGTCAATGAATTTTCTTTTAACCAATGAGTGAGAGAATTTACTAGGGATTTTTGCAAGGAAGGTGGCAACTAAGGAGGATGTGTTGACAAGTATACTAAAAGCTTAGTTGTGGGAAAAAGTTTGTAAGGAATTTTGGGAAATTTCTTGTGGGGTCCAGAGCTTTAAATAGTCTTGAGTTAGACAAAGATCCAAAGCCTTGTTCTTTTTATTGAATCGATACGAAATAATTAATGAGAGATTATTTTCGCCTTTGTAGGTTCAGATTTTGTGACATCGCGTATGATTGATTTCCATTAATTTTATTCAGCTGATAATTTTTTAGTTATTTTGGATCATTTTATAATGGGTTTTTGTATTAGTTTATTCGTTGCGCCGATCGTGCTCTAGGAATGTAATAAATTTAACTATATAGGGCCGATACAATTCTCACGACATAGGCCGGAATATATGACTCTGAAGTTTGCCGACTTCTGACAGAAAAAAAAAATTGGCATTGCATATTTGCCTGGAAAATGATGGGATTTGGAAAAAATGCAAAACAATAAGTTCGGTATCAGTTTATTTAATCGTGATGATCGTTGAATATTTTCCCAACTAAATTGCATGGTCATTATAGATAGTATACGAAAGTTTGAAAACCAATAACAGTAAAATGCTTCAGTTTTTTTTATCGTCATTATTTGATAGTTTATCCGCTGCTGTACACTTAAACTTCGTCGAGCCGTACCATATTAATGCACTGCGCGGTTATTGTTTGAGGATTTCAGTCTTCGTGTTGATTTTTTGACGAAATATGTAGATTCAGTTGAACTATTACAGCTCAATAGGTGGATTAATTGCGAAAAGATAATTAGTTTCCGTGGAAGGTCACACGACCAATAATGAGTATTGTACTCATGTGAATTGCCAAATCTACTTACATTTATGTAGAATACTTTTTTGTTTTGGTAATTAATGTTTCTGTAATTTCGTCTAGTGATTGTTTTGTGCATCTCTACCTCAAGAATACTTGAGAATACGGCTTCAAAGAGAAAATCATAGTTAATAGTATTTATCTGACAATATTATTATTTGACACTTCGAATTCAAAAAATGGCGCGACTGCGCGAAGTTAGCTACAAGTAACTACAAGAATTACGAAACAGAAATATTGGTAGTGGCAGTACTGCCACTGCGCGTAGTTGATTCCGAAATGCACCCTATATTGGTATATGTATATTGGGGTATATATATCAACACGTGAATGGAGGTAACCTCCAAAATTTCCGGCTGTTTGACACTTTCAATAAATTTCCTACGTTAAAAATTAATTTAATACCAATGAAAAAACTAAGTGGACTTCATCATTGACATATTAAGCATAAAGAGATATAATAAACATATTAGGAGTGTTGTTAAGTTTTCGAAAAAACGGATTTAGTAGGATTATAATAATCGTAACCTCTCAAGACAAGTTTTTCCTTGAACTTATGTATTGAACATATTGCAATACACGTGAAAATGGCCAATGTAGATAGTGCGAAGATTGAGGCGATTGGGAAGGTATTGAATGATGAGAAGAGACCATTAAAGGAGAGATTCAGAGCTTTATTTACGTTGAGAAATATTGGGGGAGAAGAGGCGATTGAGTGGATCAAGAAAGGGTTTGAAGATCCTTCTGCATTGTTGAAGCATGAGCTGGCGTATTGCTTGGGACAGATGCAGGACTCTAGGGCGACTCCAGTATTAATTGACGTGTTAAAGGACATTAAACAGGAGCCGATGGTCCGCCATGAGGCTGGTAAATATATCCCTTTTTTCACATTGTTAATATTTTTATGTATAAGACCTATTAGAAATGGGAAATTAAATTGAGTAAAACGCAGTGAATTCAAATCTAATTTCTGTTCTTTATTAAAAACGCACGAGGAAGAAATGTCTATACTGTACGAACTGCGCCAGCAGACTAAAAACCAATCACAAAAACCAAAAGAATATCATCACCTAAAGACAAAGAACCCTCAGTTCGTTTTCCCTATGAAATCATTGTTTATGTTTATATTTCTTTCTCCAGCACTCTCTCCGTACGATTCGTTTTTTGAACTCATAATCTCATTAAATTGTTTCTCTGAAATTGAGCTAGATAATCCAACAAGACCTCATATTTGGTATTCTTTAAATTGAATTGGCTAATTTGTCTATCAAAAATAATCTCAAATTGGAGTAATCAGTTGAGTGGCTTTTCTAGCGTGGAGATGTCAGTAAAGATCAATTATCCCATTATTGCTTTGTCAATGTCCTCAAAAACAAAAATGAATTTTTGCAAAAAAACACCAAGAATGGGTCGGAGCGTTCTGTTCTGCGCGAAGCGCAGCGTGCGATAAACTCGACTTATTGCACGGCGTGCCATAAACAAATTTTTTAAGTCATCATTCAATCAATTGAGAACATTTTTTTAGCTTTCGTCGCGGAACAACCGATTTTCGAAAAAAAATGAAAAATTAAAAAAACTAATCGATGAATTGAATTTCAATTAATGGTGATCCACAGGGCTCAACAATACTTGCATTTGAAAAAAAAAGATTCAATTCCATCTATTCATTAGGGAACAATCGAAGAAAAACTTTAGAGCACACACACGTACGTACGGATACGATCTGAAAATTACATTTCCGGACTTTTTGGATCTTAATGGATCGATATAACACAAAAAAACCAAAACTTAAATTTGAACGATTACAATGCTTCGGAAGCCAAATGCCATTTGGAAGCAAAATGAAATAAAGCAATTCACGTTAGCTAAATTCAATTTTCTTTTGCTATCATTTTTAAGTGTAGTAAGCTTTGAGAAAAACCTGATGAAACTTTCGTTGTAGCCTGTAAAATTTCTTCCAAGAAAACCCTTAACATTTTTCTTCGCCTACTCAACTAGATGAATAGTCTTATTTTTATCAAATTTCGTTAACAGGAGAAGCCCTCGGAGCCATTGGAGATCAGAAAGTTATTCCTATTCTCCAGGAATATAGCAAAGACTCTGTAATTGAAGTGGCAGAGACCTGTCAGCTGGCCTTGAACAGAATAAATTGGTTGAGGGAGGATAAAAATCAATCGGAGAGTCTATCAGAGAATCCATACGCTTCGGTGGACCCAGCTCCTCCTTGTGCCATCACAAACGTCGAAGAGTTGAAGAAAATTTTACTCAACGAAGACGCTTCACTTTTTGAAAGATACAGAGCAATGTTTTCGCTGAGAAACTTGAGGACTCCAGAAAGTGTATTAGCCCTTGGAGAAGGTTAATTGATCAATACTATAATAACAAATCAATAGAAATAAGATTGATAAGATGAATTAGTATACCCAATGCAAATGTGAATCCAATGAAACAATTTATACTATTTATTTATTTGAAATTTTCTTATCCATTTTAACAATGTTGTTTTTTTAAAACGTAAAATCTCAGATATTTATCTCGATGAAAACATTTCCGTTATATGAAATGAATAATTCATTAATTCCAAATGAATCATTAGCTAGAATCAAATGAACAATTTATTCGATCCAAATAAGAGATCATTAGATATTAAGAAATTCGTTCTTTTCACTATTTAAAGAATGATTTCCTTTCTAGCTCACAGAGTTAGCACTTCATTCGAATCATATCGAATATTTTTTTTATTTATCAAATGTCGATCAGCAGTAAAAATAATTGATCACATGATTATACACGAGTAATATTATCAAACGGAAAAGTAATCATTACAATTGTCATTTTATTATTTATGGAATATTCAATGGAAGTTGAAATCGTCTAGAAATTAACCTCCATCCAGAAATTGACCTGTTTATCCTGTCTGGATAAACGTCTTTATTTCATTCAAGTAAAGTTTATGTAATTTGAATAGTAGAGTTCCAATTTCTAACAGGAAATTAATTATTTTAGGCCTCCGAGCAGGAAGTGCCTTATTCAGACACGAAGTTGCCTTCGTCCTCGGGCAACTCCAAGAAGAAATCTCCGTTCCTTTTCTTCAAGCGTCCCTAGAAGACCCAGCGGAGAATGAAATGGTTAGGCACGAATGTGCAGAAGCTCTTGGCGCAATTGCCCATCCAGCTTGTGAAAAAATTCTCAATAAATACATCAAAGACCCCAAACGAGTTGTCAGAGAGAGCTGCGTCATTGCCCTGGACATGTGCGAGTACGAAAACAGTCCGGAATTCCAATATGCTGATACATTGAATAAATTTTTGGTTAGTTAACGCAAGAGCTGTAATAAAAATTGATTACTTTTCTATAATTAATAAAATATCTATTTACGTAAGGAATATGTTGGTTGCCAGTGTGTCATCTATTTGCCCTTTGAAGAAAAACTAGGGAATGCATTATCATTGGATTTTCTACTATTTCTTAAGTGAGAAAGATGTTCTGATGAATGGCCCTGAATTTAGAAGAATGGGGCATTTCCCAGAGAACTCTTTCAGTATAGAGGAATGACAGTGACAAAACAAGCAGGGGACAGCGAGCATATGACAGCGCGCCATGTGATAGTGGACATGTCACTGACTGATGCCTTATTTTTGTTCGCCACCAATACATTGATGGCGGGCGTCCGAATGGTATGAAATATTACAAAAATTTATAGCTTCACAACACTAACTAGCAGCAAAAATTACAGACGGTTACTGCCACCTTTATGGGTACTATCGAAATTTCAATGTTTCGAATAATTCTTATGAGCGAGTATACATATTTTGCGTTCAAATTTCACGTTTATGTTTCGATTTTTGCACAAGCTAGAGTGTTTACAGTTTTTTATGAAAAAATGAAAAAAACGGGGATATATATATATATATGTTTTAATTGATTTAGCTAGGAGACATCGAAGCGAATATTTTGAAAACAACAACATCGAAATTGGTCGACTAGTTTTGAAGATATTTAAAAACGAATCGCTTTTTTTCCAAAAATATTAGATCGATCGGGTCGAAATTTTGCACAGAGTTAGTCCTTATTAAGGCCTATGATCTGATAAAATTGCAGAATTTTTGGAATTGTTTTAGCCACTTGATTACTTAATTTTCTAAAAATTGACCACCGGGAAGGTGGTGGTGGACGTGGTCACATACAGACATGGTCACCAAACTTCGTATTCTTACCTTTCAGACCATTCTACATTATTTCCAATCAAAATTAGAGAATGTGAAAATCGAAGAATTGCAATGCTTCCATTTGGAAGCAAAAATATTCGAAAATTTCCAGCTCTGGTCGCACCATTTTACTATAATACTATTAAATTCAGGTTTGAGTAAGCTTAATCCGACCCGAGCGTAGCTATTGAAACAAGTGGAAAATTGCTCTTGTGTTGAATATAGTATAGTTATTTTTGCTAATAAATTCGCAATATGCTTCCGAACGGTTATTTTGCACATCATTTTCTTCTATCATGTATAATTCATGGTTTATTTCATTTCATTAAATTAAATAAGATTTCTTTTCAACTAATTTCATCAGATTTTCAACTTAGTTAAATGTCATCATCATATGATGAACATGTCACTCATGTTCATTGAAGTAATCCTTGAGCGCTCGGAGCTCGAGTTATCTTGTACGAAGAGTCGATGTAATCTGATGAAAAATATATTGAGGGTCGACTCTCAATACTCAAGAGTTGCCAACGTGGAGGCCCAGCCAATAATGAAGTACTTTTTTTTACTGTCACCCTAAGGCAATCAAAGAAAACTCTTTTTTTTTAAGCACAATGTAAACACAATATAAATTCGAATAAGCAAATTACAGGATAAACAAAATCATTCCAACAAAAAAATTCATCTTTAAACGAATACATAAGAATTAAACTCGAGAGTCAATTAAATTTGACCAAAAAACTGTTAAAAACGATATTATTCATTCAACTTTTTCTAGACTAGTTTTTATAAATGTATATACTGTATATATGTGAATAATGTTGTGACTCTGAATAAAAACATTGTGAAAACAAATGCCAACGCATGAAGCGAATATGAATGATCAAATGTTAATTATGTAAATAAATGATGAATTTTATTCTTCGTTTCATTTCAATTGAGTACAATTTTCAACAGTTTGCAGGTAATTATCAATTGTATGGCATCTAACTTTTCTAAGTGTAGATTTCCAGTTTTACGGACGGAAATCAAATGTGCAGAGGAGAAAATCTATCTTTGCTGAATTGGCCTTTTCTTCTGAGTAGTAAAATGACGATCTTGATACCTATACGTCTGTAAGAAAAATAAAGCCCATATGTTCGTGCAGCATCGTGCCAGTTGCAATTGGATGGCTGTACACCTCATCAGTTGGAGTGGAAAGACGTTGACAATATTCTGTTTTCTGAAATTTGCGGTGAATGACATTTGAAAAATTCCAAAAAGATCAGGTGTTTCTTATCCTCGAATTAATCGAGCATACTTTCCGAATTATCGACGATAATGAGAAGGAATTCACATGAATGATTTTCTCGATACTGAAAGTGCTGGATGATTTCAACATTTCCGTTCAACACGATTTTAAATTATTCCACACATGTGCACAATTCCTTGAAGATAATTCAATCGTCTATTTTTCGCTGTAATTGTCCGTTCTTCCAGTTGAAAACATCGTCATGAGCTTGAGGATCAATAGGGCTTTGAAGGTATGGTTATACATACCGCTTCACCAGAAAAAAAAAAATTCCAATGTGCGACTTACGATTTCAAATTGATACTTATGGAGATCTCAAATTGACACTTTGGAACATCTCAAATTGAATTCCGAAATTTTCAATTTGAGATTCTCAAAAGTCTCAATTTAAGACTTGAAAATATCAATTTGAAACTTGAAAATGTCATTTTAAGACTTGGAAATTTCGCTATAAACTCTCTGACAGTCGCAAATTGGGAGTTTCGAAAGTCACAAGTTGAGATTCGAAAGTTTCAAGTTGAGACTTTCAGAAAGCTAAAATGAAGATTCTCAAATCTCAAATTGAGACTTGAAAATTTCTATTTGATCCTTTCGAAGGTATCCCGTTGAGACTTCCCAAGGTCTCAATTTAAGATCTTTGAAATCTCAAAATAAGGATTTTTTTTCTGGGTGTTATGTGTGTTTCTGACTCTAGGACAACCCAATATAACGTATAAAATTTTCAGAGTGCGATTCCAATGGAATGGAATAGAAAATAGTATATTGTATTACTAGTGTGTAAAGTTCCTCTTCTTCACACGCACGTTAAAAACGTTAACTCATCCTATTTGTTGTGGTAGCTGCCGAGTTCACTGTTCGGAACGGCGGAGGGGCAATGTGGTTGTTTTTATCCATTAGTGCGTAAAGTTCAAGAGCGTGCGTAAAGTGAATTAAAAGCGAAACATTACGTACAAGAATTTACTGTACGCACGCCGTACGGAAAACAACCGCTTTACGTACACTAAATCGTTTCGAAAAGTGCACCTTTGCGGCAGGTATCACAAAAACGATATTTTCATCAGTTGAGTGTCAAGTGAAATTTTACGCACGCTCCGCGTGCGCAAAATCTCAATTTTCGCACACTGTGATGAAAAATAGGGTTCGAAACTCGTGGGAAAAGTGTTCTTTGACCCTCTCAGCCATATTCAACTTGTTGAGAATATAATCCAGTAGCGAAGCGGTAAATCGGGTCAAGTCAATTTTGACTATTGACCAGTTTTTGACGAATATCTCAAAATCTAAAGGAGATAGAAACATTTTTGTTAACATCTTTTTTGTACAGCCCATTGAGAGTTATAAAAAATGTTATGAGAAAAATGTTGCTATCTCTCTTAGATTCCGAGATATTCATCAAAAACTGGTCAAAAGTCAAAATCGACTTGACCCGGTTTACCGCTTGGCTACTGAATTGTATCTCATAATCAGATTGATCCAGATCAGAAAATAAAAATACATTACGTATTCCTTCTATTTTTTCCATCTTCACGAATTAAATTTTGGTGAATAGTTTTCGAATAGAATATTTCAATGAAAAAATCGACGACCAATTTTTGTAGGGCACCTGTTCATTTTCGAAATCAATAATGATCGCGTAGAAGTGACACATTGAAACTCAGCATTGTTCATCGAAGAATTATTCGTGTAAATTTCACCTCAATTTCGATTGATGTTGACCATTAGTTTCGATTATAAAACGAAATACAGGGTGCAGAGCGCATAAGGAGTGGAAGAATTTTTTTAGGGAGAACCCAGAGGAGAATCCGAAAAAGAGAGGACAAATAATGAAAGCGGAAAATGAAGAGAACCCTACTGTAGTTGAAAATTGTATTTGTGGTAGAATCAAGCATAACTCACTCCACAACGTTTTGCAATCCGATCCGATTGACACCAGTAAATCTCCCCATCTTTGCAATTCAGAGGTCTTGTCTGAAATTTCATTCAGTTGTAAAAGTCTTAAAATTTCAGCTGTCTGCATCCAATAATATATTTCGATTCGAGTGTGTTACACTATTCACGCTATTCGTCCGTGAATCGCTGTTTACGGCCGTTATGGCGAAATATACTATTTTCGGCCTAATGACGAAATATACTATTATGTACTCGTATCGAAATATACTATTTCATCACAATGCGTGAAAGGCGGGAAATTTTACATTACGCACAAGTGAGAAAAATGATTGTTCAAACAAAAGTGATACTCACAAGTGATATATCACACAAAATCGTGATAATCATCGTTATGATGAATACTTTAGAACACATATCGATAAGACGGAGAATGTTCAATATCAACTAAATTTTTCTAATCGATATTCCCTTTTATAGCCTATTCATGATGTGTAGAAAATTATGAGTTTGCCTACTATTTTAACAGATGTACATGTGGAAAATAATCATGAGTGATTTTTTCTGCTTCACAAAGCAGGTGAAAAAGTGGCGTACTGTAAGAAGAATTGATTGGTTAATCTAAAAGCTGGCTCTGAACATACGTTGACTTAGTCGTGGATAAGGTTACTGATTAGTTACCCATGTTGGGCCAGTCAAATTTCGGTTTGGAAATCAAGGATGATAGAAGAAGGATAAAAAACATGGAATATCATGCGGAAGAATGATGTGAAACATATATTAAGTTTTTGGGATTGTAGTAAACCGGGAAATTGTTTAAAAAACTTCAAAACTGCAAAATTAAGCGTCCACGCGACCTTTTTTGCTTTACGCCGACGAAACCGTGATAGGATAAAAATGCATAGAACTTAATTTCTATATTTTTCAGGAGTCCCCATTTTTCTCTTTTTTTTTCATTTTCCAACCAAAATTTGCCATAACATAACTTTTGATTAGTTCTAACTCAGCTCGGGAGTAAGTAACCAACTAAAATACGGTAGCTCCATAAGTCACCTTCTTTCGTAGTTATACTAGGAAAACATTTTTGAGCTTTTGAGATTACAAAAAAGTAGCACCTTCATTTTGAATTCAGAGTTATTTAGAATCTGTGCCGTGTGAATTTATTTGCCGAATCGACAATAGATCTAATTTTATTTAGATTACAATTCTTTAACCAATTATATGGTAAGTTTTTGAACAGATTTTTGTTTCAATCCGTTTTTGTTGAATTCTTAGAATTATAGGCACCCCGAATTTAATTTAAAGAGAAACTACTATGAGTTTTAAAAGTCGCGGGCTATTGGGGTGAGATTTCTCATGCATTAAAGATCGATTATATGTATATGCTAAAAACGAATAATTTTTGCAAACGAAAATTGTTTATTTTTTATTTGCCTCGCACACGCTTAAAATGTTAAAAATAGTTCCGCGCTTTCAATTTTTGAGCTACAGAGGTTTTTTTTCAAAATTTTTGAACAAATGTGTACAATACACAGCTAATTTCGTTTTGTTGAACATAAAAATTTGCGACATTCGTGTACAATAGGCCGCAAAATTATCCTTAAAATATTTAAAATATATTCTCGATTCTTTCAGAAATATTTTTCGGGCTATTTCATATGAATGGTGCCATTTTTTAGTAAAAAAATAACGAAATTAGCTGTGTAGGCGTTGAATTTCAAAAAACGAATTCGTAATTGTTATTGCACACATTTTTTCAAAAATTTTGAAAAAGAAACTTCTGTAGCTCAAAAATTGGAGGCTGTGGACTATGTTTCAATATTTTAAGTGTCTGCGGGATAAACGAACAATAAACAATTTTTTTTGCACTAATTATTCGTATTTAGATTTATATAATCAATCTTCAATGTGTGAGAAATCTCATTCCAATAGCCCGCGACTTTTAAAACTCATAGTAATCCCCCTTTAACCCTTCCAGACATCATGGCTGTATTTATTTTTTCATGTTATTTTTGGGTATTGGCGCCACACTATGCATTTTTTCTGGTATTCATTAATACTAATGAGTAAATATTTTTGTTCGAAAATTTTCAAATTAAAATCGTTGAATCTTCGTCTATTCAGACTTGCCTTCCATGAAATACCGTAAATTATGTCTGGTCTTATCGTTTTATTTTCAATATTCTTGAACTTGGAGTATGGGACTGTTGCATTGTCATATTGCTTCCTTGAGAGACTTGCTCCAAAGCCGATTTTTGTCGTATGGAATTCATGAAAAGTAATTCAATCATCTCAGTCCATTTTCACCTATTTCTCACATAATAAGACGATATAGAGCAACAAAACCAGTAGAACTGAATAGAGGACGTTCAAGTGAGTGAGAATGGATAAAGGGGACTCTACTACAGTATCACGCGGCGACGCGCAGTGTGCGGGACTCTTGAGAGAGAAAGAGCGGGTATCGCGCCGCGCGATATTGAAAGATGAATCTAGTAGCACCCGGATTGCGAGTCGGTCAAGATCTCGCCGGTATACTTTCTGAGGGTTGACCACTCTGGAAGGTTTAGTTTCGTTTTATTTAAATCTTCTCACCATTTGCATCTGATGATCAGTGCTTTCCGAATTCATTAAGTAAATGAAATAATTATTTCTTGTTCTTTGGATTAAATGAAGATTTTACATGTATTTGAGAGCATAATACATCAGAGATAATTACGGTGAGTTTTTATGTTTTGGCTACGGAAGATAAACACCTGACATTGAATTATCAAAGAATATTTATTCTAAAATTGACTTGAACAAAAAAAATAGTCTGTGTTCATCTGGATAAAAAACGGCAAATTGTTTATAAGGGTATTTGTGTAGGGTAAACAGGTCAATTTCTGCACGGGAGTTAGTGTCTGGACAATTTCAACTTGCATTGAATATTCCATAAATAAAATGAAATTTGCACTTGTTATTTGACCTTTCAATAATCGTACTCATGTATAATCATGGGATCAATTATTTTTTCTATTGATCAACGCTTAATAACTAAAGAAAATATGGCCCAGTCGTCCAGAAATTAGGGGTTTGCGCCGCATTCAACTAGTTCTTAATTTAATTAGTCTTTGTTTTGTTATTTTCACTTCAAATAATTTTTTTTCTCCTAATGAAAATGTTTTTGAATGTATGAAAACCACCGTATCCCCATTTAGGTGATTCTTTTATTTTAGATCTTACGGCGAAACTCGAATTTCCCGTAACCATCCAGCAATTGGCCTGTTCACCCTACCTTTTTGAATTTTACTACCCTACCTACGAATTTTAAATCGTACAATTTTTATTCCATGAGATTCACTGAGAAAAAAATAAATTTTTGCCAAATATTCATTTACTTGAGAGAAGTATTCATTTTTTCAATACCGTATTTCGCCAGTGGAATCATTCTCAGGCAATCCTCATTGGGTTTTAATTATGTCAATTATATTGCTCTAGAAGTTGATCATGTTACTTATGACCTCGAGCGAACTCCCTCAATAATTATCAACATTGAAAAATTAATCAAAATTCTTCTCTTTAGAAAATAAGAAATTCAGGAAAAATGAATAATATCCTCTACGGCAACATGATTGTTATAATTGAGACCTAATCAGATTCACCTGGGAATGACTAGATTGGAGAAATACGATTTTGGAAAAAGAAACGGTTCTCTCAAGTAAATGAATATTTGGCAAAAAGATTTGTTTTTCCCAGTGTTGCTATATTTCATTCATCGAATGATGGAATAAGTAATATTTGTTGATAAAGTTGAAAAAGTGATATCAAATTCTCTGCAACTTGATTATAAAATTGAAAAATCAGTGAACTTTCAAAAGCGATAAGTGTTAATCAGAAATGATATAAGTTCATTTCATCGGTTATTCCCCGGAGGAACAAAAATAACTGATAATGAGTAACGAAGCATTTAATATAATCTTTGCCGACATTAATCAGAGTCTTTTGAAAAATTCCAGATAACGAGCACTAGGACCGTTCGAGGCGATAACTTTAACTTGTATAAATCATGGGAACATTTTGGAGCAAAATCTGGGGCCATTCCGGTACAGACGATACTGTTGATCCTAGCACAGGATTGACTGGACGTGAGAAGAGACTTGTCCAGAGTACGTGGAGTATTGTGAGTAGGGATCCGGTGGCTTCCGGTGTTGCGATAATGACATTGTGAGTAATTCTTCTTCCTCCTACGAATTTTAGATACTTTTATTATTATGCGCAACAATTCAATAACAATTATGGATCCATTAGCACTGCAATAATAGTGGGTCTTGAGGGATCTAGAGAAGACTTTTTGCTTTCTATAGTGTAATTTTTAATAAAGTGTAAAAAGTTCCCGGGGTTTGTCCTGTCATCTACTCATTTCAAAGGTTTTTACTGCTTCACCAAAATATAAAATTACTGATTTCGGAAGGAAACCTAAAAAACTTCTCTATGACTAAATGTCATAAATCGTAAAAAATGTCCTTGAATTTTTAAAAATCCACTAACCTGCGAGAAATTTACGAAATGAAGATTTCATCACCGAATTGTGTCTCCTCTATGTTGAGAATGCTTTCAAAACGTAAATTGTGCTATGCCCATTGCTTTAATTAATTCCATAAATGCCAGAATAAATATCTCATACTTCGTTTTTAATCGAAATCCCTCTACACATGTTATTTTCGTTTCTCCAACGATAATAGAAGATGTTAAAAATACCTTCTTTTCGAATTCACTTCCCAGCATCCGAAATAAGCCTGGCCTCAGAAGAATGTAAGAAATAAAGATTTTATTGACGAATTTTTTCTTTCAACTAATGAGAATATTGACAAAACTCTAAGCCACTTTCAATAGTTCAGTGAATTCCACAAATACCAGAATGAATTTCTGACATTTCATTTGCAATAGAGATTCCCTCCCAATTCTTATTTTTGTCTTCTCAATGTTAAAAAAAATATGTAGAATACCTTCGCTCTTAATTTTATTCCCCAGCATCAGAAATAATCCTGACACTTCATCTGATGTTTAATATTCCACCTTCCTCACCCTATTTATATCCAACTAGTGGCGATAGACGAAAACCGAAAATGCCAACTATCTCAGTCACTCTATCGATTCTCGATTAATCGTCATTCTAGCCAGAGTGCAATTATAAAGCCCACCCGCCCTCTCCTCTCACCAGCCGCTGCGCTAAAGCATACCCACCGAACGAAGGTATGTTGTGTGTAGCCCAGTGGCCCCGAGAGCCAGGGCTAATAGCTTCACGTACACAGGTAACACAATGGAAAATGGATCGATGCTTTCTATCTCACCACTTTTACCAATATCATTGTTACAATAGGAGGAATTAAAGGAACAAAAGGAAAAAAAAGAAGGGATGAGGGCAAAAAATGAGTTGGGGATTATGTTCAGTTGAGTCTTTCCTGGGCAAGGCGGAGTAATGATGGGACGGTCGGGAGAAAAATAGGGAGAGGTAAGAGACGAGGAAGAATCCTCCTTAAAATTCAAAGGCCGTGTGATACTTGTCTGTGTGCATCCGACTACTCTTATCCTCTGTTAAATATGCATGCCGTTGCTCCATCGTAGATGACTACTCTGCCTAGCAATCGTCTTCAGTTCTCTTGACGAGTCACTCCATCTTTTTTTAAATACATTCTTTTGATTACATTAATAATGATAAAGTTAGTGGAAATTGAACTTTGAATGAGGACTTGAGTTTCTACTGTTTGATGTGATAATAGGCTCGTCGGATAGTTGGGAAAATCCTTTATTTTTCTCTCCAAGACAGAATCATCCCTTGTTCTTGCCGAGAACGTAGATGATGAACCTGAACCTGCTCACTTCCACATCCTGAACTTTTTACCTTTCATCCCACTGTTTTTTGTGTTGAATGACATTGAATGGTATATAATTCAATTGGATTTTCACACTCTGGATCAACTTTCCAGTGATTTTGAAATCCGCATGAAGATTTTTTACCACTTGAAACTTGTTAAGGGGAGACTAAAGTGAAACTTGAAAGTCTTCAATATATTACGGTGTTGCTGGTTTGTTTTGGCCAGGGCTATACATATATAGCTCTCTAGGTCGTCAACCAGATGAATTTGGCTGGCTAGAAGCCTTGCGGTGATTGCCAGGTGTAGGTTCCCCTGCAACGAAATACAACCTCATGATAAATAAATGAGTACTCCCTGGATTTGATTTAAAAGTTTTTTGTTTGTTTTTCTTTAGGTTCTTTGAACGTTACCCCGAGTACCAGGCGCTATTCTCCGCTTTCAGAGATACACCAAAAGCAGAACTTCCTGCGAATAAAAAATTCCAGGCACATTGTGCCAGTATCATCACGGCATTGAACTCTGTTATCGATGCATTGAATGACGAGGGATTACTCGAAGCAACACTTGTGGCTATTGGTGAGCGACATAGGAGACGTGGTCAAACGACGGAACAATTTCTTGTAAGTGTATATCTCTGCGTTTTTCAGTGAAAAAGAAGAGAAGATTTAATATTAAATATTCTCACTCATTCCTTCTGTCAAGAACTTCAAAATTATCAGAACAAACAAACGTGTCAAGCTTTCCAGGTTGAAAAACGATCAATACGCAGCTCAAGTGATTTGCTAGAAAACTTGATGAATTTAATTATTCCTACACTGAGAAAAAAAATTTCTAATATCTGAAACATATTTTCTTGAGACAAGTAAATTTTCTTCAATTGCTTAATTCTTTCAGGCATCTCAACTCAC